TGTGCGACACACTTCATCGTGGATGTACAGACTATTCTGTACTGTACATCAACCATTGTCAGCAGTAGCACCATTTACAAGCACTAATCCTCCTAACACGATCGATGGCTCGTGCCAGTTGTTCTCTACGATCAGATCCTTTGCGGTCTGACCGCATTTATGCTTACCCTCCAAAAGCCGTGGAAAGCGGCTCGATCGGAGAATTTTCCTCCTCCGATACGCCCCCCTTTCCCGCTCCTTTTGTGGCCAGGCCACCCACGGCGTCATTATTCGGTCCCAAATTGCCAATGAATTGATCGCTTCCAAACGAAAGGAATCTCGGTTATACACTCGAGTCCCTTGGTTGATGTTGCATCTGCCTATTCCTGCTCTCCCCCATATACTTTGTGGAAAATCTATTAGCTCCATAAACTCAAAGAGTGGACTCCCTAGGGATGTAATATAGCGGGGATAAACCAGACCCTGTTGTAACTCTACATGCTCAAAAGTTATGCTAAGAAGCTTTTCAAACTTTCTACTAGGTCGTACCGAGCTCTAGCCGAATGCACGACTACAAACCTGCATAGCTCATCGTCGAGAACGCGACGGATCGGTGTGTCATCGTACATCAACGCCCCAAACTCAATTCGCCCGAAGGTTTGCTCTTCCGACCTCGCCTAAGTATCGCAAAAACCTTAGAACCCAGCCGCCCGCAACCTTCTTTTACTCCATCGTGCTCATTCTGCGAGAACACGGAAAGTCCGCTTCGCCGAAAGACTGACGTACATCCCACCCCCACTCCGCTCAAGCTGAAGACCTGCTAGTCACCTATCACTGTGAAAAAAATATCCGACTATCAGCCGTGGACCCTGACGGGTGTTTTGTTAGCGTCCCAAGTCGCAGGTCCTAATCTTCGCTTCGTCCACTTCGTTCAAGCTCGCTTGGATATCGGCTGGTCGGTCGACTTTCCCGATGTACCAACGGTCTGTCCGTGTCTGTGCTAACCATAATTGCTAAGTTTTTATGATCTCTCTCTCTTTCTCTTCCTGCCCGTTGCCCCGTTTCGCTTTGGTCGCTGCTGGACCTGTAGCTAAGGGTTAGGGGGAATCTCCTTCGTAAGACCCAAGCGCCCGGGATGCAAGCAAGATGTCTGTTTCTGCTAGGTCGATCCGCGAGATGAGGGTCTAGGATTCTGGGAACCGGCGGCTGCCGATGAAAGTCAAATAGATTGAAGTTTTTCTAGAAAAGAAAAAACAAAGGAATTTAGCATGTGAAGCTAAGCAACAGGGCTGCTTCTCTCAACGGTTGAAGGACCTCCGTATGGCCAACTTGTCCTTTCCCTGGTTATATTCCTCGCTAGTTAGGTTAGTTGGTTGCCTTGTTCCGCTCTCCGCGTTTCAAGTTGAGTATGGTTCCAACGTTCGGACGCTTAAACTATCCTAGTCAGCCTCAGTTTGCAGGTGCGATCGCCGAATGAATCGGGGATCAACCTGGTTGACAGGTCACGGCTTGCCTATTCGGGCAGAGGCTGGTCCTGTCATGAGCGCTTTAGGCCTTACACTAGTTCGTCGTTCTCGTGCTGGCCGTTTCATCTTGATATATTGAACTCTACCATGGCTGTCGGTTCTATTGCTTGTTTACAATTGCCCTTATACCGAATTTGCATGTATTGTTTGTTGAACTTAAGACATATTACCTAGGTCCGACCTCCTGAAGAACACATGTGATAACTAAAACTACTCCGTACTGTCCTCCGTCAAGTTTTGATCCCAGCGCCCGTGAGCCCCGGACCATCCGGTTACCTACGCAAAGGAACACGAGAGAGAACACGACATGAACACGTTGCGCGACGGCGTTTCCAAGAACTTGCGAGATTTCCCGGAAGCGAATCAAAGCCTAGCAGCTATAGTACGGAGATCCTCGCTATAGAACGTGCGCAACGTTTTTAGATTCTCTATTATGAATTTCAAATAGGATCATCGCTAATTTGCGCCAGCCTGCAACTTTTCAAGGATGCCTCCTCGCTTATGCGGAGGGTACGTAACCCAACCAATGGAGATATATATCTGTCTCCATGCACGACGGGACATCGTGAATACGCCCATTAGGTAGGCTGACCCTTGTGTTTTCTCACCAATGAAACCCTGGACATGGTATCCGCCGAGACTATATATAATTATACATCCTTGAACAAATTTTGAGCTTTATGCCGCAGACAACAGGGGAGAGTTATGTTCTGCATGGCCGGGCAACCGGAACAGCTTCAACCCAAAGAGTTTATTCCTTGTCAGTTAGCAATTACAGCAAGTGTCCTCAATCTCCGCGGAATACTGGGGAATAGGTATAGTTTTGACATCTGGCGTACTGCCAGCTAGAGGTATGCTTGTGTAATAAGATGGAACGTCTCTAAATTGTTGATGTGGGCTACAATGGCAGCAATATCAAGTCCAAGTACACGATAGCTTTCTGGCCGATAAAGCCATCGAACGTCGAAGAATGATAGAAGGTCGACCAGGGCAGAGGATGGGATACCAGAACTACGAACCCCGTCCATTAACTTACCACTAAGAAGCCAGAACAGCTGAACAATTGAGAGAACAAAACCGATCATATTATTACTCCGATAGACCCATGGGTATTGCAAAAAGTGTCATTGATTCATTTTTTGCTGCAAACTACCATTTTTCACCATATCCAAAGAAAAGTTGGGAGAGAACATTTACTCCTCAGACAGAACCTTGGCGAAACCAGCGGAGGCACGCTCGGGCTTGCCACCCTCAACCTTCTGCTGGCCAAGCTTCTGCTTGGAGTAGGCAGCGGCGTAGGGGTTAAGGCGGAGCATAACCTGCTTGTTGCGGAGAGGGTTCTTCTTCTGGACGTTGACACGCTTGGTGCGGGCCTCACCCTTGGGAGCACGGACAACAGCCTGGATTTCAGAGGAGTTGATCAGGCGGGTCAGGTCGGCGTTGGCAACCATGGCGGAGGGCAGGAGGAAGTCCTTCTTGAGAGCCGAGGGGGCGGTGGTGGTGCCGTAGACCTTGTCGAGGGCCTCGAAGGCGGAGGAAGTCCAGACGATGAAGCGGCCGAGGTGACCACCGGGGGCGAGCTGGAGGAGGTTCAGGGAGAAGACGGAGGAAGTCTCAACACCGGGAACGTTGCGGAAGGCACGGACGAGCTCCTTGCCATCGACCTCGGGGTCGTAGACAACGAGAGGACCGCGGCGCTGGCGGAAGCGGCGGTTACGCAGCTTACCCTTACCAGCACGGAGCTTGCGGGACTTCTGGACCTTGACGAGGTCATCACCGGCACCAAGGGCCTGGAGGAGGGCAATGGCGGCCTTGGTCTTGGTGAGGGCAGCGCCCTGGAAGGTCTTGGACTCGACAACGAGGGGAACCTCGGGGACCTTGGCGACACGGTGGCCACGGGCGAAGAGGAGGGCGGGGACGGAGGAAGCAGCCAGAGCAGAGGCGGTAGCGAAGCGCTTCTGGTTCAGGTTGAGCTTCTGGTGCCACTTGCGCCAGACCTTGGTGGGAGCGAACATGCGACCGGAACGGCACTGGTTACCGAAGGCAGCCTGACCGGCACGGTGAGTACCACCACCGGAGACACGGGGAATACGGGCGACAGCACGGCCTGTTGAATGTCAAAGAAGTATCTCGTCAGCGTCTATCCGTAGCATGCCAATTGGACCTTCCCCGCAAATGAAAAATTTGCTTCAATCACCCCTACAGCCAAATTTCTCTGCTCGATCTTGAAATTTCGATTCCACGTACCGGTACCCCAGGACTCAGCGGAGGTCTGCTCGCCAGCCTTCTCGCTGACAGCGTAGGGCTGTCTCTTGTTCTTGGCCATGCCGGTGTGCACCTGCCTGTAGAGCGAAATCCGTCAGCATTTCCACCTTCTATTGTCACGATTGTTCGAATTTTGCGGGCTCGACGTACTGGACGATATCCGGGCGGATGGGGGCACCGAAGACGTTGGGCAGGGGCTGGGTAGCCCCGGAGGGCTTACCCTCAGCCGTGGCGATGGAGACGGTCGGGCGGGAGGCCATTGTTGTCGGTCGATGTCGATGGTGAGGTTGAAGTCCAAAGGTTTCCCCAGTCAGGCCTCACCTGTGGATTTTTTCGCTTACTGAGCTTGGCCGGTCGTGGGTCACGAAAACCCTAAGCCCTCACTCCCCGTTTGGGATAGCGCGAGCCACCTGCATGTGGCCCGTGCTTGTTTATGTCATCACCTACCCCACCCAATCCACGTGACCTTCCTCGAAGTATACATTCAGTAGACTTTTTCCATGTCGACGACAAAATGCAGTCTGCTGTTGAAATTTTTCTCATTCCTCATTGCCAAGGCTTCTGTACATGTTGTAACTGTGATAATGTGACGAGCATAGGTGGTACAGGTTCACCATATTTATCGGGCCAAGCAAACTACAGCCGCGAGGCATACTCGTCCTAATTTAAGCACTCTCTATTTCTCTGTTCTCCTCACAGGATAGAACTAGATAGACAATGCAGCTACTCATACTAGGGAGACTTTTGTCTTGATATCTCGGAATTTGTCGCCTTCCGAGTCTTCTGAAACATCCAGGGCTTCACCTCATGCGGCTAAGTATCTTGGCCCCCTCTGATCATCTTAATCACGAGGCAGCGAGCAAGGGATGGCTCAGCGACATTATACATACCACAGGTTACATACTAATGTTATTGGAGGAAATGCTGAACTTTAGGCGCCCGGACGGCTTTTTTGGATCAACCGTGTTTCACGAACTCCTTAGGCTGAATTCTTGCTACCACCTGGGGCCGGCGCTTAAGGTGCTGCACGGGCTCAGAAGAAGAAATGGTCGCGCGTTTACTCCCACTTCGAGTTGGATGTTTTGATAGATTAAAGGTCTTACTTCTCTATTCTTGATCGTGTTATAGATTTATACTACGCAAGACTCACCACTCTACCTCCTCGTTGAAGCCATAGCTCGCTGTGCCGTGGGCGCTATATATCGAGCCATCCCGTCTCCTACTTCCGGCATGCTGTTTGATCTCATTAAGAAGCATGTGGGATCTTTGAATAACTCACAAGAGAGTGGATGGCGGCCATCCTACTTACGAAAACGAATATTGATTCTATTTCTGATCGCCTTCTCCGCAATCATCGCCGCACTCGAGGCCCTATACCAATCTTCAGAAGCTCATGATGGCATTGCTGCCTCAACCGAAAGTCGCCATTATCTTTGGACATACGGACCGACCGCTATACTCACTATTATTGCCACTTTCTGGTCACGAGTGGAGTTTCAATCGAAGCAAAATGCGCCATGGCAGTCAATGCTTGAAGCTCCTCAGCCCGCGGGAAAGAGCGTACTCTTAGACTATATTTCCGATATGCAACCTGTGGCAATGTGGAAGGCTTTTAAGAATAAACACTTGATTGTCTTTTCTGGAGTGTCGTGCTCTCTGTTGCTACAATTGATGATCGTGTTCTCAACTGGTCTCTTCTCCCTACAGGAGACTCAAGTCCACAAGAGCAATGTTCCGATTCAATTGCACGATATCTTTACTACAGAAGATTCAAAGCTCGATACCGTCGGTTCTCAGCCATGGGATATCATAAATGGTATTCTCTTCGACAATCTCACCTACCCAGATGGTACCAATGAGAACCTGACCTTCCAAGAGTTCTCAGCTCCAAGTCTTTCTTCTAGTGCGATCGTCACTGCACCGATAGATGGACTTGCTGCTGACCTGGACTGCGACCTTGCAACTCTTGACAAGAAAGAGCTGTATTATTTAACCTCACACTTTTATAAGGATGGTTCCTTTGAGAAGAATGCCGTGATCCAAAGCTTTCAGCTGGCAACTTCATCGTGTAAGATTACCACCAACAATCTTATAACGAACGGTGCCACCCAGGCGGCGTTTTTCCAAGGAGGTCAATGCGAAAATATCAACGGCGCAGATGGCAAGCGTATTGTCGTATCTTTACTCAAGGTTTCAACTACCGACCACAAATTCCGCACCACACCCCCAGCTGACTTGGGTATACCGGCCAGCAACGAAACATGGTGGGGGGTAGACATTGCTTTGAATCGCTCTCTCACCTTTATTTGCAAACCGACGCTCTCTCTTATAAAGCTACAAGCCGAAGCAAATGGTACTGAACTGTCGTCTGATGTTCGTCTGAAGCAATTGGGATATGAAAATACCACACTTCCCGGTGTGACGGCTGGGGACATCTCTGAACTAATCAGCAAGAACTCCAGTGATACCTCGGGCTTCAGATCTGTGGAATATTACAGCCCTTTCCCAACCGACACTTACGTGTACGACTGCTTCAAACTTGGGCTGTGTCTCATAGGAGTGAACGTCACGATTGAAAACATGTGGCGAGACGGTGTGCTTCGAGATGCGTCTTCTGCGTACTATCGTGCGATGACTGCTCAGCTTATGCATATCGGCCTTGTGCAGAAGGAAACATCGACGACAACGGGTTCCGCCATAACAAATGAGAACCGAGTGATAATGATGCAACTGCCACTCCGAGGTATCGAGGCGTGCCTTGTGGTGGTGATGTTACTGGCATGTCTGATGATCATGTACACGGCACACCGGACGACAGCAACCTGGAACCCTGCTCATATCTCAGCAATTGCCGCTATCACGGCAGAAAGTGATGATTTTCGGGATTCACTGCGTGGTTCTGGAGCAACTTCTGCCAAGGGGCTCCAGGGCAATCTTGCGGGGCAACGATTTTTTTCAGAGCCAACATCTCGAAAGACCTCGATTAAAGTTCTGGAAGATGAAACGAACGCGACTGATAGCGATGAGTCTGTCAAGTCCAAGAATACAGAATGGAAGCCGTTCCCCGGGTTCTTCTCTCGAATTGTCATCTTTTTTCTGGTTGCAGCTATGATCGTTGCTTTGGAAGTCTTGTTACATTTTTCGCAAGTTAATGATGGGCTGGGGGATGCGTCTTCGACAAACGAGTACATGCACTACTTATGGACAATTATCCCTGCCTTGACCATGTCCAGTACCAGCCTTTTATTCGGTAGCATGGACTTCAACACCAGATGCCTTGCTCCATATGCCCGCCTCAGACATAACACTGGGTCACTGTTTCAAAACTCGATGGACATAAGCTTTTTGGATTCCCTCGGTCTCAACAATACTTTCCGTTCGATGCGTTCACGGCATTTTGCGGTCCAAGCAACAACCATTGCTACAGGTGCAGCATTCTTTCTGACCATCATCGTCAGCGGTCTTTATTCTACCATCGAAGTACCTTTCCATGTGGCGGTCAACTTCACCCGCATTGGTGGGTTTCCGGACCCACGAACGATCGCCGGGGCTCAACTGCTCATGGACGAAACGGGGGAGGTTGCGGGGATTCTCACGGCGGAGTACATTCTCCAGTACAACTTCAGCTATCCCCGCTGGACCTACGATGAGCTTGCATTTGCAGAAGTGTCAATGAATGAATCTTCTCAGAATGACAAGATTAATGGCTCCTATGTGGATATCCGCGTTCCGGCCCTGAGAGCTGCCCCAGTCTGCCATCTTCAAACGGCCCAAGATTTGCTGCCGAATCTCACTTCCTCTGGGAATGAAACTTTTGCGCTCAGTGTCCAGTTGAATGAGCTGGCTTGTCCCGGAAACAACACCAACGCTTTATGGAACGATACTATTTTCAGTGGTCAGCGACTTGGATCCCAACCATTCGGATACTCGATTGAGACCGACTGCAATTCCGAAAGCCGCGGCTTAACTGGAGCATCTCATTATACGGTATCATATGTATGGGGATATGTAGAGGATAAAGCGATCAAACATATCATGGGAATGGCGTGTATACAGTACGCCGAAACTGTTGATGTGTTGACACGCTTCAAGCTGCCTGGAATGGACATTGACGAAGAGCACCCACCCGTACCCGATGAATCTTCAGCAAAGTTGGCACCAAATCTGTACACTCCCATTCCAGAATGGTGGGTACTGAACAGTAATGGTGTATATCCAACATTCGATGGCTTCTTCCAACTCCTTGTCTCTGGGAGATACGCCATTTCGGTTGATAATTTCCAGAGCGCAAAGGGAAACAAAACTGTTACAGACGCAATCAAACACCAGCACAAACTCATCAATGCACAGCAGTTTGGCAACTATACGCGTGGCACCGCCAACGACACCATCAAACACAGCTCACTCCTTGGAAATGTGACTACCACCGACCGCCTCAGATTGGTTCAGGATGCAACCTCAACGCGAATCCTGGATGGTCTATTGGCGTCTATGCTTATTCTGGGCATTATTGGCACGTGGCTTTTGAACACAGATCATGTTCTTCCAAAAAGTCCATGCAGTATCGCGGCCGTTGCAAGTCTCCTAGCAGATTCGAAACTGCTCGACCAATTCGTGCAGGGGGTTTGGAGACCCGAGGACAAGTCTCTCAACCAAACTTTTGCCCATCGTCGATTCTACCTGGGTTGGTGGCAGGATGAAAGTTCGGAGGCTGCGAATATAGCTGAGATCTTCACTATCGATCATACCGCGACGGATAAGGAGAGCTCAGCTCTGAGGAGTCTCGAGGCTTAATTAGATCTTGACAAACAAATGTGAAGTTTTAGAGACATGAGTTGAGAATGTGTACAAAATAATGAATCATGATTTTCGGAAGTTTATTCAGTCATATCGCTATAAGGAGACATGATTTACTATCTGCGAAATATGCTATCTATATAGGATAAATACCCCAGTGTTTATCGGCTCAATATTTGCACTATTTAAAGATGAGGCTAATATGCATGGAATAGCACAACCTGTGTATTTAATATTTGGTGGACTAGCGTAAAGTGGATTTATACAGCAGGGATAATTAGCTCCTCATTCTCTAATACGACGTCATTTTGTTTTACGAACTATGAAGTAAATAACTACCGGTTACAAGGACAGAAAATCGACTTGAGGCTTGAAAACCCTCAACGCATAGAATATCGGAGACGTCCTATCCTTAATGACTTTCATCTCTGGAATGTACACAATGGAAATGCTTAGAGCTGGTGTTTCGAAACTGAAAAAGGGTCCGCCCAGTTGATGCTCCCCTGGGAACGGAAACGAAAATAAACAAGAAAAAATGGAAAAATGCAACGAGGAGAAGAGAAAGAATCACGACCTCCGACGCCAGCGGAAGGTTCACATAATGTCGGAATCGGCCAAAGCACTCCTAACCTAAGCATGGTGCGAGCTACCGATGTGTCGCTTGCGGAAGCGCATCTCGGAGACCGCGCGGGCAACTTGGATGGCAGAGATGGAGAGGTCAGAGCTCTGGCCGGCGGTGCACTGAGTACCAGAGGCCATCTGCTGGGAGGCAGACCACTGTCCGTTGGCACAACGCTGGAAGGAAGTACCAGCAATACAGTTCCAGGAACCCTCAGGGCTGCAAGAGCCAGTCAGAGCGCCAGAGCTGCCCGAGCTGGAAGACGAAGACGAAGAAGGCGAGGCCGGAGCAACGGTTGATGCAGCGGGCTGGGGCACACTGGGGGCACTAGTCTCAGCCGGGGAACTGGTAGAAATAGGGACGGCAGCAGCAGCCTGGGACGAAGTCTCAGTAGAAGCGCTACCTGCAGCGGTGGAGGATGAAGACCCAGAGTCCGAGCCCGAGGTTCCCGAGCCCGAGGAGCTGCTGCCAGAGCTGGTATCGCCGTCGCCGGCGAAAGTAGGAGTACCGGAACACGCAGCATCGCCTTCGGCAGCGAGATTGGCGTCATCCTCCAAGGTCTGAACATTTGGACCAGGCTGAGGGAAACGAATGTCGACACCTTCCGTGGTAGTGCAGCCGTTGATGTTAGCCACAAACATGGGCGGGTAGTTGGCGGTGCGCTTCTCGACAACAGGGACGTCGCGCTTGGACGAGCTAGTGGTGACAGTGACAGGCGCACAGTTCATGTACATTTCGCGGTTGCCGACACGGTTGAACCAGGTCCAGGCGAGAGTGTACTTTCCAGCAGCAATATCATCGGGAATCTTGAATGAGAAGGTGGTGGGGTCCAGCGCGCTGGCATCGCCGCCCATGTTGCCTGTAACATTTGCAGGGCAACCACCCTGATACGACTGAATAACCTTCCAAGTAGTTGACTTGCTTGGGGCCCGGTCTTCAGTCAAACTGATCTGGCACGAGCCACCACCGTGAGTGGCCTGGCCCATGAGCTGCAGAGTTTGAGTGACGCCAACTTCCATCATATTCTCGGTAGATACAGTGTAGGTATCGCCACGAAGCTTGCAGGGGAAGTCGCCACCTTCACCATCGAGTGGGGAGTTGTTGAGGGAGTCCTTACCGTAAGGGACAGGCTGGACCATCTTCATGTGGGCGTTGGCCACAGAGGCACCGAGAGCGGCGATCAAGAGGGTCTTGGCGAGCATCATGATGATGAATAAGACTTTTGATGGTTCGACAGATGAATTCAAAGTTGGATATCCGATTCGTACCAGACGAAAGGGATCAAAGGGGAAAGGATTGGATGTTGGTAGTCGCGAGAGCAGAACGGATCAAGGCTTCCTGCGCCAGAAGAGTTAGTGGATACGAAAAGAGAAAAGCATAAGAGCACGATATTGGGCTGTTGTATGTGTTTATAAGGTATTCCATGAAGGTCACTTCACTGGGCGGTGGGTGTATAGGCAGCGATGTAGGCCACCGAGGGTGGATAAAGGCATGGTTGGGTTGTTGTAGGCATCTCTCCCATATCAAGCATGAATTCCTCACAATCCATCTGGATGGAATATGCGAGGCAGCAACGAGACAGTCCAACAATGGAATTATATTAACAGTAGGGGCTCAAACACAAGGGGATGGAAAGTTCCGCAATGATGCGAGGCAATGCACGGTAATGGAGAGTTTCGTAGAAGAATACCTTTGTCACAGATCAGGGCAGAGTTGTATCAAACAATCTCTGCTAAGCTTTTTTCTTCAGGATGTCCCAGATGGACAATGAAAATGAAGGATCAAGTGTTATGGAATGTCTTGATAGAAGCGATGAGGTTCTAGAAGGAGTGTCGTAGTTCGCCACAGGCGATGACTGCCAAGCAAAATTGAAGAAGAGAAAGGAAGACAGGACTGGCCTGTTGGAAGGTTTGTCGAACCTGTAAAAGGAAAGAAAAGGATTGAGATGTACTACAGAAAAGAGGAAGGAAAAAAAAGGGAAGATAGGGTCATGGCGTGAAAGGGTTTTATATCCAACCTGCCACTTGAACTTCCTCTTTCCTCCCCTCCACTTCCTTCCTCTACCATACTTTCTCTCCTCTTCGCTTCCCGCCAGGATCGGTCAGGTACGACATAGGGTCGTGCACCCATAAGCCAGCAGCCCGCAGGTACGGAGTCGCGACGGACATCTCGGTCCCTGAATGGAGTCATAACGAGATCCGCTAGAAAGTACGCTAATCAATCGGATACTTCCAAAGTTTGATTTCCTCCACAATCTCGCCAATCCACCATTCTGAATGGCCTGTCCGATGATGGCACGCGTCGTGAATAGTACAATAGGGACGACAGGGCGAGTGGAGACATAGATTCTCGAAAAGCTGGGACGTTTCAAGTGGTGGCTCTAAGCGTACAATTGCCAGATCAGAACGGTGAGTGGTGGTGAAGTGGCAGAGTGCCGTAGCCACTCAGAGGCTCGGAACGCGACCCCCGGACTGGGCAGATCGACCAGTCCCAGCGACGAGGCGGCTGGTGAAGGAGCCAACCACTGCCCAGACAAGACTCCCGTCGGGAGAGAACTGGCGCAAGGCACGACCCAATCGTACCTCTCCCCCCTTCGGAACCAGAGCTCGACCAATTGCCAAGCGTCTCACCATCAAATTGAGTCCCAAAGACTTCTATGTGCTTAGGCCGCCGACCGGGTGGATTGGTTGTGGAGAATCCCGATCGTTGACGCCTCTGTTTCCTGTCAGCGGGCCAGGGGACGAATCAGGCTGCAGAAGGTACACATTGTACCACGCTGCACGACCATCTGGCATCGAATGTGTACCATTTGGACGTTGAAACTGGAGGTTGCAGTCGTGGTGAACGGAGGGCCTCGTTTGGCGGTTTCATGTTTCCTCCCACGCTTTGCTGGGACGGTGACAGCTCCACCCCCTGTTGACTGCAGGGTTGGCCCCCCCCCGCAGACGCTCGGCACTTTGTGTAGCCAACCGGCTTGCGCGCTTGCGATTTTGCAGTGTCTCGATCCTTGTGTGCTGCCAAAACTTTGAATCGTGATGACGCACTGCGCGAAGGCGGGCATGACTACTGGAGAAGACCAAAACACCCCCTACAGTTGAAAAGCAGTTCTCGCGCCCGTCACGCACGCGTTTCACAATGGTCATTGTGTGCCTGAAAGCTTCTCTGGCTACGTAGTGGCCCACCATGCCCGGCACTGAAGCTGTCGACCACTAGGTTGGAATTGTCTTTGCCTTGAAAAAGGCATTGTTCAGGGTCCAGATACCTCCACCCAAGTCGTATAGCAGCCTCGGTTGGAACTTCAAGGAGGACGGCTGGGATGGTGCGGCTTAGCGTGAAGATCAAGTGGATCTTGGAAAACGGAAGGTGTCAACCGAAGATGCCGCGAACGCTGTTGTTTCGCAAATATAATATCGACACATTCAACATAGACCTCACATGTGCTGGTTGCTGTTGAACATTTTGGACAGGGGTTGCTTGAGGAGAAATGGACATACGCGATGTGACCTATCCTATTGTCCTATTGTTTTTCTTTGTTTGGCGGATGTTGATTCCGCACAGTACGACCTACAATCCAATTCATAGAAAGCAGATCCGAACAAAGCAACCCACGGTTCGACATTATCTTCCGAGACCCAGCGATCTCGTAATGCCGTGGACCAGATCCATAAAGAGTCATATGGCAGAAGCGTTTCATATTGATAATAAATCCCTTTTGTAGGCCCCGAGGAACCTTCTTGGCTTTGCAAGTTGCATGGCAACTTCTTGGCAATCCTCCCTCATATATCCCCTGCAATTTCCAATCTCATGGATAGCCTTTCCCCGCTGCTTAATCTCGGTTATGTCCGCCCTGGCGGCCCTGCAAATAAAGTGGATATAGTAGCGGGGTCTGTGGCGTAGGTTCGCAGCGGGTGTAGCATTGAATTAATCCACATGAGTAACGTTAATAAACTATGGAGTAGAACCTGGGATCTAGAGCTGTAGTCGCAATGCTTCCTGAGACGCCTCACTTATTCACCGGGGTTCGTCCACCCCGTTCTGTTCCATGGGACGGTGGTAGTTCGATTGATCTTGAGATCAGTCGTCTTTCACAAAATGGGTTTCAATCGGACAAACCCCTCAATAACCTATGCTTGGCGCTATCGAGGTGTCTGGCCGGCTAGACGTACGAACTTGGATGCCTGTTCTTCACAAAGTCTAACCCTTCTTCGCTGATGCCACCTGCCTTCCTCTATCTCGCATGGTCATGACTGATGGCTGGCGATGGGTATAGTATCAAATTCGAGCAGTCACAAGTCTGTGGCATCGAGCATGTTACTGTAACGTGCGTCGAACATACTAGGTATGGGATGAAAATGCCTCAAGACAGGCTCCATGCGTTTGATCAGTGGTGTTTCCGATTTTAAACGGTATATTGAATATTCCATGATGAATCAAACTCCTGACTTCTGCCTAGCCCCGTGGTCACATCGACGATGGAGCTGCAGGTGGATAGTAGGATGGTGGATAACAATCAATATCTTGGAGATGGCACGACAAATGACTCAAGAAGGCCGGTCAATTTATTAGTTGCTTGATATTAATGGGATTTCAGTCATGAGGAAATGAAATGCCGCAGATACTACACTCGCTGCCCGTGTGATCGAGGACCTAGATGGCGATGCGGGCTGGAAGATCCCCTCGCTGTAGGGTGTAAATAAGTTCCCGAATCTTGTCGTGCCTAGGCAGGTAGGCTGAGTGTTTTTGAAGCAGGGCCAAGGTATCTACTGTTGTAGTGCGATAAAAATGCACAACCTGTTGTAGGCCATAACCCTACAAGAAACTGAAGATTGAACCATCATCTAATCACTTCGTGAGAAAGGATAGCTTGCTGTTGCAAGAGAGCTCTTCCAACTTGAGAGCTTCAGACTGAGCCATTCTCCCCTCTAGAGTTTGAAGCCCAAGGAGTATATACATGGAACATTTACCCGTGATATAATAGCATCTTCATGCCCTAGGGCTGGCTGTGCATGTTCTTTTGAGGCCCAGATAGAGAGACCCAGCTTCCTGGCTGGAGGTTCTCATATAGATGTGCTGTACATGTATAGCAATGACTGCTCATTTCTTTCCCTTCTTCTTCCCCTTTTCAGAAGCGGTGGCACTATCATCCTGGGTGAAACCACCCTTGACCAAAGCATCCCGACCAACATCATTGATGAGTCTGAATCGCGCAGGTCCCAGGTGAATCCCACCATACCACCGCGAGACCACAACAAGGACATTCCACACATCCATTAGTTGCATTACATGGAGTAAGCGGGCTCCGGCAGCCGTTTCTCCATCGTCGTCGTAGTCCTGAACCACCGTCTCCGCCGCGTCAGAGTCAGTGCTCTTAGACTCGGCGTCTTTCTTTTGCTTAATGCGCCACGCGCTGATATTGTGTGTCGCCACTGCGACTTTCTTATCCGTCGCTGTCAAATGATCGAGGAAAGTCTGCGCCTGCGCTAGACTCGTTACTCGGACTGCTCGGGCTAGAAAGACGGACTTTTTCTCCGTCACCACATCCGAGAGGACCCAATCCGGTGGATTGTCGAGTCCAAATTTATCTTGTAGAGATAGAGATGCAAAGCTTTCCGTTGCTTGTTTCGTGGCAGCACCATTGGAACTCGTCGTTTGACTAGCGGTGTAGCCTGTCGTGCTAGAGGGTTCTGTCGTCTTGGTCTGCGTGCTATCCTTGGCCCCGCCAATATTCAATTCTGGGAATACCTCCACTGCTTCACTGATCACATCAAACAAGCAGACAGCGCCGGGTTGCCATGTCCGCTGTACGATATCTTCCAATACGTCCACAGCTATTTTCCCCTCTCCGCGCGCCGCAGTCGAGGCAGTTCCAAGCACTATGGGCTGTGTTTCTGGATATGTTGCGCCGAAACCTAGGCGAAAAGAAAGATCTGACTGGCCAGGGATCTGGAGCGTCGCTGTTGTTTGCGCATCGTCGCTAGATGACCCGGAACTTCCCAGATCGAGGGTACTGGTAGATTGCGCTGTCGGGGCGCGGGTCACCGTGATGGTGTCTGGTTCGTAGATAGCATTGATCGCTTCAATTTCTTCGGCAAGCTCTCGGTTGGGTAGATCGTCCAGTGCCGACATTGTGTGACTGGCGAGGTGAAGATTGCGATTCGGATTCCCCTCCTCGTGCGGAGAAATTGGATCCCCACACTGAAATCCTCAGGCAACAAGGCATCATTGTCTGATGCTTGGGTTCATCTCTCAGTCTACCATAGGCTATTTTGCGACGATAGCATGTACTGATCGTTTCAAATCATGTTGGTAAAAAAGGTTGTCAAGAAAATACAAAAAGAACGATTTAGAAGAGCACACGTCGATTATTGAGATTAATGCAGTCGATCAGGCAAGACAAATTCTTCCAAACTAATCTATCTCATACTCCTCAAAGTCAGAATACCTCCCACGACCTGCTCTGTGCACAGCTAAAAAGTAAATAGAAACGCAAACACAGTCTACAGCAGAAAATGCGTTAGATTTTCTCAGCATCCTGGACCTACAAAGTTAATGCCCGACTCTAACTGCATGGAACCCAATGCAAGAGTCTCATCGTCGTCATCATCCAAGCCATCTAGATCCTCTCGCTTCCAGAATGCCCGGAAACCTTCAACAAGCCTGCGCGTAAAAGGTGAGACATCCTCGGCATCCATAGGTGCAAAAGCAACTCGGATATACCGGTGTTCTTTCTCGATAGATTTTGGCCCTGCCGCGAATATCTGACCCGGCGCCACCAGACACAAATGCGGCTTCTTCGTAAGGTGTATCCAGAAAGCCTTGGATAGTTTCTGCTCGCTGTATTTGGCCCGCAGTGGATGGGTCTCAAGACGGATCTCAACCCAGGCAAACATGCCACCCTTGGGCCAGACAAAGTCGTACATCTGGACCCGATCGACGACCTCCCAGTCATTGACGTGGTCGACGGTAGATGATAACGCAGATTTCTCCGAGAACAGGAACTTGTTCTCTTCAAGGATGGTGCACATGTCGTTCATGCGTCTCTCGTACCCACCACGCAATCCTTCCAGCCAGCGAACCCACCCATCCATGCGCCAGCTATGGATATCTTGCTTCTTCAAGGCAAAAGCGCCATTCTCCTTCAACTGTTCCCCGATAATTGTCTGGGCAATTATAGACTGTACGAATCCTGAAGGTTGTTGCGTTGTAACCTCAGTAATGCGAGTGATACGCTCGATGACGGCGGGTTGCGCAGTGATCCAGCCCAGACGGCTGCCAGGTGCAATGGTCTTCGAAAAAGTGTCCAGTCGTACAACTCGTCCTTCTGTGTCGATCGATAGATATGAAGGGACCAACGAGTCTAAGAACGCATATCCCGAAGACCGACCCTCGGCATTATAGCTCCGATTGTAGGGCGTAGACTCTGAAGAGGTCCCCCGATAACGGGCCTCCATCTCGTATGCAGAGGGGAATTGCAGGTTCCAGTATGGATCATCTTCCACTATAATCACGTCATATTTCTGACAGAGCGCGTAGATTTCCTTTCTTCGCTCAATGGAAAGATTTCCTCCAGTGGGGTTCTGCCCAATTCTGTCAAATAAACGCAGTTAGAATATTGGGTCATCCATTGCGAAAACCACGCAAGTGAAAGCGCAACTCACGTCACGGTATACATGAGATGCGGACGTCTTCCGCGTCGGAAATCCCAATTTTCCAGTACGTCTGCCAGGCCGCCTTTGCCGGAAGCTAGCATACCTTGACCATCCACGGCCACGGTGACGGTATTGAGGCCTCGCGGCTGGATGGTTTGAATGGCGTTCATATAGGTGAATTCTTCGCATAGCACGCCCTCGCGCTGCTGAATCCAGTCCCGGTCGGGATTCCAGATATTAGTGAAAAGCTCAACGGCTTTGGAGAAGCCGTCGGTGTTACCGCATGACATGATGACCTCGGGACCTCCTTCGTAGGGAACATTGGGATGGAGATGGTCGCGGACGAATTGTCGGAGGAACGAGACAAGCGGTGGATAGCCTTCGGCAACGCCATACTGGAGAGCAGTGGTCAAGTCGATTTTGCGCGTAGGGTCGGTAGTCTGAACTGCTTTGGGGATGAGTACCCGGTCGGCTTTGGTGTCATCTTTGTTGGATGGTTGGAGACGCTGAGGGCGGGCGACGGTCGCTTCGAGGGTATCGTACGGGAAATATGAAGGGTGTGGTAGGCCTAACGAGGAAGTATAGCAGGTTAGCCGAGGCTATGGTTGCTTAATTGGGGGGTGCTCTGTTATGTACCTCCCGCGAAATTGGCGATGCCTGGAATTGTAAAATACTTGTAGAAGCTCTTTACGCTGCTCGGGTTGCGATTCTTGGACGCATACGAGTAGTGGTGCGACAAGTCTAACGGTTGTGGGGATGTGATGGCTGTCATGGCGATCGCTGCAGCTCAACGGGCGTGCATATGGCCACTTTTCACGGGGCGAAGGTTGGAAACCAAAGATAGAACAAGATAAAAAAAGCAAAATGGGATTATCTCGAAGGAGGGCATCAGTGAAATATCGGATTTCTAATCTCCACGAAACCTGTTAGATCCCCCCGCACGGTTTGGCCGTGGGTGTCCGAGTGCTTGATAAGCACCGCTACTATTTGGGCCCGGTGGGTCACGGAAGGCGTAGTTGGAGGAAGCCAACGCCTGGAGCTTACAAGGATCTCATGGAGCTATAGGGCAGAGATAAGAGAGAAGCAGGCTAAGAAGAGGCCTGAACAAAGTATTCCATGTAGTCAAATCTATGTATATCATAGACCCGTGTCAACCTTGCCCTTTCTTCCCATCTCAGCCCTTTCCAAACTCTGAACAAAAACACGCTAGTCCACGATAGACCTAAATCGGATCCGAAGACTGAATCGTCTTCTAAGACTCATGATGATGCATCTATCCAATGACATAAAAAAACACCACCTATCTTTTGGAGGTTTGAGGTCTAGACTCCTCTGCTACCCATATTGTACTCAGAACTCTGCTATCAAACGAGGTCTCGCTGATCACTCCCTGGACCTCTATTACTTTGGAGCTTGCACTCCACACCTAAGGGCTTTGTTGCCTTTTACACGCTCATATTATACCATGACTTCTTCAAAGGTCACTCTGTTCGATCTGCCAAATGAGCTGCACCTAGAGATTACGAGCTACCTTGATTATACCCCCCGACTGATTCTATCCCAAACATGTTCTTTCTTCAGAGCCAGGGTCCCCACGACAAATCCAATGCCACAGGAAAAGCTGTCATATCTATGTCAAGTCGAGACATGGCCTAAGTAAGGATCTTCCCAAATACCCATGAGTGGGATTGCCAGAAGCTTATATTTCCAGATACAATGAGTACTTCTCTTGCCGTTTCTGTCTAACACTGCGTCACCGGAGACATTTTTCCGACTATCAGATACTGCAAGATTATGGTAAGGGTTGCAGTAAGAGTTACTGCCGATTCTGTAGCGACTGCCGGTGCTGTTTTGGTGACGAGGGGTGCCCGGTTTCAAGATATCATCGAAAGTAGAAGGGCCCCCTTATACTGTTTGTAGTCGATGCTATCGGCTATGCCCATCATACTCCAATTGTGAGGTCAGTGGCTTCTATTAGCGTTGCTCTGGGACAGAAGTTTTGCCTGTTATTCACAGACAATTTTACTCTCACGACTATCCAGCACGGTGACGCACGGGGGAATATGTCTGCTCTGTTCCACTTTGAAGTGAATGCTCTAGATCCCGGTCAGAATTTACTAGAGGGTTGAATCATGCTTCGTACTTTAGTTGTTTGCTCGAGGGCCTACAAGGCAGTTGTAATAAGGTCTGTGGAATAGGATGAAAGGATTTGACACTTACTGCTTTGCCGCCTTGTTCTTCTTCGCCTGTCTGTCTTGCTGGTTGTCGTAGAGGGTTGTGAATGGGGTCTACCTTCCAAGCTCATGAGAGTATCATACAGTTCCAGGGAATATGATTTTGTATGGCAGATCTGTATGCTGGTAGGTGGATAAATCACAAGTTCTATATTCATAATGCAGCTAGAAGAGGAGAAACTGCTGTAGGAAGACGACATTTCCAGGTGGACCTAAAGAAATAGTTTCTGCGTCGATGTTACCACAATTTACCCGATGTATGATAATAACTATGATCTCTGAGTACTTGTGCAGTTATTCCATGAAAGTACCTTCTTCGCCTCCTGCCAGGTACCCGAGCACTGATCCTCCAAGTCGCCCTTGCGGGGAAACCCGAGATGATCAACCATTCTGCGTCACACTGGCCTGCATTAGTGTTGGCCCAATACTAATTTAACTTTCCACTCCCTGAAATGATTGATCTCCTATATTTCTACACTCTATACTTAACCTTTTATGCATAAATTGAATTAGGCAGAATCAAAGTGAACATCCGTTTTTGGGGCCGTCTCGTGCACCCTCGCCACTGGGTCACAGGATCAACGCTGATTGGCTGCCGGACAAGAATCACCGCCCTTCCTCGACGTCCCTTCTTTCTCCCACTCTTCTTTCTTCACTTCACTTCACTTCCACTATCTTAACTATTGTCGCCTTTATACATACTGGCCCTTTCATATACTTTATCCTTTATTTCTATTCCCGTTTCCGATCTTTAGACTCCTGCATTACGACCTCTGCTTCATGGCTAGGTGACCCTGGTGATCCTCCCCACTTTTTTGGAGATCTCCACTTGCGCCTAGCGCCGACCGCTCCAACACCGACATCATAGTCGTTCGTTCATTCCTTTCTCTTTCCATTTTCGGTCCATTCTTTTCAGTCACCCTTCAGCCATGATAGGGGAGGGCCGTGACGAGGCTGTTCGCCTCTATGTTCCCCCATTACTTGATGATGAGGAGAATCTCATCAATCCCGACGCTTCCGAGGATTTCCCGCCGCCTGATGTCGAAGCCGGCAGCGCCCTACCTATCTGGCTACAAGAGTCGTCCAAATCTTTTCGCTGGGGCTGGGTGCCACTGCCGCTCAGGAAGGCAGGACGTGCGACTGTGAATTGGATCAAGGGACCTGACCCCCCACATATGCTTTTACTGAAGCCGCTGTTCCCGCGTCTACAAGAACTGCCAGTACAATACCTCGAACACTTTTTTCCGAAGCACAGACAGAAACTGGCGCTTCTGCTGCTGCTATACACATCATGGTTTCTGCCCTGGTTCCTGGTTCTCTTACACTCGCGCTCCTCGGGATATATTGAAGGCTACGGCCAGCTACAGACACTCTCATGCTCCACAAATTTCTGGTATGTATCGATATCGTTCCTTGATTGACAGCATTGGCATACGCTAACATATGTATGACTGATGCAGGGCGTTTGACAACGGATGTGGTCTCAACGGAAACGACTGCCGCCCCTTCTCAGCCTCGACTGTGGCTTTCCGGTGTCCCGCAAACTGCCGCGATACTAAGCTGCTAGAACCGCATGTTGTTGGAAACCAAACCTTCAACTACCAAGGCCTCGTCATTGGTGGTCCCCTGCCGGGATCTGACGATCATGCGATCTACCGTGCTGACAGTTTCGTCTGTCAAGCTGCTATTCATGCGGGAGTCATCTCGAACGATGGCGGCTGCGGTGTCGCGAAGCTCGAAGGTGCAGCGCACTCCTTCCCGTCCGTGAAACAGAATGGGATTCGATCAGAGGAGTTCCCATCGACATTCCCGAAGTCTTTCAGCTTCCCCCAGCTTTCCTCTTCTCAGTCAAACTGCCCAGCCGATCCGCGCTGGTCGCTTCTCGGAGTGACTGCTGCGGCTGTCGGATTACTGTGGCTCTTCTGCACTTCGCCGCCTGTTCTTTTCTTCAGTACATTCTTCATGGTCTTCTGCCATACAGGCTTGGTTGCCGACCCGCCATCGTATCCTTACCTGTCTGACCTTGTCTCTACGCTGCTTTCTCGGTTGTTGCCCGCATCGTTTGTGATTTATGTTCTATACAAGTTCTGTGCATCTCCACTTCTCCAGCCGATCAGGTCACCCATATATCAGCTGGAGAAGCTACTTTTATTCCTCCCGATGCTTTTTATCGGAGCCTTGAACAACTACACGTTTGCACGATTGATACCCCTTCAGCGTTTGACGCCAATGGATATCCAGCAACAGCCTGGTGCAAAATTGGCTCTTGCATTGGTCGTTCCAACTGTGCTTACTATCGTTCTTAGCCAAGCATGGCAGATTCGGCAGGGTGGTCTCCTTCCGCGCTACCTCAAGATTTACTGCACCATGGGGCTGATCATTCTGATTTTGCTCCCACTGCCCGGTCTGCGGCTTCGAATCCATCATTATATCCTCGCCATTCTGCTGATGCCAGGCACCGCCTTTCCTACTCGCCCCTCACTGGCATACCAGGGGTTGCTCCTTGGTCTCTTCATCAACGGTGTTGCGCGCTGGGGATTCGCTTCCATCATTGAGACCCCCGCTGCTTTGGGTGAGCTGGCTCCGGGACGTGGATCTCACGGATGGTGGGGCTCCACATATCCAAACGTCACTGCCTCGTCCGTTCAGATCGCATTACCCGAGCCAGGCTCCAGTTTCACGCACCGTGGCAATGGCAACATCACTTTTGCCCTGTGGGAACACGAGCGAATGACCGAGCTCGACGTGGACGGAGTCTCGGTGCTGCTCAATGACGTAGAACGCTGGCGCGGCTATCTTGACGAGGACAAACCTGGCGAATTTACCTGGCACCGCCATGGGCACAACGGGCTTGAGCTGAGCAAGACGCCAGTCCTTGAGTCACGCGAGGTTGACAGCCTTGAGCTTGATTCTCAGTTTATCTTGCAGGGCTATAGTGATTCGGGCGAGGATGGTGAACCCGAGGCGCTCTTTTTCCGCTTCGCCTTCTTGCGCGGTGCTGAGGCCGGCACTTACGGCCCTGCTGGCGTTTGGAGGAGCGACGGGACGTGGGTTCCACCAGCTTCCCCTAAACGATAGTTTGGTCGTTCTGCTACTCGTTGGCCACTTTTGATTATTCAGTTTTGAAAATTTTCGTCTTGCTGGATAGATGACTATAAAACGGTGGTATGTGTGTGCTGGACGCGCTCTGCCCACGGGAGTGTGACCCAGCGAGTGTGACCCAGGTCACACTCATAGACGACTGCGTTACGCCGAATGAACATATCATGAAATTTGTCGATACTCCTGACTTCGGTCCACTGTATTTATTTTAGATCACAGACGTTTATAGTAGAATGTTTTTGTCCTATCTAACCTCCAATTCTCAAAGTCAGCGATGGTCTGACAATTCCGTCCATGACTCCGGAGCCACGTGATCTTTTCTCTCTGCCTACGCCGACTTTCCAACAGGCAGCCCCAGTCCCGTCCACACTTTCCATAGTCGATCCCAGAGGTTCCAGCAACCTCGACGGACAGAAGTACATCAGATCAAAGTGGCCCGAAAGCCATCCTGCCATGGAACCCGAGGGTTCCGACCGTGAGGAGCGCGAGACGCCAAGCGCTTTGACCCGACGTGCAGTATGTACTCCACTTCCCCAGAAGCTCAAAGGGAATTTGAAAGAAGAATCATGTCATTGGCACAATTCATTGACTTTTTATATGGCGATAATTCTTACTTACTATCTTTCCCTGGATTAGTGTGATCAATGCCGGACTCGGAAGGTAAATATAGATCAATGCCCATGACCCTTGTCTCTTTTCGAACTAGGATTAACATTCGACTCAGATTCGGTGTGACAAGCGTGTCCCATGTTCGAATTGCCGTAGTTCGAACATTACTTGTCGTTCCACAGGCGAAGGACAGAGACCAGCTGAGCCCCGGCGCCGCGTGTTGATTTCTAGCCAGTAGTACGTGATCGTCGTCAAAATGGTAGCCGATCGGAATGATTCTTTGCCGCTAACAGACCTCAACAGTGAGAAGAAGATTGATCTCATTGAAGAGCGCCTTGGTGGTGTCGAGGAGACGTTACAACGCCTCGGAGGCATTGAACAGGCTCTACGGGAGCTTCTAATATCGTCTCGACAGCAAGGTGTTGCCCACACCTCCAAATTTTCGGCATCATCTCTATCATCACCCGTTACATTAGCTCGAACTCAATCCTCAGCATCCAAGCAAGATCACGAAGATTTAAAAGCCCCCGGGTATACTTCTAATCTTGCGATCGAGCAGCACGACTCCGGCTCTGCATACGAGGGGAATTCCTCTCTAGCGGCTCATTCCGCTTATGCAAAGGAATTTCTCGAATCTGCCGTTTCACACAGTACACCTGAAATGTTTTCTAGCCCGAAGATCAGCGAGGCTCTTTCATCTCTGAAACAAATTGTTGAGATGCAAAGTAAACAGCGAGACGCCGGAACGCAGAGAGGTCAACTTTCCAGTCGGTTGGGCGCACGCTGTGATATACGTGATTTGGAGATGCCACCCTTGCCAGTGGTCCTATCCGTACTGAAAAAGGCCAAAGGTATGACTGAAAACCCAGGGGCAAGCGAGTTCCATGATTCTAATAAATGCAGAGAACCCGCCCGCCTCGTTTGGGGGCTATATTCCTTTCTTCACGGTGGACTATTTCATCTCGAGGTGTCAGGAAGTCTACTTTGCTACAGAGGATTACTCCGACGCGACATTTATCATCGCTAACTTTGGCCTTTATGGTATCTTTGTTGAATTTGGATTCTGCGAGAAGGAGCCTGCCACACGAGACGAATACCAGCGGTATGTCCAGGTATGTAAGGATAATTTGGAGGCGGCATTGGCGAATTTGAATATTTTGATGCCAGTTACTATGGACTCTGTCGTTGCACTGGCAGTTGGTGTGAGTTCTCCCATACAAGACCCTAATTTCAGCACAGGCCAGGCGCTGACGAGAGAAGGCAATTCATGGAATCGAAATATCGAAGCCGTCAGTCAGTTGGACTCTCGCCTCGACAGCTATTCAAATGTGCCAGACTTTGGGATACAATCGCCGCTCTTCCATGGAACACGATCCTCCTGAAGTGCAACACCGAAAACAGGACATTTTCTGGTCTGTGTATACGATTATTAACTTGATGTCATTGCGCTTGGGACGTGCTTCAGTGGTACAGGCCTGCGACGTGGATATCCCTTCGCCGTTCGAATGCTTCCCGAACATGGGAGTATGGAGCATGGTTTGCTCTCTATGGGCTCGGCAAGCCGTCATCCAGAACGACATATACACGAATTTATACAGCCCTGCAGCACTTAACCAGCCAGAGAGCGAACGGGTGGTGCATGCTCGGCGCTTGGCTGTTGAAATGCGGAGGGATGTCCTTGATCCTTTTGATGTAAGCAAAACCCATACACCAGCGTTATATGCTTTGCTTTAATACTCACCTATATCGAACAGCGAATTTTGACTGCCGATTTGAACATGTCCGAAGTCGATGTTATCTACCTTCGCTCTGATGGAGTCAGTCGATTGGCAATCTTGACATTGATATACCGTGCTATCCCGGTTGAGCCTGGCTCGCCCAGCACCTTCATCCCGGAGTGTATCGAGACGGCCAGAGCAGCGCTGGAGCTCCATCAAGTGTGCATAGCCAGTCTAAAAGAAGCTTCCGAAAATTTGCGATGTTCATACATGCATTGGTAAGTGAAAAAAGCCCTGGAAAAGCATTTCCATTGACCTCCCTCTTTAACCTCCCTCAATCACGTATCCCATCACTAATATTCAACAGGGCGATTTTCCTCTCCCCATTCGTCCCTTTCATCGTCATATTCTGTCACGTCATCACAACATCCGACACCAAAGATCTCGCCCGCCTCGAAGACTTCGTTGCCTCTCTACGCCCTCTCTGCCGTTTCTCCCAATCAATCGACCGCCTTCACAACCTCTGTTCAGTCCTCAGCACAGTCGCCCGTCTCTACGTCGAAGCAAAGTCGCGAAAACAAGCCGGCGAGGACCAGAACATGGCATCCGTAGGCCAAGAGTTCGATGCCTATCTGAGCGCGCTTGGATTGGCACCGGGAAATGCGGTTGCTAATAATCCGTGGGGCGCGTTTCAGCCGGACGGTTCGTCTATGGCTACCGGTGCAGCGGATCCGTCGCTTCAGGCGTCTGGGTATGGAAATCCGTCTATGCCTGCTCAAGGCCAACCTCAAGGTCAAGATATGTCGATGGTGGAAATGTCGCAGGCTGCGCAGTTGGGTAATTGGTTCTCTGGTAACCAGTATATGATGGGGTTGCTGGAAGAGGATATGTTTCAATTCAATCCTACGTGATAGTTGAGTCCTACGTGATAGTTGAGTCCTACGTGATAGTTGAGTGTCAGTTAAGGCTGGAAATAAATATTTGTACAGAAAGAGATGGTAAAGAGATTTCACTATATGGATGATCTACACTTCAATCGCATCCCTTATGAATACCTGGAGCCTGAATAGTACGGTTTTTGAGATGAATGGCTAATTTGGAATAAGTTTTACTATACAGAGAAGGTACTGAATATACCTCGCATGGATTGGGTTGACTTGGTAATCTTAGTTGAATAAGTATTCGTTCCCTGCACAATGCCGGCTCAAACATCGAGTAATGTAAGTTTACCCAATAAAACCGATAGACCTGCGCCTTATCGATGCTACCCAATCCAGACATGGACTATGTCTCTGTTGCCTATGCAGTTGTAGTTGTTATCATCCTCGATCGACTGGTTCGCCCATGGACGTCGCGTTTGAGTAGGACAATATATCACGGGTATAGGTTGAAGTTTCGGAATAACAATAAATTCATGAAGATGCTGGCCAATTTCAAGGATCATTCTTATCAACCGAATTGACTTGGCTTGTTTAAAAGGAGCTAGACCAGGACATACATACTCCGTATGTCGATGGCAAAGATAAGAGAAAAAGCAAATCAACCCGCACGTGGTCTGCGACCGGATCCGTCCTGTTTGATTGTCCCAACTTCCTCTCTTTTTTCCTCTTCTCTTCTATTCTCAATTGCTCTCATCTTCTCTCATACACATCAATCTTCTCTTCTTGATATCAAGTTATCCCTCGGAGCCACTCCGCCGACTCCAAGCGATACCGTTGGCTTAACTCAGAGCCCAGTGGAGCCGCGTTTTAAAGTTGGTCCAGCCCGTGAAAATCTCTCTCCAATAAGATGCCCGTACGTAATACGATCGGAGTCGATTTGGGGTTTTCGGCCAAAAGACTCAATCACCATCTTCGGCTTGGAGAAGCTGTGCATATGCGTGGATTTTTTCTCTGTCTCACTTCTCGCCGGGTCTATTATCGGAATCGTGAAAATTTACATACAGCAGGGCACAGCAACTAAGAGGGAAAAAAATTTTAACCCATCGTCATCTCCCCGCAATTCACCGAAGTGAAAGCAGCGATCGCGGAATTTTCTTGGAGGGGCTGATTGGGGTTATCATCGGCTTTTGATTGTGCCTGTCGCGTTCGGCAAGCCCTATCATTCGAGGACTGCCTCAGTAATTGAAGGTCGTCGGGTTTTCGTGTCGCCTTTGATTTGAGTTCCATCGACACTTGCGACACTACTTTGTTCTTCGTTGCAGAATTTATCATCTCAGTCCAACATTCACAATGGGCTCCACGGAGACATCCTCTTCGAGCCCGGGGCTGCAGAGCCCCCCAGAACTCGCTATCCAAGAGTCTAGGGTGTTGATCATCATGACTGGAGGCACAATCTGCATGCAACCATCGCCACATGGATTCATCCCTGCTAGAGGGTTCCAAGAGAACTGCATGGCCCGGGTACCATGCTTCAACGATGGCTCTGCCCCTGCCGAGATGGACGTGGTGACCAAGGGAGGACGCGATATCACTCCGCATCCCAGTCTACGCACTCCGGTCACGACCTACGGCCGTCAAGTGCGCTACACCGTCTACGAGTTCGAGGAACTCTTGGACAGCAGCTCTATCAATGCCAAGGGCTGGGCGGAGATTGCGCAGACCATTTTCCAGAACTACACTTTCTTCGATGGCTTCGTCGTTCTGCACGGTACCGATAGTTTGGCATATAGTTGCTCTGCGCTGAGCTTCATGCTGCAGAACCTTGGAAAGCCCGTCGTCCTCACGGGGTCTCAAGCGCCAATGCTCGAGCTCCAAAACGATGCTACGGATAACTTGCTCGGTTCCCTGGTAGTGGCCGGCCACTTCATGATCCCCGAGGTATGCTTGTACTTTAACAACAAGCTCTTCCGGGGTAATCGCACCACCAAGGTGGCTGCCAGCGACTTTGCTGCCTTTGATGCGCCCAATTGCCCGCCGCTGGCCGTGACCACTTCGATGCGCACCAATGTCAACTGGGACATGGTCCACCGGCCGACAACCTTGGAGCACTTCCGTATTCAGACGAACCTGGATACGGCCCATGTCGCGTGCCTTCGTATCTTCCCGGGTATCAAACCGGAGATGGTGGATGCCGTATTGAAGCTGGATGGGCTACGTGGCTTGGTGTTGGAGACGTTTGGAGCAGGAAATGCCCCATCTGGACAAGACAACGCCATGATTAACGTGCTGGCCGCCGCCATTCGACGAGGAATCGTGATTGTCAACGTGACTCAATGTGAGCTATATCCGGCCCCTGCCCTATATGAGCAAAGAGGATGCTAACGGTTTAATTTTCTTTGCTAAGGCCTGACAGGTAGTGTTAGTCCTGTCTATGCTACAGGAATGAGCCTCTCCCGGGCCGGTGTTGTCGCGGGCCTTGACATGACGACAGAGGCAGCGTTGACGAAACTGGCGTACCTGCTCGCGTTACCAGACTCCACTCCGGAATCTGTAGCTAAGAACATGTCAGTATCACTCCGGGGCGAGTTGAGCGAATCGTCGCTGCCGGTCTTCCGTCATCCGGACGGTGCGCTGCCCGAGCGCGTGCAGACGCTGACGGCAATGGGATACGCCATTGCGCAAGGCGATCTCGAACGGGTCAAGACGATCCTCAAGACGGAACACCACTGGCTGCTTAATGATGCAGATTATTCAGGGAACACGCCTATCGTAAGTGAAGACCCAAAAAGAAAAGAAAAAACAAATTCTCTGGGGATTGCCATATTGCGCCAGATTGGTTTTTACTTTGCATTGCTGACTCGGTGTTTGTTGCACGCCGTCTTTTTAGCACTTGGCGGCTACTTCCCCTGCGATTTCGATTCTCCACTTCTTGCTATCGCATGGTGGCTCCGTTCACTTGCGCAATCGCAATGGACGTACCCCGCTGTTCCTGGCGGCGAATGCGGGCCTATCAGAGCACGTCTTGCTGTTGCGGAAATCTGGTGCTCATCTACACTCTGATGAGCGACCGGCGGCCGAGCTTCTGGCCCGGCGGCGTCCCGGAGTCTGGGGTTTAGCGGGCATTGACCCACGTGAGAACAACCAACGCGAGATGGACGAGGAAGATCAAAACGCCGGGCGCAGTCGGACATTGATGGCCGGGTCAGCACCGTGAAAGGAAATAGAAAGCAGCATTCACGATACGCGAGAGAAAGAGGGGGGAAGGGGAACGACAACACCAGCAACACCACCAGCAACACCACCACCACCACGTAGCCAGTCAGTCCCCGACATCCCCGATTCGCGACATCGGCTCACATGTCTCTCTTCCCAATCTGTGGACGAGGAGGGATTTCACGCCGGTCACATCATCGCGGGTAGTACAGCGCGGGCGATATGCTAAGCGCAAATGATCACGCCAGAAAGACATGGAACTATTGGGTCATTTGGATATGTGGGATTTGCATGTCCGCGGAGATCGGTCCCTGCCGCTAGAGGAGGGAGGAAGGAAGGAAGGGAGGGGCCAGCCCAGTCGCCAAGTGGATACCAAAGCAAAGACGAATAACCAGCGAGAGTTCCGGAGGGCTCAACGAAATTTTCTGGGGTTACCTGGGCTGAATTGCTGGTGACTGGTGCTGGATTGGGTGGCCCTTTTTCCCCCTCATCTGCTGAGTTCCGGGCTTTGCAACCCATTTTGGGCTTGACTTGAACTAATTAAGTTTATAACTTTGTTTCTTCATCCCCGTGATTTCTTCTTAGTGATTGCGTTTAGAGATATTATTGATAGATATTGATAGATGGCGATAGCGATATGATCTTCAAGAAAAGTCTGCAAAATTTCTCGGTTCTTCGTCTTCATTCCATGGGTCCGGGGGTTTCAAGGTTCGGCGACTTCCACTCTGCCCTCGGATGCCACCGTCCAGTACTTCAGTACGGAGTACATGTACATACAGTATGTATGTACTCTGTACAGCAGTTACTAGTTGCCCCATCCAATCCTGCACGCACTACGCAGCTGGCCGATAGAATTTTGCGGGGTTTGGCTTTGGCGCTGTTCGTCTGGCGAGCTGTTTTCAGCCATGACACATCGGGCCAAGGGCCTGGGTCATTTTTTTTCCCAGGTACCTTCGGAAGGCGATCCGGAGGTATTAGTTGGCTACATGACTAACTTGATGTCTATTGGGGATACTATAGAAGATAACGGAGAAACAAGAGTACGTGTCTCCGGAGTCTACTACTTGGTGGGCGAACAGAATACTGTTCCCAACGTGTCTATATGATTTTCATACTCTATGGCTTGTCTGTGCAATTCCTTATTTTCTACACAATATGCCTATTATTCTAATTATATACTCTTGACTTAATAGGTATATTATCTCTACTAATTCATGTAGAACTCCAGAATCTAGAATCAAGAATCTACAAATTCTGACAAACTCGAACCAGACCCCGAACATCGCTGCACTAATCGATTGAGGCAGGTCATCCCTTCGTTCTCCATTCACCGTTTCCTCCAGCCTCTTTCACAGGCAACCAAAAGGGGTCATGCGTTGGCGTGTCCAGGTGATGCGCCAGAATTCCGATCGACCCTCTTTTTGTTCCCTATCCCAATTCCCCCATCCAATCAGTCCCATCAATCCACAGGAGTTGAGCAGAGAGAAAAAAATGACACCAGGAACCCACATCCTAGCACCACGTGAGCGCGCCCCTGGCAGTTGGTGGAACGAAGAGCGAACACTACTGTACTATCGTGAGTAATAAAAAAAGATCTTTTTTTTCGGTGCTTGTTTCTTCACTGGTATGACCTATGTTGCCCACTTTTTTTTCTCCTTCCACGTCTTCGTTTTTCTTGGTTGTTCCCCACGTTTGCGCGATTTTGATAGTTCGGCGTTATAGGGATTAGTGGCCCCGTGGCTAAATGGTGTTGAGCTGCGATGCTCGGCAAGGTCTAATACTACTAGTAGTCTACGACTACTACTGTAGTAAGGTGCTATATGGTCACCTGGTCTGTCTGACTATTCTCCAATTGCTCCAGCGCACCTAGTTGGAGTAGTTACTCCTTGGTACTATTTCTCGAGATGGCATCATCACGGCTTGGCAGGAGCTTAAACCGGAGCCTGTACCCGTGCAGACCTACAAACGCAGTAGATGATAGACGGTCGTGATCTGACTTGGATGTGCCATTGTGCAGCCAAGGATAGGCCCTGTTTCCCAGGGCATTTCTCATGGGGCCGAGCCTGGGTCCCGATGGCCGGTCTGGCAGGATCTTCCCGTCCAGTGGACGCTGCCGACGCCGCCGATTTACGTAAAGAAAAAGGGCCTGGAGACCGCCCAGCCCAGTCCAGCGTGTACACGATGGTGTCATCGGAGGAGTCGAGGGGAGAAAAAAAATGGTGCAAACGGGAGAATATGTATCATTGTTGGAATAAGCAAAACAAAAAATAGAAATCTGGTAATAATAGACCAGTAAGTAGTAGGTCTGGTGGTTGATACTCGATTAGACCTTGTATACCGATCGAAAGGGGTAGGTCACCGGAGAAGTATAGTTCGTTCGTAGTCATAGCAATAATAGTAGTTACTACAAAGTAAGGTACCACTGGGCTTTCGACGCTAGTTATAGCATATTTCTTGACTCTTTTTTTTTCTCTCTATTTTTTCCTTTTTTTTCCTTTTTTTTCTGCCGTCACTTATTTTTACTTGTTTCTTATACTCCAAGCGACTATCAGATCACACTATGAAATGATGCTTGATCCCCCTATCATTTCATCAGACCATCGCACGGAGCCCTATAAGTCTCTCTATAGTCACCGTAATATTACTTTAATTCTCTCCTTTCCCCCCTCCCCTATAAAGCTGCCCGACTAAGAATTTTTGACTCGGCTCTACTTCCCGGTCTTACTTTCTGTTATCTTATCCTTTCTTCTCTTCCCCCTCCTTTCCCCCTCCTCCGCGTTTTATGGTCGGAATCGGAAATCAAAGCCTCTCCGCCTCCTTAAGGAATTAAAAACCCTACTCCTTCTCAAAGAAATTATTTTCTTTCCCTTCTCTGCTCTCGCTGCAGATCATCGGGCTGACTGTTTCTATCGCCTAATTCTTATTCGGTCTCGAATTAGTCGGTCCCTTGGTGGAACCCCCCCCCCCTCTCCGTCTGATCGCGGGCTTTTTTAGTTCTCGTTACATACAACTTTTCGACTTTTCTGCACCTCCCCTCCTCCCAAGGTACCCCACTATCGCAAAGCCTTAAGCCCTCACCTCCATTTTTTCCTCGCCAAGGCGGTTACTCCGGATTTTCCTTTTATCTTTGTCCATCTTCCTTTTTCCTGACCTCTGATCCACCTATCATTCATCCGCCTGATCTCTTCTTCCCTCTACTTACACCCCTGCTCTGTCTTCCCGAATTCTACCCGGAACCTTCTTCCTATCTCCTCCTCTCTCCGGCTCTTCCAAGGATTCTCTCCCTCCTTCTCCCCCCGCCAAAAACCAACAACCTCCCTAAAATCTATACCCTCACAACAACCCGAATGACACAACCGCAGAAGACGATAGCCGTGGTCAACGCGGCCGGGCGACAAGCGGCGTCGCTGATCCGCGTCGCATCGGCCGTCGGCTATGCGGTGCGCGCGCAAATCCACTCCCTCAAGGGCCTCATCGCCGAAGAACTTCAGACCCTCCCCAATGTGACCCTCCTGCAAGGCCCGCTCCTGAACAACCCCGCGCTCATGGATGCCCTCTTCCAAGGCGCCAATTACGCCTTCATCAACACCGTCTCCCAAGCCGGCGACGAGGTCGCTATCGGCCGCGCTCTCGCGGACGCCGCAAAGCGCGCGGGCTCCATCTCCCATTACATTTACAGCAGCATGCCCGATCACTCCGTTCATGGACCATGGCCGGCGGTTCCGCAGTGGGCGCCCAAGTTTACTGTCGAGAATTACGTGCGCCAGCTCGGTTTGCCGGCTACGTTTGTCTATGCGGGTATCTACAATAATAATTTCACCAGTCTGCCCTACCCGCTGTTCCAAATGGAGTTGCTGGATGATGGGAGTTTCGAGTGGCGGGCGCCGTTTGATCCCGAGACGCCTTTGCCTTGGTTAGATGCCGAGCACGACGTGGGACCGACGCTGTTGCAGATTTTCAAGGATGGGCCTAAGAAGTGGCACGGTCATCGGTGAGTATCTGATTTGCACGAATAAGTTTGGACAGAAAAGTATACTAATATCAATGCGCATCAGTATCGCACTCACATTCGAGACCCTCTCACCGAATCAAGTCTGCGCCGCCTTCTCCCGTGCCCTGAATCGACCCTGCCACTACGTTCACGTGCCCAAGATCGAAATCAAAGTCAAGATTCCCCCCGGATACCGGGAACAACTGGAGGCGCTGGAATTGCTGTTCGGCGAGTGCGAAGCGCCGTACTTCCCCCAGCCCGAGTTCTCGCAACCCGCAGCGGGATCGCCGAAGGGATTGGGTCCGGCCGGTGGAAAGGGCGCAGGTGCGGGGATGATGCAAGGTCCCGGTGGAGTTGTTTCGTTGCGGGTGACGGACGAGGCGAGACATTTGTGGCAGGGATGGCGCGATATGGAGGAGTATGCGCGTGAGGTATTCCCCGTGGAAGAAGAGGCGAATGGACTGGATTGGATGCTTTGAAAGGAAAGCAAGTGTATGGTTTTGGGGGGTTCTAATTGCGTCTTTTCTTTCTGTCCTGCTTTACCTGAGTCGCTGATGACCATGCGATTGGGGGGGTTTGGAAAGTGGGGATCAACACAATAAGTGTTCCCCTCCTTTCTTTATTCTTTTACGACTGTTTGATCCCCGGCAGACGTGCACGGTGATGTTGTCTGTGCATGTAGAACCTGCCCCGCAGCCTGTTCTTTTTACTGTTCTTGTTTATGGGTTACTGCCTTGAGGGCTCTAATCATTGCATTGTTGGCGAATGGGCATGGGAATTATGGGATGCCTCGAACGGTTATATTACTGTTGTGGCTTGTTTTATTTTCTCTCTTATTCCGACAGATCTATATGCCTCGGTTATGGGCATCTGGGGATATCGGGTCCTTTCTTATCTCTCTTCTATCTGATTCCCCGAAAAAAAGTTTGATTGTTTGCTTTGTGGATGGTTCTTTCTACTATTCTATTTCCAATATTCATTTCTCGCTGAGGATTGAAGTTTATTCTATCTGGAATATGTGTTCTTTGAAAAATGGGATATCACAAGTTTCCTTGCTAGACCTGTATACTTCGAACTCTGTGCTTTCCCAACTACGAAATAGAACGACTACCTACACTATACTATCTCTAGCCCGACATCAACGCCAGCATCTCCTTCTCTAACTCATTTTATCGCTCATAAACCCCAGCTATTGAGCGATATAACAGACGTAATATAGAGAAAAAAAGGTCACACCAACCCCTCTATAATTCCCTCTCAAGCACGCCATCGCAAAGACAAGAACACCTCCTTATCCAACCAATCATCCCAGCCAAAAACAATTCCTTTATCGTACGCAAAACAACCCAATAGGAACACACAGCTACCAAGACCATCCTAGTAGAACTAGAATGGTTATCAATAAGCAGCCCCAGTCCGGTGCAATACCAACAACCTACAATCCGCATCCGTCGCAGGCATACCTACGCGTTTGACGATAACATGATAACGTAGATAAGGGCATCGATCCCCGCAAGGCATGGAGTTGAAATAAACTACTGGCAGCTTGAGTGTAATTGCCTTTCTTCAGGGCTCCGCTCGTGCGAGATAGGTAAGATGGATGGGGTCGGAAAAAGCAATGTGCTGGGGGGAGGAATCCAATTGTGTGGGTGCGATAAGAATTGGGTTGGTGAGGGTAGTGGTGATAGGCGGATTGGAGATGTTGTATGGGGTTATGTACTAGGGAGATTGATTGGGGTGGCGAATGTTTAGTGAGTGGTGTTGTGAAGGATGCTATGTATAGGTAGCTATACTCGTGCTGGGATCTGGAGGAGTATGACTGGGTGGATGTGGACTCTGGGCTAGCCACGGTACGGAGCTTGGAGCTGGGATTGTAGCTTGGGCTGAATATTGAGCTGTAGCTATTATGCCAATGGTAGTGATTACTATCATGTCTCGAGTGTACTACATATAGCTATATTGTATAAGCTACCCTAAGTCCCTAACAGTCCGAGACTAAAAAAAGAAAATGAAGGAAATTCCCGCGACACCTCAGGCCCGCATCTCATCCGTCCACTCGGTTGCCCGTCGAGACCGCGTGGGGTACTTTCCAATTACAATCGGAGTACCTCGACTCCACGTGTAAACACCACCACAACTGAAGTATCTCCCCCGTAGACTCAAGTACCGCCACCATCACTCTCCGCCCGCCCCAAAAACGAAAGTTTCGACCGCGCGCATCAACGAAGCTCGTGCTGATCTGCCAGACTTTTTTTGCCAGATTTTTTTTTCTTTAGTTCCCCCTCCCTTTTTCCACTTTCCCTTCTTCATCTCTCTCTCTTCCTCTCCCAACCTTTTTTCCTCTCTTCCTTCTTCCTACACACTACTCTTGCTAGCTGTTAACTAGGAAGCTTCCTGATAGCTTGCAACCTCCCCCTTACTCATCTCTTACTTTTTACGTTCTACGTTTCACATACCCCGCCAACACAATGTCCGGTGACGACAAGTCTCTTCTCGAGCGCATTGAGCTCCCCTCCATTCCCGAGGAGGCTCGGAGCAAGATCGGCCATGTTCAGGAGGCTCTTGAGCGTGCTGAGCTGGAGCAGAGTAAGTGCTTTACCCTTCTCACCGGATTCGTTTTCGTCTGTCGAGTCTTGAGCCGTTTTCATCCTTGATGAGCGACAGTTCAGTCTACGGTTGATGGGGATTGTGGCCGATAATGCGATGCAATACGATGCTTCATGTCTATCGATTCATTCCAAATTCATGCACGCGCTAAAACAAAATAAATTTGGATCTTCACTAACGCTTCCTTCACTAGTGCGCCAGGCCGTCGCTCTCTTTGCCCCCGCCTACAAGCAGCGCGAGGAGCTCATCTCTTTGCCCAGCGTCAAGCCCGACTTCTGGGCCCGCGTCTTCGACGGCGCCCCCGCCGAGGTTGCCGAGTATATACTGGAGGATGATGCTGCCATCATTGGTGAGGGCCTCAAGGGCTTGAACGTCGAGCGCTTTGAGGTCGACGCTCAGGGCAAGGGCGAGCCCCGCAGCTTGCGCTTCACCTTCGAGTTCGACCCCAAGGAGAACCCCTACTTCGACAACGCCAAGCTCGTCAAGGAGTTCTACTGGCGCAAGCAGGTCATCAAGACCTCCAGCGGCAAGCGCCGTGTCTGGGAGGGTCTTGTCTCTGACCCCGTCCGCATCAACTGGAAGGATGCTGAGCTTGACCCTACCAAGGGTCTGCTCAACGCTGCCTGTGACCTGTTCGATGCCGAGAAGAAGGGCGGTGACCGCAAGTCGCTGCCCGAGTACGAGGCTCTCGTCAAGAAGCTCGAGCTTCTCGAGATTGAGGGTATGAAGGAGGATGTCGATATGGATGACGAAGAGGCTGAGCTGCCCGAGGATGAGGATGAGAGCCCCGCTGGCGTCAGCTTCTTCTCTTTCTTCGGTTACCGTGGCCGTGCCATCACTGCCGAGCAGAACAAGGAGGCTGTTAAGGAAGATGAGGAGCGCTGGGCCAAGATCTCCAACGGCGAGGAGGTGCCCGAGGATGACGAGGACGATGAGGATGACGATGATGAGGATTTCGAGCTTCTCGTCGATGACCTCGAGGACGCCGAGATCTTCACCGATGGTGAGGACCTCGCCATTGCCCTTGCCGAGGATCTCTGGACCAACGCCTTGAAGTATTACGGTATGTCAAACTCGGAGACGCGTGAACCCAAATAGAATCCAGGAACCGCTGGCTAACTTTCTGCCCTTTCATCTGCAGCTCAATCGTTCGAGGCTAGCTTCGACTTCGAGGGCATGGACATGGAGGAGCTCATGGGGCCGGATGATGATGAAGATGAAGATGATGAGGGCGATGACCAGCCCCCCGCCAAGAAGGCTCGCAACTAAAATCGGGTTTGATTTGAATTGCCTGCCCGGAGACTGTAAAACGCCATGCTCCATGTGATCGATGGTGGTTTGTTCGATTGGTCACGCCCCATATGATGTACTATCACAGGACGATAACGAGAATTAATAATAGCACGAGGGCGAATATCAGCGCCGCAATGCAAAAGGATGACCATGTATCTAAGGAGGAGAAGGAAAAAGTTAGCTTTGCTTGAATTTCATGATTCCCATTTGTTGTCACAACGCTGCGCATTTGCATTCCATGTAGCCCAACGCCAAACACCCTGCTAAACCAACCAGCCTCGGGGGTTAGAGAATACTGCTTACCTTCATTCTTGCGCACGATATGCCGTATGCGCGCCATCCCATTGCTCAACTTCCCACCAACCCGATCTGCAAGCGTATCAACCTCATCAATCATAATAGCCTGATCCTCCAACTCGCGCCCCATATCATTCGCCTGCTGTCTCAGATTCCCCACCGTCCGAAACACCCCATCCAACTGCTCATCCTGCTCATGCATCAGCTCCGTCTGCCTCTGCTGCTCCAGCGATGCATAATAATCATCCCCACGCCCACCACCTTCTTCCTCATCCAGCGCGGCATCGAATTCCGTCGGATTAGGCAGTTCAGCGACCGGCGCTACGGAAACTGCTTGCGCCAGCTCGGTGCGCATTTGCTCGATTTCCCCGCCCACATCGTCGACTAGTTTGCGCCGGCGCTGGACTTCGTCGAGTTCGAGGCCGAAGCGGTAGGGGTCTTGTTCGATTGCGCGGACGGATTCGACCAGGTCGTCGAGGTCGGCGGTTAGCTCTGTGAGGGTTGTTTCGAGTTCTGTGCGGGATTGGTTGAGTTCTGGGTTGTTGGGGGATTTGGCGAGGGAGCGGATGCGGAGGTATGAGGAGAAGAGTGGTCGGCTGGTTTGGAGGGTTGCGAGGACGTCCCTGGAGGTGAGGAGTGATTAGTTTAGGGGGAATTTGAGAGGTCTAGTATCTGGGGGTATGGATGGGAGATGTCTTACGCTTGGACTTGGAGGAAGGGGTCTGTTGTCTCCATGGTTTGGGGATGTGGATTTGGATTAGGAGGTTGTTTGGATCGGGGATGATGTGGTCGGAGAGCTGGCAGCTCTGGGGGAGTTGAAGATCACGTGTTGGCGCATGCGGAATTGGTGAAGTATAGGAGGATGAGCGTGGAAGATGAATAGACTGGGAGAAGGAATTTATTTAGTTTGACAAAGTATTATTCATCTGATATTCTACAGGCATAGCTACATAATGCCATGTCATCAATTACCTTTTTATTCCATAACTATCGATCGTATACTTCCCCATCGAGGCCAGGGCAGGTGGATTCCACTGGACCAGGCCTGACTCAGCGGGTCGCCGATAAAAAAAAGATAACAGTTCCCCGCGATATTCAATTTGGATTTTTTTTACAATTTGCGCAAGACAATCCACAGTCTCCTCTTCAAATGGCTCGCAATCGCCCCCTTCCACTCTCCGAAGAGTGGGAGGATCCCGACACCTATATCAAAGAACTCCTCAACTTCGCGACGACCAATGTCCTCTTCATGAACCTGTGCGGTGGTGTGCACATGGTCGATTTTTTGACCCGCGAGCCCGATCTATACACCAGTCTACTCCCAGAGGAATGGCGAGCATTCTTCGAAGCCCATGACATTCACGATATACTGCAATTGCTCCTACGAGAAGATATTGAGTCCTTGCGCACGAACGCGACCAATGGACATACCGGCGCAGGCAATCGCACATGGAAGGACGGCGCATTCCCTCCGCAGAGCATATTGGACTACATTCACCAAGTTCGCCGACTTAGTCTTCGCCGGGAATTCGATTCGGCCGGGTCGAAGAAGACGAAACTCCCGAGACATGTCGCGGTTGGTATGAAGACGAAGAAGGAACACGAGGTCGAACACTTCTCTGGCTACGTCGCATCGTTGTCCGATACCGTGGGCGAGCGTCGCGGTGAGCCGGTCTCTCATATTGTGGATTTTGGGTCTGGACGGAACTATTTGGGGCGGACGCTGGCCAGCTCGCCATTTCACAAACATATCATTGCAATTGAGCGGAAACACCAGTACATTGCTGGTGCTATGGGCATAGACGTTTCAGCCAAGTTGCGGGAGAGAGAGAAGTCTAAGACGGTTTATGTGCATAGTCGCAAGAAATCCTGCAATGACTGCAATGGCACACCAGAAGTGGCATCATCTGATAAAGCAGAGGCGCAATCAGAAATGGAAAATTTGCAGGCCCCCGAGAATGTCCCAGTTCAAGGAGAGACTGTGGACGACCAGGAGGATGTCACCATGTTCAAAATGCTGGGTGAGATTACCCTCGAACCCCATGAGCTACTCGGCTCGATCACCAAGGGAGGACAAAAACAGAAACCTGAACATGAAATCGACACCGGGGGTACTATCAGCTATATCGAACACAATATTCAAGACGGATACCTCGAGCCTATCATCGACCACGTGGTTAATCCATCTCCTGCAACGACACCAAGTGAAACTGACACCGACGAGACGAACACCTCCATAACAATCCAGCCAGATGAACAGCAAAAAAGCGACGCCCGAGTAATGGTCGTCTCCCTCCATTCCTGCGGCAATCTCGTTCACCACGGCGTTCGCTCCCTAGTCATGAACCCCTCCGTCGTAGCAGTCGCTATGATCGGCTGCTGCTACAATCTTATGACCGAACGCCTTGGCCCAGCAACATATAAACTCCCCGTCCTCCGCTCTCTCCACCCTCGTCTCCAAGCAACCGGAAACTCCTACGACCCCCATGGTTTCCCCATGTCCAAATACTTCGAGACACACGAAAGCCCCGGCGCAATTGGTATGAAGTTCAACATCACGGCACGCATGATGGCCGTACAGGCACCGTATAACTGGGGCCACGATGATAGTGAACGCTTCTTCGCTCGTCATTACTTCCGCGCCCTCCTGCAACGCATCTTCGTCGACCGCGGCGTTACGCCTAAACCGGGTATTCCAGAAGATCTCTACGCCGATGATGAGGGCGCTGAGATGACTACAGCTGTAATAATCGGCTCGCTACCTAAGCGCGCATTCGAATCCTTCACTGCGTACGTACGCGCCGCAACAGCCAGACTCCTGCGTGACCCGAAACATAGCGCAAAGGTCCAAGAGCACATTGCAACAATGACGGATGAGGAGATTCAACGCTACGAGGCGGACTATTTCCCCGCGAAGAAGAATCTTAGCGTTATATGGAGCTTGATGGCGTTTAGTGCGCAGGTCGTGGAGACGGTTATTGTTGTGGATCGCTGGCAGTTCTTGCGGGAGCATGACTCGGTCAAGGAGTGTTGGGTTGAGCCTGTGTTTGAGTATAGCGAGAGTCCACGGAATCTGGCTGTTATTGGGATTAAGAAGTGAGAGTTGCATTCTTGGTTTTTTTGATGTGATATGACTTGCAAATGATTAGAGCACATAGATGAGATGTCCTGAAAACACCGGGGACATGCATTGCCGGGCGTTATTATAGATGAAAATGCAAATAGAATATGTTGCCAACAAAAAAAACGTCTACTTGTCATTATTGTAACAGATTACCGAATGTGCAACAAAGAAGGAAGCCTATGTAACAAGATGCGCTCGATGTACCACTCGAAAATCCGAGTCAGCACTGTGCGACTTCATTCTACTCGTGTCACCGGAGAACAAATCCATAAGGTCTTGCTTGGTCTCGGTTTCTTCTCCGTTTATTGCAACCAACCACTACGTTAGAACCGTTTTCTCAATCATATCCACTGACATGAATGGCCCCGGAGATCTAGACAACCTGCTCAGTCAACTTTGTCGAGCAGCTGAGAACTTCAAGCGAGACCATAATGATCTTGAACGGCTCGCCGCCTTGAAAGCCGCTCGTAAACTGGTTCAAGCGCTTGAAACACCACAGGAGGGAGCGTTGCTGACAGGAGTTTCTGTGCGTGTATCCTCGATCTAGCGATATTTGGAATTGCAACTTTGGAAGAAGATGGCCCTAGATCTGGAGCAAGTGCCGCTTGGGCTTGGTTTATTTTTCGGACTGTCTTCTTAATGGTTTTATTTTAAGGTTACGCTTTGGATGTACATCTAACTTCTACGCTAGCCCATTCAAGTCCTTTGTGTCAGGATTGCTATTGATATTGACATATTCACGACACTCACGAAGAGTAATGGACCTGTCAGCTTGAAGGAACTGGCTGCCGTCAAGAACGCCGACCCGTCGTTCACAGGTGACTATACTCTATCTGATTATGGCCATTTCATGTTAACTCCCGTCTACTTTTCTCTTGATAGAGCGAGTTCTGCGTGTCCTCGCAGGGATCGGTTACGTTATCGAGCATGAAGTCAGGGTATACGCTGCGAACGCGATGACTCGCTATATGAGTGACCCAGGGGCTGTTGCCGTGCTCAAATTCCAGTACGCCTTCATTGTTCATTACCCCCAAACACTTCATTAACCCTGTCTGCTTCAGATTCGACGTCTGTATGCCTCTATACTCCAAAGCGCCCGAGTACTTCCGTGAAACAGGGTTCCAAACCCCCCTAGAGTCGAACAAAGGCCTATTCCAATACGTTGAGAAAACTGAGGAGTCAATCTGGAGTCTGATGTCCAAGAAACACGAGGATATGGATGGATTCTATACCCACATGGCAGGCAGAAGAGCTAACCTGCCTATTTGGGTTGACTGGTTCCCCGTGCAGGAACGCATCATTGATGGATTTGAGGACAAGGATGGAAGTGGACTCCTGGTTGATGTGGCTGGTGGGCGAGGACATGATTTGGAAAGATTTCGTGCAAAATTTCCCAGTGCACGAGGTCGTCTTATTGTTGAAGACTTGCCACAGGTCCTGGAGGGTATAAACTCTGGATCTGGGATTGAGTGTCAACCAATTGACCTCTTTGAGCCGCAACCTGTCCAAGGTAATACAGGATGCCCCACCCCCAGAAGAACTATTAAGCTAAGCTTCCAATGTCTTAGGTGCACGAGCATATTACATGAAGTTCGTCTTGCATGACTGGGCAGACCGCCAATCCCAGCAGATTCTGCAACAGTTAAAAGTGGCTATGAAAAAGGGCTACTCGAAACTTCTGATTGAGGAAGTCATCCTCGCCGACAAGGATGCCGAGCCTATCCCGTCACTAGGAGACTGGATGATGCTAGCCATTCATTGCGGTATGGAGCGAACTCAGTCTCATTGGGAGGGTCTGTTGACTTCGACTGGATTTCGAGTCGTGAGGTTTTGGAATCCCCCTAGTCCAGGTCAACAAAGTATTATTGAGGCGGAGGTGGCTTAGGCAAGTAAGAAATAAGTTTGTATTGGGGGTTTAGCTTGTTTATAATACCCAATTACCAATTTCCAGAGTGCCATGATTCCAAGAGTACGGAGTACCTATGTAAATATTTTCAATTTCCTTCGCAGATAGCCAAGTTCTAGAGGAAATGAGCATCTTGGGCACTCGGGAGTCGGCACCATCGACCTTGAAAAGCTTTTGGACCCTCAAACCAAGGGACACTAAGATCCATAACAGGCGAAAGCCCCATCAAAGCTCGTAAAGGCCACCACTACAGGGCCTAGGGCTCAATGGTCTTATTTCGAATTAGCCAATCACTTCAAAGAAGCAACCGAAGCGACTCAGACCCACTAGCCCAGGGGCAACAAGTGGGCCTTTGCGGCTCACTGTACAAGTCATGTTTACCCAGGGACCCTGCAATGATACTCTGGCAATGCGACTCTGTAATTTCAAAATAGAATCCTCCGGGGTTAAGCGAAAATCTCCTGAGTCATGCTTCAGCCGCTAAAATTGAGGCATTTCCAGTAAAAACTGTATAACTTCTGATAATCTCGATTCTTTTCCCTCCAGGGATTCCCATCTCAATCAGCCCTACAAATACTGTCCTCCACCTCCCTTTCATACCCAAATCGGCAAATAACAAACACCCAAAATGCTCCTCAAGTCAATGCTCACCACCGCCCTGCCCCTGCTGATGCTGGCAGGCAACGCCCTCGCCGTCGGCTGCTCCACCCACAGCTTCACTACCTGCGAAGACAAAATCGTCCACTGGTACGACCCGGACACCGGCGAAGTCTGCGACCCTCTCGACTGCGGCGGTGGTCGCGCTCCCCTTAAGACCGACGAGCCTGGATGTCCTGGGTATACTGGTACCAAGGTCCGCACTACCTCATACCTGTCCTGCTTCACGCCCTCTTCTGCACTTGCGACTGCCACCACTTCGAAGAGTGCCGCTGCCGAGTCTACGACTGCTTCGGACTCGACAAGCAAGGAGACTAGCGTCGCTTCTTCCACTACGGCCGGCAGTGCCACTGGAACTGGGGCTTCGGGTAGTGGAACTACGCCTGCGACGACTGCGGCGGCGACTCTGTCGTCCAGTGCGCAGTCTTCTGCTGCTGCCAATGGGACGGCTAGTTCCAGTGGCTCTGCGGCCCCGACTGCTACAACCAATGCTGGCGACGCCTTGACCGGTTCGTTGATGGCTGTTGCTGGTGCTGCGATTGGTGCCTTTGCCCTGCTTTGAGGATGAGATGTTATATACCTGTGATGGAGTGAGATTTGCGAAAACGGGCCCTGACTATGTCTTGGGTTGGCATTTGGCTTGTCATACGATAATGGGGACAGGTTTACAACAATGTACACATAATTTATATAATTAGTTCGATTGGGGCTATGCTCTATATACGATAAGAGGTTTAGTCTCTATCACCCATAATGATCAATATGGTTTTTGCAAAGATTAACTACGTAGCAAGTGGCCTGTGAGGGATGGGGGAACAGGAGAATAGATTACATCAACGAGGAAAGATATACACTCTTACGCCTCAGAGTGACAGCTTTCGAACCTACAGAATCACCTCACAGAAATCATGCTCAACCTTGTATTGGACCATCGGAGTAGTATACAAAGCGCACTTTTATTTATTTTCTATAGTTCATAATATTCATACATCATAGAGACAACTAGGTTGAAATCAAGGTATCATCCAATCTCAACACTCCCCTCTGGCACACCCTGTCGACTACGCAACCTCCTAGCAAAGAACTGCATCACAGGAAGCATCTCATCCCGATTCGAAGGCATCCCATCCCCCCTGCGGGCATACCGACTAACCTCCACGAACTCAAACACCTCCTTCGTCCTCCGCACCGCCCCATCAGACACAACCTCCGAGTCCCGCCCGGAAAGCAGCAACACCGGCGAACGATTCTTCGCGCCAGACCGCGCGCCTGACAGCGCATATGGCGCGCCGATAGAAATCACGCCGGAAAGAGACCCGCTAGCTCGCTCCTGGCTCTCCTTACCATCTGCGCTACCTAATTCCCGCGCCGCGGCTAGACCTGCCATGCCTCCCTGCCCGAATCCCAGAATCATGATTTCGCGTAGCTGGTAGCCGCATTTCGCCACAAGGGTCTGCCGGATAACTTCGTTTGCGAGGAGGGCTGTACTCCGCGCGAATCCTGCGTCCATGTCTAGCGCGCCGGTCCGGCTGTCGAAGGATACATCGTCGCCCCAGTGGAAGCCGCCGAGGTCGAAGGGGAGCGGGGCTGGAGCTTGGATGGTGATGACGGTTGTTTCGGGGAGGTTTATGGCACGACCGAAGGAGGTGAATCCTGCGGCCGTGTCGCCGATTCCGTGGAGGAGGAGGAGGATGTTCGGTGTTGGTGTGGAGGGAGAGGCGGAAGGTGGGAGGGTGATGGTGATACTGAGGTTGGAAGGGAAGTCAGATTGCGTGGGTGTCTTGGTCGGCATGGTGGAAGAATTTGCGAGCAATTGGCTCGAGAGATGCTTTCCAGGTTTCTTTTCGCCCTCTACAGGCACCTCTGTCTGGTCGACACTCTATTTGGAGCTTCAGAAGAGCTTGAAGAAGGACGGAGGGGTTAAGGTTGTGGCTCCCGTGGCTGTTCTTATCTTTGCGATAATCTATTGTGGCTAAGTGCCTGGATGATCGCTCACACCTTAAGCAAACCGGGCCATCATTATCCAACTTTTACGGGTTTCAGTGCCAAATTGTACTGTTTATCCTTTGGGTGAAGTTCTGCCAACTGGCCGTGTAACTGGGTTTATTATCATGCTAACATCATATCCTTTTGTGCCTAGTTCAAGCCATAACTATTCTGTCCAGAATCTTCAGCCGGTGTACAGCGCAGAGATGTTACTGATACCGCGGACTCCGACCAGAACTGTCTCATCCTTGACTAAAAACAGGACATAACCATTAATTACGAAAGAGTCAAGGGGAAAAAGTCATATAAATAGTCATTCGATTTCCCTAAATCATAAACCAAGGCCGTTTAATATCATATTCTGCGCTTCCGTTTATACTCCTCCATCTTATCATCGCATGTAGGTTATGCCACGAGACATTTCCACTCTGGACGTGGCCGCCAGAACTTGCGATCTACTTTTCATTCAACCTACCGCCAGGTATCATTCTCAGTAGCGGTGGTGGTTCCACACGCCGCAGGCACAGTGTAAGAGCGGTTAGGGTCACTCTCCCAGACAATCGAGCCGTCCGTTTCCTTGCGGATATACTTGTACTGGAACGTAGTACCAGCGGGGAGGCTAATGGTCACAAACCACAAGGGGTTGCTGGAAGTGTACTGGCTGGCGCTTAGTGCGATAGCATTTGCGGTGTTCCAGCTTCCCAGCTGCGAGATTGAACCGACGATGAAAACGTTCTCGCCGTAGGTAGTGGTGGCAGTCTCATCGAAGGTGACCGCAACAGAGGTCGGGGTAGTGCATGAAGTGGAGGAAGTAGTGGTAGAAGTAGTAGTAGCAGTAGTAGAGGTAGTCGAAACTGCGGTACCGCTAGTCAAGGTACTAGGCCATGAGGTCGCGGTAGGAGTGGCGTAAGTGCCGGCAGCAGAACCCATTGAGCAAGAAGAAGGGACTGTGTTGGCGGAACTGGCACCCCAAGAAGGAGGCACGACACCGTTGCGGCGCATGTTTGCTGTGAGAAGGGCGGCATAAGACCAGGTAAGATCACGGGCAGAAAGAGAAAGACCGCTGCTCTTGTCGTATTGCTCAGAGAGGGAACCGTTGGTGAAGGCGTGAGCCTGCGCGATGCTGACGTAGCCATCGGCATAGGTCTTCACGGCGCTGATGATGGATGTGAAAGTGGAGCTACTCGAGGCATAGGTGCCGACAGCAGCGGAGCTGTAGACATCCTGGAAGAAGGCCAGAGAAGTACTGGTGATGGTGATAGAACCAATCTTGTTCCATTGGTAGATCGCATCGTACAATTGTTCAGCAGCAGCTAGGTTAGACAAGAACCATGGGTTGCCGTTATAGTATGAATCTTCAGGGTAACGGCCCACGGCGACAGCAACACCCTGAGCGATGCCAGAGTTGAGGGAATAGACAGAACGGAACGAGTCAGTGTAGACCTTGTGGTTTGCGAGAGCCCGAGAAGAGCAAGGCTGGAAAGTAATATCATCACAAGTTGCCGCCGGGTCAAAGGTATGGATACTGGCCAAAACAGTGTTCGCATCCTTTCCAGAGCGACCACCACCTGTGTTTGCATTGATATAGGATCCAGTCCAGAAGCTTTGCATGTAGCAGAGGATCTGGGGAGCCTGTGAGTCGCACCAGGAGCAGGATGCGCCAACTCGGCTAGCAAAGGCACTTCCTTCGACGAGAGAACGGTGCTGGTTGGCAACGGTGAAGAAGGACATACTGTTCACCTCTTCCCAGAGATCTATAGAATGGTTAGCAAATTATCGACGAGATTGGCTATGAACACGAGAGACTTGCCGTAGCCGGACTGGCTCCAGTACTGAGAAACGTAAGACAGATCGTTGCGGACAATCGGCCAAACATTGTTCACCGCATAAGTAGGATATCCATTATCCTATGGGAGTTAGGTAAAATTACCAATATTAAAGGAGGGAGACATACGATCAACCAGTTACCGAAATCAATCAGTGCAATGGCACGTAAAGCAGGACCATCACGTTGAGGACGGCCCCAGGAGCCAGTAAATGCACTTAGGTCTACATTGAACTTCGGCTCACCGAGACCAGCACCGTTGGAGAGATCTCCAGAGGGGTTGGATACGGTCTGGAGAGCAGCCTGTGCATTGATGTATTCCTCAATAACGGTCTGTAATCCCAGATTTCCATTACGGAAGAGATCAATGAGGACCTTCAAAGTGAGCGCAGAGTCTCGGGACCAAGTATAGTAATCTAAACTTATTAGGAGCTGATGGAGAAGGTAGTGAGAATCAACTGATCACTTACAGTCTGGGTTGCTCGTGCTGGGACTAGCAATAACAACACCATTTTTAGCACTCTGGGCAAAAGCACCGCTGGCACCAATATTTTTGAGAATTCCATCAAGAGAGACAGTGGTCTCAGTGGCTAGCCAGGCATCCAGGCTTGTGGTAGCGCGGGGAGACAGTTGAGGAGCTGCCAACGCACTTTGACCCAGGGCTAGCGCACCAAGCGCGTAGAGAAGCCGAGACATGGAGATCAGATGGACTCGATGAGTTCAAAAGCTGGTCGGTAGAGGTTGTAGAGAGGCAATGAGACTGATAAAATTGAAGTCCTGGCGAGCAGGTCACCTCTTTATACTATAGCTTTGAGGATATTGCGCCTCCAAGAAGGATCTCCCAGAGACAATTTCGGTAACAGACTCCTCACCCCTCTTACCGAACAGTTGACTAGCGCTTCGAAGATGTGATGAATGTTCGAGAAGTTCTGCATCCCTGCGGCGCTCCCCAGGTGAACCCTTAATGACGGGGGTTTTGCAGATTTCGGTCAATGCCGATAGGTCGGATGCTGCGGGGAAGGGCTTCTCGTCGTATTCGACGGCATCCGAGCACTTCTTCACAAGGATTTAAAAGTATTCTCGCGCTGTGACTGGCTGTTCATTCCGAAGCTAACAACCCCGATCAATGCAAGTACTGGCTGGTGCCTGGTATTACAACCTCCCCAAAACCCCTGCCTCGTCCTGATCGGGCCGGGGCATCACTTTTTCATTCACATCCCGTCAAATTAGGGCATATCGGTGGCATGTTTCCCGGCCTGAAATTGCATCAGATGGCTTAGTCGCTTTCCATCGGCCCCGCAGAATATCCGTCTTTTGCCCGTTGCACACGGCTCATAGATGGTCTTGGCCAATGTTTGAGTTGGCATCTTTGAAGCCCCGAAAGCATCATCTTCGGTTATCCGATGGTGCCTTGGCCCTCTATGTTAGAATTTCAAGCCACACTTCGAGACTTGATCTGAATATATTCCAAGATGATTATCCAGACCCTTCGCTATTGTAGGAAACTCGTTACTTGTTATCGGCATCTTGTACAGTGAAGAGCCGAGAGTCTTCAATCCCTGTAGTATCAATGCGCCTCGACGGCCATTTTAGAACATGTCATTAATATCCCCGCATGATTCCTTACAGTAATTAGATACTCATAGGCCCATTTTCTCGGCAAGAAAGTCCAGCTGTTGCAGTATATGAAGCAGCCATGGCCATGTTGCCCAGAATTAAGACCCCGACCCCTCCCCGTGAAATCACTTGTGAATTCGTGGAGTCCAAGACTCTTGGTCCGGATGTGGCGGATTAGGGCCGGAGGTGACCCCCCATTCCAGGCTAGCTTCACGCGCAAGGTAACGTTAAGTTTTGCTAGTCAGAAGATTGCTTCTTGAAGAGCGCAAATCTCCTTTTATGTCTGGTTGTCTCTCTTCCATGTGTTAACGTTAACTTGTACTGGGTTAGAGGCGGCGCTCCCGCGGGTTGGTAGTTGGCTATTGGTTGCCCAACGGGCTTGTATTGGTTTTGCAATGTAGTGATGTACAGCCCCTGTGGGGCCCCAGGAAAGAGCAAAGGCTGTCAAGCTCGGGTATAACGCTTGACAAAGGTCAGGTTTTAGCCTTCGGCTGATCATCGTTGCAGGAAATGAAAGCATGTCTCTCCACCTTCAGGCTCATCGCCCAGGTAAACGAAAAAAATTGCTGCTCGGTTGCATTTTAGGCCAGATGCAATCCTGGGAGGAGACAGAAACCAATCATAGTGACGCTCGTGTATATCGCCTCCTTCACGATATTTCACAACCTAGAGCGCTTCGAATCCATCGTTAGGGATGAATCCAACGAAGTCGGTTGATCGCTTGATGATACAATCGACCACGAGGTCATCGCTTGGGAGATAAAGGGAGCTTGCGATGCGGCGTGCTGTGTGGGGTTTATGGTCGTGGTATTTGTCCTCGTGGTGTGTAAATTTTCCCTCTTTGTCTCTGAAAATGGCACGTTGGAAGCTTAGTACTGTCCTGTGGCCATGGAGTTGAAATCTTTGCTCACGCTAGATCTCGGAGATGTGAAATCTCCCAGCTCGATAAGAATTCATTGATATCGATTGCCAATAGATCTAGACTAACAATCTCGGTAGTAACTAAGTTAGTTGGCCGCGGAACATATTACGTCACCCGTACTGCTCCCACTGTGGCCCTGCCAAATTGACTAGAAAGGGGTCGTGATAACGGACAGAGAAATCAAGACTTTTTGCAACAATTTTTCCTAATACCCCGGTAGTCAATACGATGTTGTGTTGCTATCAATAGTCTTTTCGTACCATCGTGCGTGGTGAACTAATCTAATGCTCTCAGGGAGGGTAAATATTTTCTTCGGGGTTGTTGAGGGAACAAGAGATACAACGGCGAATGTTATCGAGGATCCCCTTCTGGCCTTGGGTATTTATTACTTAGAGACATCGACTACATACTTCGATCCTCACAATAGGGTATAAGAGGATTCCTCTTAGGTAGGTAAGGTCGTACCAAGTCCATTAATCGATCCTGAAACCCATTCTGGAAGATGCACGGCCCTCCGGCTGCTCCGAGACCGATTATTACACGCACTTTTTTATAGACGATCTTGACATGGACACCTTATCTCGTAATGGATTAGTAGTGGAACTTGCGTGTCTCTTGCTGAATTGACCACGATATCCAGTGATGAGGTTCAGCGGGGGAAACGGACATGGTCGGAGCTATGAAATTGCCGATCAGGGATTCTTGGCACCAGATTGATAGGCAGGGTATTGGCGCCGCTGGATGGAACTATCAGGAAGGACTGAGTGCATGAGGAGTGGTTAGATCACTGTTCACGGGGTATCACTCCGTACTATGGCAGATCAGGTCCGCGCGCGATGCTCTTGCCAACTTCCGGCATGCATGATCGAGGGGCGAATTCCGGGTTAGCCAATGACCTTCAGCAAAATTGACCGACCTTTAATCTCGCTTATAGGCCGCAGGAGGTTACTGCAGCTATTGCATTAAGTGTACGCAGGAGTAGTCGTATGCGGTAGTCACTTGGGGCCGTCCTAAAAAATCATCAGGGAATCTGGGGTCATGGGGTCCTTGGCATGGAAGATAAGAGCCGCCCCGAGTGCCTTCGGCGGGGTTCTTTTGGTGTTTCCAGGGACCGACGCCCTGCCAGACGAGGGGCAGTCATCTTTGATCTTCTTAGCTCTCGCCTGGTGGCCTTCGACTATTGCCTGAGAAATTGGCATCGCGTAGCATAATTCTCTGAAGTACAAAAATGAAGACATCAAAACCAGAGCTGCCTTCTTTCCATATCAATCCATCGCAGCTCACCCACATAGCGGTGGATTTGATCAAAAAGGTCCAAGAAGCGACAAAGCAACTACTCGACAAGCTCTCGCCGCCAGATGCCACATTTGAAAATGCCGTCTTGTCAATGGCCAAGATCGATAATGACATCAAGAGCAAAGTGCAATTTCTGGCATTCTTCCAGGCCGTTTCGCCCTCATTGGAGCTACGTCAAGCATCCTCGGTCGCCGTGAGCATGGTCGACACGGCATATTTAGAAATCTTTCAGGACGAAGATTTGTTTGCACTAGTAGATGCGGTGCATAAGAACTGTGATGCCAACCAAATGGAAATTGAAGACCGAAAGTTTCTCACAAAGCTTCATTCAACCTTTATCGATAATGGCCTTGGGTTAAAGGGGAAGAGCAAGAAACGGTGTCATGAGATTTCTAAGCGACTTATTGAGCTTCGAGTTCTCTTCACGGAGAATCTCAGCTTGGACCCTGGGTATTCGTGGCAGGAAGAAGAGGATTTGGAGGGACTTGGTGCGGAAAGAATCCAAGCACTTCCCTTGTGTTCCTCCACTGGCCAGAGGGGGGTACCACTGAAAAAGACCTATGTGAATGCGGTCCTCTCCAGCTGCGTTCGATCTGAGACCCGAAAAGATATTTTTCTTGGCAGCCAAAGGATATTTACTGAAAATGTCACGGTCTTTAAAGAAATCATCATTCTTCGAGATGAAAGGGCTCGCTTGCTTGGCTTCAAGTCATATGCGCATCAACAAGCCCGGTCTAAGTTGCTGAAATCTCCACAGGACGTCAAGGCCATGCTAGACGAACTTTCCAATCATTTGCTCCCTATTGCACAGACAGAGCTAGAGGCACTGCAGCGCGCTAAAGATCCGTCTGGGGGCCCCTTCTATCTTTGGGACTTTGACTATCATCACGACAAGATGTTGCGAGACAATTACCAGGTCGATCATGATTTGATTGCGGAGTATTTCCCTGCCAAGGTCACAATTCAGAAAATGCTCGGTGTCTTTGAAACAATCTTCGGCTTAAAGATTGAAAAGTTGAAGTACATTCGAGGTGACCATATCTGGCACCCAGAGGTGCAGGTTTTCAGTGTGTATGACAGAGATACATTTGTCTTTCTTGGCTTTCTGTATTTGGATATATATCCTCGTGATGGGAAATTCAATCATGCGGCCAATTTCAACATATTCCCTGTATGTGGGGGGATCACCGAAAACACAGCGATTTCGTCTTCTTGCTAAAAACTCGCTTTGAATAGTCACACTCTGTTCCTGTGGGCATAGATCAACCCTTTGTCTGCACAGCTTTGGTGTGCAACGTGGCACACCCCACGCCTGACAAGCCAGCGCTTTTGAAGCATTACGAGGTTATCACACTCTTTCACGAGCTAGGGCACGGTGAGCAACGTTTGATCTTCCGTATTCGTTCTGATGTTCACTCACAAGCCACATTAGCCTTTCACGATCTCTTAGGAAGGTCTAAGTACGCAACATTTCATGGACACAGGACAGTTGCAGATTTTGTTGAAGCGCCAAGCCAGTTGCTAGAATATTGGTGTTGGGTGCCGGAGTGTCTTCAGCTATTTAGCTGTCATTATAGCTATGTCTCCCCGGATGCTAATAAAGATGTTGAAGATGATGAATGTGATACCTTTACGAACCATTCGACTCGCCCACCGAAGGAGATTCCCCGAGGCCTTGTAGACAGATTAGTCGAGGCTAGGTCGATAAACCAGGGAATTTTGACAATGAGACAAGTCGCGTTCAGCAATTTCGACTTGGATATTCACTGTCCAGCTTCTCATGGCGCCGTCAAATCAATGGATATTGGTGCAATCTATAACTCTCTCTTGCAAAAGGCAACTCTTCTGCGGGGTCCAGATAATTATTATCAATGGGGGCACGGTTATGCGACAACACCTCATTATATCTGGGGCCAAGAAGCGAACTACTATTCGTACTTGTAGTAGGTCCCTCCTTTTCTGGATGTGATAGCTCTGTTAGCTATTGAAGTGTTTTAACTTTTTTTTCTATCTAGCACCCGTATATTGGCAGCCAACATGTGGTGGTCGAATTTTCATTCTGATCCAATGAGTCAGGAAGCTGGTCTCAAATATCGGAAGATGATACTCGAGCACGGCGGTAGTCAAGATGAGGAGGCGGCTCTCGTGGAATTTCTAGGCGGGGAACCAACAGTCGAAGTATACTTGAGATATCTCTAGTCAGACCAGATCATACATGCTTCATTTTTAAATATTGCTTTGTAAGAAGCTTCATGGAAGCTTCAGCTCTAGCTTTATATACCATCCAAGCCCGTGTACAACTCGGTTCCCCATTCAGTGCTGGGATTGTTGAACCGTGTTCGCTTGTCATATGTAGTAATAGATGCAACTTCGTCCTCGGTCAAGACCACTCTCTGTGCTTCCCAATTCTCTACCACTCTCTCCTCGTGTTCGCTTTTCGGGATCACAACAACTCCTCGATACATGGACCAGGCCAATACAAGCTGTGCCACTGTGATGCCCTTTTTGTGAGCAATGGATGGCAGAAATTCGTCCTCCGACAGAGGTAGCTTTGATGGCTTGTAGATCGGGTTCGTATTTCCCGGCGGTGAAAAATCAATAACTCGTAGCCCATGTTGCAAGTTCCGATGGGTGGCTTTCAAGCTCGTGCAGCTGGGCGGGATACTTACGATCGCAACCTTCTTTCCTCCTTTCGTCCAGTATCCTCATAAACGCTATGATATCGTCGCTCTTTCCTAACTAGCCCTAAAGCATTTCAAATAATCAAGTTGCCTAACCAATCAATCTAACTGAAAACGCGTACCAAACCATGGTTTTGTTTTGACCCTTGGCTGATGAAGCTCTCGTTCCGGGATCAATGAATATATATACATTGAGCATCCTAGCGTACACTACCACGATAACAGTGCTATTTAGCATGCTAGGGTTTGTCATTTTAATGAGTTCGTGAGTTCGTGATGTAAAAGGCTCCCAACAAACGGAAGAGAGTCTCATGATATTATGTAAAGACTCATAATCATTAACAAATAGTTATACACACAGATAATGGCAGTAAGGGTTGGAGCACCTTCTGTTTCCTTGAGGCTCAGGCACGGGCATCAGTCCTTCTTGGGAGATCATCTCAACAGAAGTTGGGATGGTATCTTATGGAATTGGTCTCATCTGACAAACGCAATTTCAGACTCCTCTTAATTGAGTGATGTACATGCTATAATTAACATCCCTCCATACAAAAACATCGAGGAGGACAACTCCCGAGTCTCCGAGCCGCACTGTGGCTGGATCATGCGCCACATTGGGGCGGTGCCCGTACGTAATGCCAAGACCCGTCCATCACGGAAGTCCCCCAACAGTCCGCGTCCACTGCGCAACCACAGACAGACCCAGACGGTGAGCCATTTACCATTCGGACGAGCTTCGGGCCATCAGTAAATAATATGTGTGCCTAACCTCTCAACTGGAACAAAATTGAGATGGCCTATACTCACCGCCACTCTCTCCTGTGGCTAATGCCAAGAATGAAGAGGGGACACCTTCCAGCCTCGTAAGGCGCGGACAAGCCTCGGACAAGAGAAGCTTGGCCCGGCAACGCCGGCCTGTATGCGCCGCCCAATTCGGACGGGGGCCAAGATGTACCGTGTATTCCGGAGGAGCGCGGAATATTGTACCGCTAAGGCAGAAGTAGTAAAGCTTTGCAAAGGTCCACTAGGTATTGGTTGTTTCATTCGTTGACCTGAAGACGAAGTAGGGCTGAATGGATCCCGATGGGTCCTGTTGATCAGCGCTTCATTGGATTTGGGTGGACGCGTGTTCACGCAACCCCTCAGGGCGTATGGACTTTGGGCCGTAAGAGCTCGGCAGCAAGAGAAGTGTTATTTTTGTTTGTAGTACCCTTGAAGTCCCGCATCTTGGCGAGAAGAGAAAAGGCTGGGCAGGGTCATAATTGTATGATTAAGGGTTATGATGAAGTCCTACTATGGACCCCGAAGTATGTAAATCATAGTCTACCCCGAGAAACCATGTCCGCTAGACTTTGGACAGCACGAATCTGCGCTCGGGTTCATTTTGTAGCCCTGTCACTTTTGTTCTTACTGGCCCCAATTATTACTTTCGCTTTCCATATGTCGGCGCTCGGGGTCGGCCAACACTTTGCCGGCAATGATCTCACTGGATCAGCTCTCCCCAAGTGCCCCTCTTCCAGCGCCCCGGGTTACCCAGTGGCTGAGATGAGAGAAGGCGGTGCGATCTGCTCTCTCCACTTACTCGATGGAGGGGCAAATCACTCAATTAGTGGTCGGTAGGATCCGTGGTCGAGCACTGTTTTGGAGGGGCCGTAACTCCATCCGCCTAACACCTATCCCAATATAGTACCCCTGTAGCCTGCTGCCCTCAGCCACTGCGCCCACCGATTTGGTGGGGCTTGTAGGAGCTGAGACAGAGAGGGGTACCATAGAGAGAGAGAGAGCTACTCCTGAATATCCTTAGCAGAACACGTAGCTATTCCGGTGGTTCTGGAGTATTCTGTCGTGGCTGTCTCGGCTATAAGAATCCCCTCGTCACCCCGAGCTGAGCCGTCCCGTTTCTGTTCAATTATCACGCTTTTTGCCTACTATCTTCCTATACCCTCTTTTCACCTACTACATACTATATTCACAATGGCTTGGGGCTTCGGTAAGTTCTTTGTCATATCTTCTTATCGTCCACACATCTTCGTTAGGTGTATGCACCCTGCACCCCATGCAGGTAGTCCGTATATACCAGACGCCCAATCATTACCACCACGCTACGAGCCACAAGATGCATATTTAAAATCGAACCAACACTGACTCTTGTCTTAGAACAATCCGATGACGCTCACCGCCAGGTGTACGGCGAGCAGAAGCACGAGAGCCACCTCAGCCACGAGCTGATCGCCGGTGCCGCTTCCTTCGCCGGAATGAAGGCCTGGGAGGACCACCAGCGCAAGGAGGGTATGTATCTACATTTACACAGCCAATGACTTTCCAACTACCTAGTAGCTTCATGGTGCTAATGATGCTCTGTCAATAGGCAAGGTCGTCAAGCACGCTTTCGCTAAGGAGGCTCTCATGGGTCTTGTCGGCGCCGAGGTCGACAAGCTCGTCGAGACCAAGGGCATGGACCAGGTTGACCGTCTCCGCGCCCACGAGCACGCCAAGAAGAACGCCGAGCACATGTACGACGAGCACTACGTCCGTGGCCACGGCGCTGAGGAATACGACCCCAACCGTTTCGAGCGTCACGAGCGCTTCGACCGTCCTGGTCGCTGGTAAATGTGTTAGATATGAATGATAACGGGTAGCGGGACCCCGGCAGCCGAGCTGGACATCTTGAGTGGCCCGGGGGCTATCTGGGAATTGAATAAAGATATGAACGAGTTTTGATAGGACATCCTTGCCGACGGTGTATACTTTTGTACATATGTACCGGGGCGGGAGGGTCGAGAGCAATGAAATGATATCCAACTACTAAAATTTCCCTCCTCTGTGCTGCGATGACATGGTTCCGCCTGTCGATGTTGTTCTTTGAAACACACTTTCCACGAGCTCCTCGAGAAAGTCTCTTCTTGCACCGTAAGGTAAGGTTGATGAGACTCTTTCCTAGTTCATCACCAGACGAGCAACGATTGAAACGATTGATCAAGGAGGTGTATGATATCTCACTTACATAGGGCGTAAGGTTGGAGAGACAGATATTCTCCTAGCCAGTCATCACCATGAGAACCCGCCGAGCACATTCTTGGGCTGCATTCCGGACCCGCATATACTTCGTAGATCATCACGATTGGGTTGAAACAACCAAGGTATCGTGATTATACGGGATCATCTCGTATTCAATGACGAGTTTATTCTGAAGTAGACTGCAGATATAGCGGCGTGTGACAAAGGCCATGTGCCATGCAGGGAGTGGACGAGAAATCAAGGTTCTACTGGAGGGTGTATCCTTCAAAGAATAGAGTATCAAAGTTGAAATTCCAGAACGCCATTGGAATTTGGGCCGGTGGGTCCGTGGGTTATCAGCACAACCAATCAGATCAGACGCTGACCAATTGGCACGTTAATACCCGAACGCTCAGGCATAGTCAGGCATAGTCAGGCATATTAAGGCATCCAGCGGGAAGCATGAGCTCATCATTAAGTCGCACGTGCTCGCGTCAAGCTCTCTGATTGTCGCAAGATTCACTGGAAAATGTACTCACGACAAGCTCTTAACAGAGGCCTCAATTTAGATCTCGCGGTACTCGAGACGCGCGCGAATTACCAGGCGCTCCTTACTTTGACGCCGATTCTCGGCGATCCGAGAGGTACTTTTTTTTTCCCCGACTACTTCGCTACGTCTTCTGCCAATGTCCAACTTGGCTTAGTACCAGCTTGGCTACCGCCAATCACGCTTATCTTGGGCGCCGCTGCTTCGTGCAGGCTTTTGCGCTTTCTTTCCGATCTGTGCTTCGAATTTTTCTTTTGCGATCTTCGTGCATCTTTGCACTCTTTCTAATTATTCCCATTCGATTACTCGGCTCCCACATTCCACTCCTCCAACCACTACGAGGTATGCCATGAGAGTCGTTCCGTCGCCAGGATGAAGTTCGCCAAGTGAGCCCCCCTCCTCTTGTCCCATGACGCATCCCAAGGAGACATTCCAGTGGTTAACCATAATTCAAACACACAGAGAGCTGGAAAAGGAGCTGGTGCCGGAATGGAGGGTGATGTATCTTGATTATAAGGTAGGCGGTGCTGTCTCTTCATCGCATGCTGCAATCAGTCGCTAACGGCGGAGTGTATAGACGGGCAAGAAGAAGATCAAGGCCATTACTCGAGCACTTCGTACGGCAAATCGAACACCAGGACTCTCTGCTCGATCCCAGCCTGTGCGATACCCATCCGCGTCTTCTCATATTTCACCGTACGAATTCGATCAGTCGGACCGTAACGATCCATCCAACCGACCTATTCAGACCACCGAGCAACAGCCATTGCAAACACCAGGGTCACGGTTCTCGGGCCCCGTGGGAAGTTACGGCAGCATCGTTGCCTCCCCACGCCAGTACGTCGAAAGCCCAGACATCAGGTCGCTCAGGCTTCCGGATCCTGCTATCGATCCCAATCAGGATTATGTGCCAGCAAGCGACAATATAGGTCCAAGGAGACCCAAGAACTCATCGCCGGCCTTCACTCGACGAGTTGCATCTGCTCCGCCAGAGTCCAACTTGACCAAAGTCCCGACAAGTCATAATTCCTCTCTGCATCGCGAGACTACGCCCGAGGACTCGGAAATACCGCCTGAAGTGTCGGGAACATCACCGAACGCGCTCGGAGTCAATCGTACACCACAGTTCATTCGGCGTGTCTTTTCATATGCAGACGACCCTTCACCCGCGGATTCGCGACGAGAGGTCGAGAAACGCTATAGTGAATTTTTTGTCTGGCTGGATGATGAGCTGAAGAAAATCGACGATTTCTATCGTAGAAAAGAGGAAGACGCCAAGGAGCGATACGACATACTTCATCACCAACTTCATGTCATGTCGCGGAACCGCCAAGGAGAAATGATGGATGCCAAGCAAGCAGCCGAGGGAAATGGTCATGATACGCCGCATCGACCGAAAGGACTTGCCGTATTGAACGCCGCTCACTTAAAAGAAACACTGAAAGAAACACTTACGGGGAAAAACCTTCGGTTTGGAAAGAACTCCGAGTCTCTCGCCCAGCTGGAGACGCCTGGCATTCGACCAAGGGATCGCGAATTCATGTTCGACCGAAGGGAACATATGCATGATGAAGATTCGCCTACCAAAGACCCGGGATACCGGACCGCTAAACATCAGCTCAAAGTTGCCATGCAAGAATTTTATCGTGGGATTGATCTGCTCCGAGGCTATGCCAACTTGAACCAAACGGCCTTTCGAAAGATCAACAAGAAGTTCGACAAAGCAGTCAATGCGGAGAAGCCCCTGGAATATATGACTGAGCGAGTCAACAAGTCATACTTTGTCAAGAGTGGAGAAACGGCAAAGATGATGCGAAAGGTGGAAGATTGGTATGGGCGATATTTCGAGGCCGGTAACACCAAAATTGCCGCCACGAAACTCCGCAGCGTAACGCAGAAGGCCGGAGATTACTCTCCCAACACGTTCCGTGCGGGTCTTTTCCTCATGGCAGGACTTTTATTTTCCATCCAGGCGCTCGTGCATGCGGCAAGGCATTTGTTATATGGTGACCTCACCCTGCAGGTTCACACGAGTTACTTGCTACAGGTTCGTGCTGACTTCACTCTCCCGTACCCCCACTCCCCGTGTAACTTGCACAGACCTGATTTACTAACTCGTCGGCTAGGTGTACGGTGGATACTTCTTGATCTCATTCCATGTATTGCTATTCTGCCTGGCTTGCATGATTTGGACCAAATCCAAGGTCAACTATAGATTCATCTTTGAATATAATACTAGGCACACCCTGGAGTGGCGCCAGTTGCTCGAGGTTCGTTTTTATTACCAAAGAGTCACGCCAACGCATTCTGACATCTATCCAGGTCTCGTCTTTTTTTATTTTTCTACTTGGTTTGTTCATGTGGCTTAATTTTTCGTGGGTCAATGAGATGTACATATACTGGCCCGTTGTGCTTATTGGCCTGTCCGTTATCATCGTCTATTTACCAGCACCCGTGCTGTACCATCAGAGTCGGAAGTGGTGGGTTGCGACGAATGTAAGTCTTTGCCCCTTTCTGACAACGGCTTAGCTCCTAACTGACATATCTAGTGGCGCTTGTGGTTCTCTGGGCTGTACAAGACTGTCGAGTTTCGCGATTTCTTCTTGGGTGATATGTACTGCTCCCACACATACGCCATGGGGGTAAGTACTCGGTATCCATGTTTGAGGAAATTGCTAATTAGATACAGAACATCGAACTCTTCTTCTGCCTGTATATCACATACTGGAGTGACCCTGTCAGGTGCAACTCATCACACTCACGAGTAATGGGCGTCTTCACTTGTCTGCCGTCATTCTGGCGTGCGTTGCAGTGTGGTCGTCGTTATGCCAATGACAAGAAGAACAAGAAACTCTCGTTTCCGCAGGATGCGTTCCCGCATCTATTCAACTTGGCCAAGTATTTATGCGGTATCGCCTACTACATGTGTCTGAGTATGTGGCGCATCAACAGGCAGACGCGATTCCAAGCGCCGTTCCTCACCTTTGCTCTCCTGAACTCTCTCTACACCTCTATCTGGGATGTGGTCATGGATTGGAGTTTGGGTAACCCATATGCCAAGCGTATCCTTTTGCGAGATGAGCTGGGCTTCCGCTATGCGTGGGTCTACTATGCCGCAATTGTTTTGGACGTCGTGGTTCGATTCAACTGGATATTTTATGCCATCTTCTCCAACGACATCCAGCATTCGGCTTTCCTCAGCTTCTTCGTTGCATTGTCAGAGGTATTCCGCCGTGGAGTGTGGTCCGTATTCCGTGTCGAGAACGAGCACTGCGCGAACGTGATGAAGTTCCACGCCTCGCGCGAGCCTAAACTTCCATACAAGTTCGATCTCACCCGGAGATCCCGAGAGGGCTCCCGGGCCGACGACGTCCAGCTCCAAGAACAGCACGCCCAAACACCGGTCGTGCCCGTCGTCGACGTCGAGGCTGGAGTCGGAAGCCCAGGGTTGTCAAGTGTGCGCGCTCACTATCCCTCAGGCCACCCATCCGGAAGTCTCCGGCGCCTCAGCTTCAGGGCAGGAACCGCCCATACACAAGACTTTGAGCGCCGGCAGCTTCCGTCCTATCTCTCCAATGCCACTGGGACTCATGGCCAAAGCTCGGAAGATGAGGAGACTGATGAGGAAGGGGATTACACTGATACCGAAGGTGTTGCGACTCCTCTTGACGAGCAAGACGAAACCCATTCACCATCGGGCAGTGCGAGAATCCGAAAAGAAGTGGAAAGTTGAGGTGGCTTAATTTCTGGTACATTTGCATGACTAGCCATGATTTTCTTTTATGATGAATGCATATACGGATGTTTTTTCCCATAATTTGTCAAGTCCCTTTTTTCAGTCAGCGCTAAAGGCGCGTCTAGCCCCTCTTGGGTAATTGCACAACGAGTGGATCCCAGAGACGTGGAGAATCAACTCGTTCTCGTTTGAAAATGGGGAATTTGTCATTCGATGAAAGAAACAAAAAACTTTAAGTAGTGTAGTTACTACTGTCCGTACTGGATTACTAGTAGGCCAGGGGTATTTCACCCGACGAGCCCGAGTTTAGACTGCTTGGTCCTGTTGGTGGCTTTTAGAAGCCAAGCATGGTCCCTGAATGGATGCACCCTCGGGACGATCACTTTATCTCAACTTTCGGTGCGAATATACAGTGTTCTCCTCTATTCGAACCTAAGGATATTGCAATTGATCCAGAATTAGTTATTAATTGCAACGGATTGGCTCCATATTGTGGCCTAAGCAAGCTGGAAATCCGGCGGCAGATCGGCGAGTAAACAAGATTCTTGAGTGTTTACAACACCCATCGCTCTCTTTGATCTCAAAGCAGTCTAGAGCCGGGTCTACTTTTCTGCTATTGGCGTAGTGACTCCGCCGATCTGCAACGGAACGTGTCGATCCCCTGAGCCAGCATCGTGCCTAATCTTTGAATGAAATGAGCTCGGTTCGCACGGGCTCTCGTGGAGTCCGTGAAAACCTCCTTTAATGTATAAAATTCTCATAAAAGGCGTCTCGACCAAACTCTCATGATATCTCGACAAAGTCGTTGATCAAGCAAAAAAATCACCATGAAATCAATCTTGGTATTGTCCGCGGCCATTTGCGCCGGCGCATCCCTCTTGGACATCCCGGAAGGCCATCCCCTGGTTAATTGGCGACCAGCTGGCCCGGGAGATGGTAAGTGGCTCAAGTTCAATTGCAGCCTTTGCTGAAATTCTAACAACGTCTTAGTTCGATCACCTTGTCCTATGTTGAACGCTCTTGCCAATCATGGTATTCTCCCGCATGATGGCAAGAACATCACCGAAGAGCAAACTATCAATGCCTTGAAGTCTACCATCAATCTCAACGAGGACCTTGCTAAAACACAATTCGAGGCGGCTTTGACGACAAACCCGGATCCTCATGCTACCACGTATTCTCTCGATGATCTATGCAGCCATGGAATATTGGAGCATGATGCGAGTTTGAGGTATGTCCAATCGATTACATTTGGGAAAGACAGACAGAGACTGACTAACCTGGCGTAGTCGACAAGACTACTACTTTGGAGACGATCATAGTTTCAATCAAGCTGTTTTCGACCAGACTCGATCCCACTGGAAGGGTCCATTCATTGATGTGGAGCAAGCGGCTCGTGCTCGCCAGGCTCGTGTGGATAAATCAAATGCTACAAACCCGGATTTCGGTTTGTCGAAGGATGCTTTAAGCCTTACTTATGGAGAGTCTGCGGCGTACATTATTGTATTTGGAAACAAGACTTCCGGGGTCGTGAACAAGTCCTGGGTGGAATACTTCTTTCGTGAGTTTCAGCCATATCACCAGCCTATTTCTATACTCTTCTCAAGCTTGTTACTTACACTTTCCTCATGGAACAGAGTTTGAGCGACTCCCAATAGCGCTTGGTTGGACCAAGAATGAAGACGAAATTACATCGTCGGACCAGCAAACCATAGCCCAGAAGATAATGGACGCGTCGAACAAACCTGCTGGAGAGAAGTGTGTTGCTTCGAGACGGAGTGACCCTCACACGGGTCACAGGGGGCATCATCGCCGAGAGCCCATTTTTGTTGGCAATATGCCTTAATGATCGTGGTCGTTGTCGTACTGTTGATGCTCCTGATACGTGGGAATGAACTAAAACTTAGCCTTAATTATCACCTACTCCAATATGAACGTTACTTATGAGCCTATACCTTCAGAGATGTGAATCAAATAATTGGACTTAATATAATATCATTTTCCAGGGCCAAAAGGCCACCCGGAAGGTTGGTTAGCACTACAGGAGTTTGTAGCGAAGCCTTCGACGCAAGAACTGCTCTCAGGGGGCTTGTCAAAGAATTTTCAAGCCTGTCGTGGACCTCGAGAATGAGATTCACAAAGAAAACTCTGGCTTAAAGATAAGTTTACCCATACGATTGCAAGGATCACGTAGAGTATTCAAGGGAAATATTCTTATCGACAATTCAATGAAAGAGGCCATACTATTTGCGAATAACGCTACATGTGTAGCAACGGCACTTTGAGAACCAAACTCGAGAAAGGAGGGGCAAGAGAGACAAAGCCATGTACGACAACCGTGAGCTACTATCAAAAAGGAATGCAGAAAGATAATACCATATCCCGCAAAATTAGCTTTGAGAAGCACCTGGGATCCAGGCTTGCCAAGGGGTGTCCAAACGAAATATTTGCTAGTGTGTCAAAAGCCCTAGAGACGTCCTTATATCCCTGCAGACCAACAGTATCGTCTGTTTAGTTGTTGTTCTGGCTGTTCAGGATACGCAGAATCGAAAGGAAGAGATTCAGAATATCCAGATACAGCGCAATAGCGGCAGCAATCTCCTCCTCAACATGGTAGTGCCGCATAACAAGCTGAGTATCCACGAGGATGTAGCCAGAGAAGATCAGTGCGCCCAACACACCGTAGATGAGCTCTGCGGTGCTACCAAACGGCATGAACATGGCCACGAATCCGAAAAGAATCATGAACCACAGCGCGCCGAAAAGGTAGGGCATCCAGCTGGTAAAGTCATACTTGGTCTGGCACGCGAAGAGCGTGAGGGCGACAAAGATACCCAATGTGAGGACCAGTGCCTGCACAACGACCCGTGATTCGTAGAAAGATGTCACGACACTGATGGAGTACGCTTCCATCAGGGTGAAGCCAGAGAGGAACAGCAGGTTTGTTGGGTAGGACTTGCGCTTCCAGTAGGTTGCGAGCATGAAACCGAGGGCACCAAAGACGGAGATGATCATGAGCCAAAAGTTGCCCTGGATCCAGGTACGGTATGTCTGGTTGAAGAACGAGATGGAGCTGAGAACGGTAGTGAGGAGAATTTGCGCGGTGCTACGATAGAGACACAATATTAGTTATATGCTCAAGATAGCGACGGATAAATTACATTTCAAGGGGGAGGGGTAGCGCAACTTACAGAATGGCATACACCTTGCGGACGAACTGCATTCGAATGTCAATAGTTCCCTCCGCGACCATACCTCCGAACTAAGATCCAAAGTCAGTCCCTGAATCTTCAAGAATATCTGGACGAACATCTAAATACCTTAAAGTCATCAGGCAGGTTGTCATCTTCGGTGCGCGGCTCCGGGCTCGTCGCTGTAGCCTGGTAAGATGGGGGTGCTTGAGTGTACGGCTCGTCCTCAAAGGAGTCCCGCTGAGGAGCGGGCTCATATCGAGCGTTCGCAGCCATTATATCGCAGGTCTATTGCGCCGTCTCGAGTAACTTCAACTCTGATGAGGACACTGAGAGATGTGTTGGTGATCAAGCGCTGAGGCGAAGAAGACCGTTCTTCTTTTGGGGCGCAGGGGCCATGTGACGTGAGATCACGTGTATGTGATCTAATCGATAAGATGAAACGCTAGACCCAAAAGGATTAGCTTTCTCGAAAGCTCTCGGTATGTGGAGTTCGGGTCAGCACTTCTATTGAGATTCAATTCATTTGCCTACCCTCATGTATGATTCGAGACGCTAACCGTTCCAGGCTGGCTGATGACGAATACTATAGATTCGTAGGTACATATTTTCCTTTCCAGCCCCGCCCGTGAGTATCGCAATAATGGCATCTGTTCCTTTTCGCTCGACTCGTACGCAGTTATTGGCTTCTCCCAGGACATCCTCTGACAATGTTGTCCCTCTGTTTACTGCTTCTCCTACATCTATCGGGGTTCGGTACAGCTCATCCTGGCAGTCATGACGAAACTGCCTACTTTCGATCGCTTGTCTCAAGCCGTTCGGTACATGAGGCAAGACAGAAGTTGGCCAGATGTTCCGACCATATCAAGCGCAAAGGGCTTGACGCTCGCGCTGCTACTCGTCGGGCAGCAATTTTGGATTCATATCGCGGGATTTCTCATTCTGGGGCTGGACCCAAGTCAAGCCGCTCTTCTACCTCGCAAGCAGTACTCTCATCGTCCGAGAACCCACCTTGTCTCCTTACGCCTGAGGCAACGATTGGTCCTTTCTGGGTTGATGGCGAGTTGATCCGATCCAACGTCACCGATGGAGAGCCCGGTATTCCGTTGATATTGGACGGAGAATTCATCGATATACACACATGCGAGCCAGTTGAGGATGTGTTTTGGGAGATATGGAACTGCAACGCCACTGGAACCTACTCGGGCGTTCAAGACTTCGGCCACCACCACGGTGACGATGATTCTAATCTCGACAAGACGTATCTAAGAGGTGTACAGCGAACTGACAAGGATGGAGCTGCTCAATTTACTACCGTGTTCCCTGGTCATTATCCTGGTCGAGCCACCCATATTCATGTGCTAGCACATGTCGGGGCCACTATTTTGCCTAACAATACCGTGACTGGAGGCCATGTCGCCCATATCGGCCAGCTTTTCTTTGATCAGGACTTGATCGCAGCTGTAGAGTCTACTCCTCACTACAAGGCCAACAATGTTCGAATCACGCCAAATATAAACGATGGTATCTTTAATGACGTGAATAGTGCTAGTGGCTATGACCCTATCCTGAGTTATACTCGTCTTGGTCATTCGCTCGATGATGGTATCCTGGCATGGACGACCATGGGGATTGACTTATCTGCCAGTTACGAAGCGGAATCAGCTGCAAGTCTCACAGACCATGGTGGCGTGGCTCATTTCCATGGCTGGTCTGCTCATGTACCTGGTGCAAGAGAGATCATTGTGTTGGTGGTAGGTCTGGGGCTTGTCTTCTGGTTGGCTCGCTCGTTCCGTCAATTCTGCGCGAGATCGGCCTAGTTCTTTTGAGGTACTAACCTTCTTCTATTCTGAATAATTGAATCTTTTATGGCCCAGCTTGCTGGTTTTAATGGCCCACAGGCAGCGTGACCTATAGCGAATCCATTCCTAATGCAAAGAAATCAATTTGCACTAGTATAATTATCATAAGCAACGGGTTCCAGAACAAAACCAGAGAATCGAAGCTCCAAACGCCGTTCATTAGATCGAAAAGACAAAACCAGAATGCCAAGACTGTGCAAATAATGAAGCGCTCAATGAGCCAGCGAATATCCAGAAAGAAGAAAAATCTAAGATGTCTGTCGAGAAAGAAGCAAAGTTACAGAACTCATTTTCTGTTGTATACAGCAATCAGCGCACGGATAGCTCAGTACCTTGAGCTTACCCAGCACCGTAATATCGTATCAATTGGGCAAAGATGGGATCAGTGCGATGCAATGAAGAAAGTGTTTGTGATCAGGCACACAACCATGACAACAACGCCGTACATCGCCAAGCCCAAGCTTAGGCGTCGCAGCAAGGCTTTACGCCAGTGGCGAGTGTTGCGGAGCAGTAGGCCACTTTCAGTTAATGAGCGTGCCAGGGATCCTTCGCCGTCAGCATCGGCATCGTCATCGTCATCAGATAGGTCGTCAACCGCTTCATCATCCTCCTTCAGTAGGCCACGATGAGTGGGAGAGTCGGGAGAAGAGATCTTGTAGTAGAAAAGACCCGGCAGAATGAAACTGATACTCGTACTGCCGGTGCTTCCAACGTATGCAAGGACGGCTTCGAGGGACGATACCGTCATGGCAACGATGTAGCTCAGAATGAGGATGGTAGTGGTAATGACTGAGAAGCGAAGGTCACTCATCGGCTCGGGTGTGCGGTTACCACGAGGACCAAGCAGGGGGTGTCGGTGGGGAGAGGCCTCAGTGCCGGCGGGCTGTGACTTAGGACGCCATTTCAGGACAGCGTCAACCGAAGCCCTGCAAGGGTGGCATTGGAGGGGGTAGGAGAAGACGACCAGCATGACAATTGCGGCGCGCCCAATTGTGGCAGCCACGCCAGGGGGGTACATGCCAACGATGTTACCACCGACTTTGTTGCCGAAAGAGAGGTAGCCCGTGATCGCGACCAAGATGTAGGTTGCAGCAGCGCTACCAGTGCTGGCGAGAACGACAGCTGTCGTACGGAAGTGGCTATTATTCTTGATTTCATTGAGAATGGAGAACATCTGGGAGAGAATGTTAGCAAGTCCGCTTCTCAATGGCCGGGAAAATATGGGATATTGCAGTCGTACATTTTGATGGCAAGTAAATGCGAAGACGATAACCGGGAGGCTGCTCAGAGTCGGAACGGCACCAGCCCAGTGAATCACGCGAACTGGGCCACGCTCCGCCATTGTATCGCCCTTGACGAAGTGGTAAACGACCAAAACGACCAGGTAGGCCATGGAAACCAAGGCTGCAATACTGGTGTACTTGAGGGAGTCTAGTCGACGCAAGTATGAAAGAGGTATCACAATCAACCTGCCGAGTCAAAGATATTAGCACATTGCGGACTTTTGTCGCAGAGTTGCAGACATACATAAAAGCTGTAACCCAGAAATGACGGTCAACCAGGAAGTCATAAACTGGTTCGCCTCCCACGAAGCCTTGAACGACTCCCGGCATGAGATCGCCAATGATGATCAGATAGCTCACACCAACGCCAAAACATTTGATCGCAATAGCAGCGTCAAAAACGACGGCAGCATTGGGGTATGTGAGTTGCGATAGCGCAAAGAATGAAGCGCTGCCTCGATCGAGATATTGGGCGCATCGAGATTGCAGGTAAAGACCGAATCCCGCCGTCACTCCAGACCACAGAATCACCAAGACTCCCAGAACTATTCCCATATGTGAGATTGCGAGTGGCATCGCGAGTACGCCGGCGCCGATAACTATAGCGAAGAAGAATCAAATCAGTGCCAAGTATCTTACGAATTCCCCGACTTTGTCGACTCACTCGTATTGACCAAATTGATCACGCTACTCGCCCAACTAGCCTCTCCGGTGGCTCCAACGGCTCTTTTTCCTCGAGCAGCACGCCTAATTCGAGATTCTAATTAGCACAGACACAACAGCGACAAGCCGCCAGAGGCTTTTTTGTATGGGAACGTACCATCGTGGACCGTTCTGGGGCAAACTGGCAGGGCCCACGCCAACAGTTGCCTCCTCCTCCATGGTATCGAGATGTATCACACGTCTAAAATGGCGATGGATCGGGATCTAGCATCAGACCTGACAGTGACCACGGCCAGCGGAGCCGGACAGGTTAACAGGGTTGTGAATTCGAGGGGCGAAGTTGAGAAGAGAAGAAGCAGCGCCGTGCGTGGCCTCTCTTATCTCAGACCCGATCCCCGATAACTCGGCGGCACCTGACTTGTCCGGCTCTCCGCATTTCTGACACCATTTTACCTCCTCACTACGACACTACGACACGCCCTGTCCATTGCCGGATCAAAACGGATTATTAACATTACCATTCTCATTGACACTGCAGATGGTGTGATGGCCGGTCGCGATTAACTAAAACTACAACTTGGCTCCCAGTCCCCATCCCTCTTGCAAGAGCAGACCGAAACTTTCCTCCTCCACAGCTCCGTGGTCGGACGCCGTGTTGCCTGGCCGGTCTCCAGGGCCTGGATCGTTGAAGGCAGTGACTTCACGCACCGTCTTCGATACTTCGAGAATCGTTCCTCCCACAACCTTATACTGGTGACCCTTGCCCGATCGATCCCCGATGATCTCACTCACCTGGTCTTGCTGGACGAGTGCCAGCATAACCTCTGCGACTTCTTCCGGTGTCACCCATTCGTCCGCACTGTCATCCACCATCTTCAATTTTTCAGGATGCTCGGTCCACAACGGCGTCTTAATGACACCGGGCGCCACCGCCGTGACTCGAATGCCAAGACGGTCGAGCTTGCTTAGCGACCGGACCAGCCCGTTGATAGCATGTTTCGTGGCAACGTAAATCGGCGCTGCCATGGCGGGATTCTGACCAGCGATACTGGAGATGTGAATGAGATGCTTCGGGCGGCCATTGCCGCGGTGCTTCAAGAAGTGCGCAATCGCAAGCTGCGACGTGCGGATGGGATGTGTGATGTTGATATCCACCAGGGCATATCGGCCTCCGTCACGCGCGTCTTTGCTGGGCGCCGAGCCAGGTGGGCGCCAGAAGTTGCTCCAGTGCTGTGTCACACAGTGTCAGTCGTATGGGAGATGTTTTGCTTCGTAGTTCCGTAGACCACGACTCGCACCACGTCCTTTGTTCACACTTACTGGTTCGTAAACTCCAGCACCGGGGCAGACAATGTCGACTTCGCCGAATTCTCTCTCGGCCACCTCAAACATGCGCTCCAGCTGTAACCACTCACACACGTCGGTCTGCTGGAAGATGGCTCGCGGCGACCCAGTGGAGTATGTCTCAACCAGGGTCTTGGCCTCAGGTCGTAGAGCCAGGTCCGCTATTAAGACATTGCATCCATTTTCTATCAGTAGTTTGGCGTAGGCAAAGTTGATTCCTAGGCAGACATGAGCACTTGATTTAAATCGAGTCTAGAAATCTAAAGGCTGACATACCAGAGCCAGCGCCAGTGATAATGGCGGTTCTTCCTTTGACTGAGAGGGCCATTCTGCAGTTTGAGTGGAACTATGAAGCGATTTACAGCTCGGCTGGCTCCTCGCCGGAGATGCACTACTCTTATGTATGCCCCCCAGGCCCTGTGGGACTACTTCGGGGTCCATTGCAGCGATCCATCACCGCGCGTAGCATAGCCGTTTTGGAGAAAGAGGGGGCACCCGCGGGGGAATTTAACCGTTCGGTTGCCAGGCAAGTCGCCCGAGTCAGACCGGCGAGATGCCCGAGGGTCTTTTTGTCTTTAAAGAGCGTTCTCGGCCACTTCTTTTCAAGTCATCTGACTTATTCCAGTTGACATTGCTTCTATCATAACCAATCTTCTTTTCTTCCCCTCCGGATACTGCATCTTGATCGGCAGTGGAGCAAGAGGGGCCTTCGCCAGAATTTCCTCTTCCGTGTTGCATACTGCGCGAACCGTCTCCGAGACACACAGCTAGCTGGTTCATTTTATTAAATTTCAGTACTACTTTATAGTAAATAGGTTTTATTCAAGCAACGCAATCGAATTGAACGAATCGACGGACTTTCAAAACTGCCGAACTCCAGAGCTCTGTAACGATCTATGATCTCATATGTCTTCCCCGCAACGCTTTGCACCATGGCGGGTAATGTTCCTAAACAGGCTAAGGACTTGAATTCCGAGTGCACATCGGCAATCAGTAGTAGTACATTGACAATCTAATAGGCCTGTATTTGTTCTCTGGGCCTGTAGTATGGGTTACACAACAGATTACCAAGAGGCTGGCCAGAAGAATTCTCTCAAGGCTTCTACATGTCCTACATGTTTAGGTTGCATGGAGCTCGGACCGGCTGTTCAATGAAGTTGAATCACGTAGTGACTGATGACACGAGAACCGAGAACCTCCTATTGATTTTGCCAGTCCGAGTTTGTTTTTGCCATATTCTCGTGCCATGAATGGTTCTTATGAGTTGTGGTCACGTCTCTAACGTGCGTAGAGCTGTTGTGGCCTCGAGCCTGGTGATTGTATAAATGTGACAATTAAGATCAATGAACATCTAAAATAGGCCTAGGAATGAATGCGAAATAAGCTGGCTATCAGTCTCAAGCACACGAAGCCGATCACAAACATCGGGGCCCCTCTCGAGTACAAAGTAGAGTGACGAAGGGTCCCATCGAATCAAAGACTGTAGATGGCGAATGGGCAGTCACGCTAAGCATTTTACGGCAATCTACCCGCCGCGAAGCGGGAAGTTTCCTAAATCAGTAGTCTCCCGACATTTGCGTGGTACATCCCACGATGGCCATCGACGTATTTAAGTTGGCAATAGTTTCCAATTGGAGATTCGGTGAAACAACTACTCATTCAATATGACGATGTCAAGACTTCTCTCAAAAGCAGCTACTCGTGCGGCATCTACGTCCACCGCCACGCAGACCACTAAAGCCGCGGGTGACATCTCGTCGGTCTTTCCCAGTCTAAGACCGGATTATCAGCCAGAGCCTCTTCCTCCTCGTTTTCGAGACTTGAAGCGGCGGCTATTTGAAAAGAATGAAAAGGCCTTAACTGAGAGCTGGAAGAGACTGCTTCCCAGTTTAGAAGAAGAGGTAGACAAGATTAGGACGAAAGGCAGCGATGTACGTGTATAAACCTTTTCTTTCGTTCTGCTTTATCTGCCCATCGAGATGATTATTGACCTCTTCTAGATCATTCCCTCTGTGGACTACGCTGATGTCGTTTCGGGGACAATTTCCGAAGCGACCATGAAAGAGATCCGCCATCGCGGCACTGTAGTCATTCGAAATGTTATCCCTCGCGACAAGGCGTTGGATTACAAGGAGCGCACCCGCGATTACATTGCCGCCAACAAGGAGCGCGTCAAGGCATTCCCGGCTGATTCTCCAGCCGTATATGAGCTCTACTGGACTCCAAGCCAAGCAGAAGCCCGTGCCCATCCGAACATGCTCAACACACAGCGATTCCTGCAACGTCTATGGCATTCGTCTGACCCCAAGACTAAGCTGTCAACATCCAATCCGCTGACCTACGCGGATCGTTTGCGTATCAGGGATCCCGGTGATGCCAAATTTGCCCTCGGTCCACATGTCGACGGTGGCTCGCTCGAGCGCTGGGAAGATCCCGAGTACTCGAGTGTGTACACCAAGATCTTGGAAGGTAACTGGGAAAAATATGACGCGTGGGATGCGAAGCACCGCCTGAATGCCAAGATGGACTTGTACAACGGTGCCGGTGCCTGTTCCATGCTTCGCTTTTTCCAGGGCTGGATGTCAATGTCCGACACTGCCCCCGGCGAGGGCTCTTTGCACGTGTGCCCCATGATTGTTCAAAGCACCGCGTATACAATCCTGCGCCCGTTCTTCGATGTCCAGAGTCAGCAGCCTAACCTGGATGCCACCTTCCCTGGCTCTGTTCCCGGTGCATGTCAAGAGTATAACCCAGTGACCCACCCCCAACTGGAACTGGAGACGACCATGGTATCGGTGCCGACAGTTGAGCCCGGTGACTTTGTTGCCTGGCATTGCGATATGCTCCACTCTGTCGATAAGGAACACCGTGGCAAGAGTGACTCTAGCGTGCTCTACATCCCTGCCACTCCTTTGTGCGACATGAACATTGATTACCTTCTCAAACAGCGTCAGGCTGCGATCGACTACTCACCACCGTGGGATTTCCCTGGTGCTGGTGGTCCTGGCGAGTTTGGGTTCAAGGGAGCTATGGACTGGTCATCACTGAATACTGATGGACAGCAAGCATTGGGTCTCGGTAACACACCTTGGAAGATCACCGAGGCTATGAGCGAGGGTGAGAAGCAGGCCGTGCGATCGGCTAACAAAGCTTGCTTTGGCCTGTAAAACCTATCAAGTCATCATTGAATCGGAGTTGGACCATCATTTTTCATTTTTGTGCAGTACATAGCAACAGGCATATATGCATTGATCATTACTCAATTGACCTATGGAGAAAAATGTAGTGGAGAGTTGACGGTTGAGTTGCGAACGAAAACTGGATATCACACAAGGAGGCTCCTTATGTTCTTCGCCTAATGTCGCAGACCAACCCTTCTTGCTGCACAAACCAAACATTCTTCGTCTTCCACTCCTGTTTCGGGTTGTGCAACTTGATCTCGAATTTACGCAATAACTCTGGTATCATCTTATGCATCTCTGTCAAGGAGATGTACTTTCCTAAACAGGTCCGAGCTCCGGAACCGAAGACGAAGAAGCTCTGTTCCATCTCTTTGAGCTTCTCGGGCGAGTTATCGAGCCATCGCTCCGGAATGAATGAGTCAGGATCCTCGAAAACCTCGGGATTTCTGTGCACAACCCATGCGTTGATGCCAACGACTGTTCCAGCAGGGATGTTTTTGCCACAAATAACTGCACCTTCGCTTGGAACATGGCGCTCCATAATCAACCCCGTGGATGGGTGGAGACGCATCGCCTCCTTGATTACAGCCCCGAGATATGGCAGATAGGTCATAGACTCGCGGTACGAGATTGGGTCGCTCAGTTTTCCTTCACGTGTCGCGTTGTCAATCTCTTCTTGAACCTTGGCTATCACTGTTGGATTGCGGAGGAGAAAATAGAATACTGCGCGGAAGGCAATGGCTGTAGTATCAGAGCCTGCAAACACATTTGCTGAAAGATGGACCATCACGTCTGTCGTAGTCATCTTTTCAGGGTTGAGCTGATGAACAGCCATCCACTTGGACATCATATCCTTCCCTGCTTCCAGATCCTCTTTCTCCAACTCTCCATCACGCTTCAATGATGAACGTGAATTGATCGCCTTCAGGCTAAATATCACCACCGAGTTCCAGGTCTCCATTTGGGGGAGGAAGATGGGGAACAGCGGGTTGCCCAGCAAGACATGATGCATTTCTGGAACTTGGCCGCAAAGACTAGCATAAACCAGCATTCCTTGAATGGCCTCAATCATGCCATCGACGTCTCGGCCTTCTTCGAGAAATCCGAGTTTCTTAGCGAAGACAAATTCGCCAACCACATCAAAGGAGTAATACTGAAGCCATGCTCCCAAATCAACAGGTGCCTTCCGGTCTGCAAAGCTACCGAGTTTGTCAAGGAAGATGTTTGTGCATGAGTCAACCCCGGGCTCCATCTCAAGAAGAGAGCGTAGGCTGTAGGCATTCGCGACCAAGCGCTTTTGTTCGCGATGGTGTTGTTCGTCACGATCGGAGAAGAGGTTCACCTGTGGCTTTTTGTTCCACGAGATGCACTGGATAGGGTAAAAAGCTGTCTGTGGATTAAACAAAATTTTAGCAACTGGACTTGTCATATAAAAGCTACTATATTATCAAATACCTTGGTAAATCCTTTGTTCAGACCATATATGATAGGGATAGCCTTGGGATCCCCGACTGAGATATGTTTGGGGCCAATACGGACAAGATGTCCATGTTTTCGGTGCAATGCAATTGCGGTATTGTGGTGGTCGCCCTTCCAAACATTGTGAAGTTTCCACAGTCGGGTATATTTAGCGAGAGAAGGGCCGGGAATATCGCTCAGACCTTTCCTGAATCGGTTTCTGAGAAGGAGAAGAAGCAGCAATGCTACGATAAATGCGTATACTGGATAAGCCTGAATAGAAATATTTAAGGCCATTTTGTTGTATTTGAGGAATAGAGAAAATAATTTCAAGAGGCGGCTCAAGGATTGTTTCCCCTTCTAATCCTGTTTTATAGGGCAGCGGCTCTCTAGTTAAACATACAGCCACCCCGCTGATCCTCAGCCGAAGATCCACCATGACCAATTGTGAGAAACTAGCTAAATATGACAGCCTCGAAGGTGAAAATGAGTGGGTTATAACTACCAATGCCGTCTAGTCAATTACTCCTAACCTGCAGCTCAATGGGACTTGCAGGCGGGGTAAAGGGCCAAGGTGGTCGCTTGGCGCATGCTCATGGAGTCATGACAACGTGTACTTGCATCAAAACCCCCTCTTAGAGGCTCAGACTTTGGGCGCCTTATAACAGGCCAAATTTGATTAGAGAATACGAAGAGGCCTCGCTGGACTTATGGTTTCTTCGGGTACGAAAGGTTTGATTGCCGAATTGACTCCTATGCTTACTTCTAGGGGGATGACTGCACCTGCCACAATAGCCTAATTATGCTAGTTGTACATATCAGTATCTACAGGGGGGTCTCTTTGGTTTGAAAGCCCGACAAATTCTTAAAATCATCGTATTAACCACGAGTTCGGCGATAGACCGGAAGATAATACGGATACCACCTATCGAGAAGGACAGTGGAGAAAGCATTCAGATATACTCTTCACAGACCATGTTAGAAAAACATCTAGCTAGATTTCTTTTCTAGTCTCTAGCGTCAGACTTTTAACCTTCGGTTGTAGACTACCCTCAGGCTATAGCAAAATCACTAGATCGCATTGTTTACGAGCCATGACTTATTGTCAAAAAAGGTGATTGTCAAAAGACTACCTAACACGGAGAAGATTACAATTAAAGATAAGCTCATGATTCTATTCTTGGACTTAAAACTGCTCGGATATATGCAAAATTACAGCCAGCAAAGGTTGCGAGAATCCGAGACCAAACTTCCTTGCCCGTTTGCAAGGGTTGCCGGTGGTGTCCAATCATCTCGCTAGAGGACATTTACCCACTTCACGTAAATTAAGCATAACGAACTCAAATTATATGCATCGGCTGCTCAAAATAAATTCAGCTGGCTAAGTGAATAGCTGTTAGAAAAGAAGAAATGATCACCAGACGGGACCGAGGACGCCGCTTGTGAATGAAACCCTCGGCTATCCCTCTGTACTACAGACGTCAGCGAGAACAGGTGCAAGAATAGATTCCCTCCCCAGGTCCGATGGTTTGTACTACCAGAACGCTTCAGCTTCACAAGGAATTGACATGTGGCGCGGGGACCAGCACTTATTCGGGCATTCCTGTCTTTTTCCGTCGGCGTACAGAGACAGCCCGGTCTTAAACAAGTACAGGTGGAGTTTGCCGATTTGAAATAGTTGGGCATTCCCGTCAATCAAAGCCCTCGACTGATTGGTCAGGTATTGTCCTTTCATATTCTGAACTGATAGGTAAGGTCCAAGAAAAGTCCGATTGCAAATTGCTTTTGATAGAGTCATTTACCCGGCGTGTCAGATCGCTTAGCTGCCATATATGCTCCCAGATACCCTGTTTCTTGCTGACAACTGACTGGGCAGCTTCATCCTCTTGGGATTCTTCTTACATTCATATCAATTCCAATATCCCTCTAACAGATCTTCATCCCATATAACCTGATCTTTTGTAAGTCCGAACTGACGTATGATGGATCCCCCTCCGGACCAGCGTCACTCCTCTCTACGGCCGCTTCACTCTGGCCAGCGAACCAGAACAACCCCATCATATCCCCCTGTAAGGGAATTCCAAAATTGACAAATGCTGATTCGAATGGTGAACTAATTACTCTCATGATATAAAACAGACAAGCCCTGAAATTGATGAACAGGAACCCTTCATGCAGTCTTTACTTCCCCCAAGCCACTCAGATCACCCATCCGATCCTAGTGTTGGCGTTCAAAATCGATATCTCCCTTCATACAGTGACACAACAAGTCGTTCAACTGGTTCTTATTACGGAGGGATCTATAATGCGCAAGACTCAGAGCCTGCTGAATCCATAAACCTCGATACAGACTCGACGAGCTCAAAACGCTGGGCTCAACGGCAAACACCGGCGCTGAGTACCCTTCGTCGGTATCCCACACGTCGAATCAAACTTGTCAAAGGCACGGTATTGAGTGTTGACTATCCTGTGCCGAGCGCAATACGAAATGCCATCGAGCCTAAATATCGCGACCTGGAGGAAGGGCACAGCGAAGAGTTCACACACATGAGATGTAAGTCAAAGATATTATCTAGCTTTGATCTCATCGTTTAAGTGGCATTGATGGGTGATGATAGACACCGCTGCGACATGTGACCCTGACGAGTTTACGCTGCAACATGGGTATAATCTGCGCCCTTCGATGTACAATCGACATACCGAGATGCTCATCGCTATTACCTACTACAATGAGGATAAAGTTCTGACTGCACGAACATTGCATGGGGTGATGCAGAATGTCCGTGATATTGTGAGTTTTCCAATCCACTATACTGTGTCGATGCGCAATTGATCTCACATTTCTTCGGCGAAAAGGTCAATCTGAAGAAGACCGAATTTTGGAATAAAGGAGGCCCGGCCTGGCAGAAGATTGTCGTCTGCCTTGTGTTCGACGGGATCAAGCCATGTGACAAAAACACCCTCGATCTGCTTGCGACTGTTGGAATTTATCAAGATGGTGTGATGAAGCACGATCTTGATGGCAGAGAGACAGTGGCTCACATTGTCAGTCAAAGCCTTGACTATAGCTCGAACATACCCACAACTTCCGAATCACTAATCGTTGGCAGTTTGAATACACAACGCAGCTATCGGTCACTCCAACACAACAACTGGTTCGGCCATTCGAGGATGACCCCACAAACCTTCCGCCCGTTCAGATGATTTTCTGTCTCAAACAGAAGAATAGCAAGAAGATTAATTCACACCGGTGGCTATTCAACGCATTTGGCCGCATCCTCAACCCAGAAGTTTGCATTCTGATTGATGCGGGGACAAAACCAGGCCATAAATCCTTGCTCACTTTATGGGAGGCATTCTATAACGAGAAAGACCTCGGCGGGGCTTGCGGCGAAATTCACGCCCTCCTTGGGCCTGGTTGGCGGAAAGTCTTAAATCCAATTGTTGCCGCACAGAACTTCGAATACAAGATCTCCAACATCTTAGACAAGCCTTTGGAAAGCAGCTTCGGATACGTGAGCGTTCTGCCAGGCGCATTCTCAGCCTACCGTTACCGAGCAATCGTTGGCAGACCCCTAGAACAATACTTCCATGGTGATCATACCCTATCAGGGAGACTGGGGAAGAAGGGTATCGAGGGGATGAACATTTTCAAAAAGAACATGTTCTTGGCGGAAGATAGGATCCTGTGCTTCGAGTTGGTTGCAAAGGCCGGTTGTCGCTGGCGACTGACTTACGTGAAAGCATCGAAGGGAGAAACAGACGTGCCCGAGAGTCCTCCTGAATTCCTTTCTCAGAGACGGCGATGGCTCAATGGATCCTTTGCAGCGGGGCTATATTCGATGATGCATTTCAACCGTATTTATCGAAGTGGTCATAGTCTTCCTAGGCTATTCGTCCTTCATGTCCAGTTTGTCTACAATGTTTGCCAGCTTATCATGACATGGTTCTCGCTGGGTAAGTCGCAAGCAATGGCAGTCAATTGCACTCTGCTAACATCACTCAGCATCTTACTGGCTTACCACGTCTGTTATCATGGATATTGTGGGCATACCGAGTGCAGTGAACCATCAAAAGTCATGGCCGTTCGGAAGCGAAATCTCCCCAATCTTCAACACGTTTCTCAAATTTGGTTACATCGCATTCCTCATACTCCAATTCATCCTAGCTTTGGGAAATCGGCCAAAAGGGTATGTTATTATCCAACAAAATACCTAATCCAAGGAAGCTCATGTGAGGTCACATCTAGGTCCCGAATACCGTATACGCTATCATTAATCTATTTTTCCATCGTCCAGTTCTATATTCTTGTGCTCTCATTCTATCTCGTCGCACAAGCTCTGACTCCCGCGAATCTCAGCTTTAATCTCAAGGACGGCATCGGGACTTTCCTGAAGCAGTTTGTCTCTTCCACCGGAGGAGTGGTCCTGGTCGCTTTGGTATCTACATACGGGATATATTTCATCGCCAGCTTTCTCTATTGGGATCCTTGGCATATGTTTACCTCTTCATGGGCCTATTTCCTGGGCATGCCTTCCTCAATCAATATCCTGATGGTCTACGCATTCTGCAACTGGCACGATGTCTCGTGGGGGACCAAGGGATCCGACAAAGCAGATTCTCTGCCCTCGGCTCAGACAAAGCAGGATGCTCAAGCACCATTCGTGGAGGAGCTTGACAAGCCACAGGCAGATATTGATGTGCAATTCGAACAGACTGTCAAACGAGCACTTGCTCCGTGGCATGAACCGAAGGAGAAAGACGAAACAAACCTCGAGGACTCGTACAAGGCATTCCGAACTAATCTCGTGCTGTTCTGGACTTTCAGTAATGGTCTGCTAGCGCTCTGCATCAACAATGATGGAATCAAGCAGCTTTGCCTCACGGTAAGTTATCGCAGCCTCGTAGAGGAATGAAAGCTAATCTTTTCAGACAACCTCCACCCTTCGGACGGCGTGGTACTTCCGGGTGGTCCTCTGGGCTACCTCAGGTCTTTCCATCTTCAGGTTCCTGGGCGCGCTGTGGTTCCTTGGCAAAGTGGGAATTTTGTGCTGTTTTTCCAGACGCTAAGAGAGACGCGTGTTCTCTCTACCAAGATCGCCCTGTTTCTCATATAGGTTGGACTAGCTCAGTTGTATAATTTGTATTCAGTCTAGGGCTCTGTTATCAACTTTGATCGATATACCAAATTTTGATGGGGGACATCCCATTGATTGGTAGGCCGTTGGCTGCCAATGTTCATTTCCCAATTTAGTGATGTAGGAGCAGTTAAAAGGAGCGCTCCAAGTATAGCGGTCTAGCTCGCGCCACAGTTTGAAGGCTTTCGTGAAACGTCCACAGAGTGAGTCATTTAGGAAGCTTCGGCTATACGAGGTCATTGGCGGGGCTACGGGCGGGGAGTATAAAGCAGATGTGGAAAGACATTCTCAAAAGAGTCAGTAAGCAATTCTTCAATTCTTAAGTGTCTTGGAGTCTAATTCAAGACAAAGATCGTCCGTTCCAGGTACTAATAAGCTTTTTTACTTGCCTCGTGGCGAGCTGTCAGCTGACCAAACACTAATTGAAGTTCATCAGATCCTTCTATTCTCTTGTCATCGCTCACCATGGCCTCGGACACACCCTCTGAGCAGAAGCGATTCTACAGTACCTCCTCTCCATGGGAGGCCAAGTTCGGTTATTATCGTGCTGTGCGACATGGCCGTCACATCTTCGTCTCTGGCTCGACTGCGGCAGATCCAGACTCCCCGCCTGAAGCACCCAGGGTACGCTTCCCTGGAGACGCGCGCCAGCAAACACGAATCACCCTGGAAGAGATCATTCAGGCTATCCAGGCTGTAGGTGGTCGAGGTGCAGAAAGTGTAGTGCGATGCCGAATGTTTGTTAGCAGGAAAGAAGATTGCGGTATCGTTGGAGAAGCATTCCGGGAGGTCCTGGGCAAGCACAATGGTGGTCAAGTCGGAGCTGCTGCAACTATGATTGTGGTAGCTAACAGCTTTGTCGATGATGATATGCTCGTTGAGATTGAGGTGGATGCAATTGCTGAGGAGGATTAGTCTAGCCAATATGTGATGGATATATGTAGAGCCGTCGAGGTGCCTGCGTACGTCCGTCGACAGAAGATATATAGTTAGAGACTAGCCAGACTTATGTGTCAATTAAATAAAGATCAGAACAAAAATACAATTGCAACATTGAATAGACTCGAGCAAAGATTTAAATAGTCAAAGAATTTAGGATTTGTGTTATTGTTGTAATTGCAAGGATGTTGTTGAACTGGAGAGACCGGCTAGTAAAATGATGACAGTCGTCCATCGCCTCCGGGGAGACCGCCCGCACGCTCCACCCGAGCTCGAACCAACACACCCTCATCTCCCACCTCGTCCTTCAATGCCCCGTTCATAGCACAATGCGGCTCCAAGCGGCGCTTTTTATCGCCGCGTGCTTGTCGCCCGCGGCGGCCATCTATTCCGATGAGGTCAATCACATTGACTTCCACCATGCCCTCCTCGGCGCCCCCTCCCCCGACTCGACCTTCTTCCTGAAGCCTTCCTCCGCATCGAACGCATCCCTCCTCTACACCATCTCCGAGAAGTCGATTATCGGTGCGGTGAACCCTCGCGATGGATCTCTGATCTGGCGTCAGGATATCTCGCGCCCGGGGTCTGCCACCAGCGGCGCAGGTATCCTGCGTGGCCTGGATGGCAACAACGCTGTTGTCGGCGCTGCTGGTGACTCCATCTCATCATGGAGCGCCCAGGACGGCAAATTGATTTGGGAAAATCAGTTTGCCGATGGTGCGGTGGCAGATCTCGAGCTGCTGGAGCAGGAGGATGCTAGTGCTACCTCTGCTTCGAGGGATACCATTGCGCTCACATCCGGCGAGGGTGCTGGAATTGTGAGGCGATTGGATGGTGAATCTGGAAAGACCAAATGGGAATACAAGGATAACACGTTCGTATATTACATGGTTTTGTTGTGACACTGCTGACTGGTGGCTCCAGTGGTGATGTTGCATTCCAGGTGTCCTCTTCGCCGGCGGAGATCTTCTACATCTCGCTCCAGTCAGCGATGCTGAAGGGCTACAGAATCAAGGTTACCTCACTAGACCCTATTACAGGCCGCCAGGCTCGCCAGGTCGTCTTGAACTCCGAGAACGATATCGCCGCCCAGGACTCCATTCTCTACGTGGGCGCTAATACCGCGTCTCCCTTGATCGTCTGGGCTGACAAGTCGCTCAAGTCCCTCAAGGTCAACGTTATCGGTACCAAGCAGATCAACACCATTGCCATCGATAACACCTCTGGCCAGGAAGTCCAGCAGATCACTGTCCATGCCCCGCACAAGCTCAACTCGCTCCCCCACTTCCTCGTGCACTACAAGACTGAGACTGGAGCTTGGGCGGAGGTCTTCCATGTGGATCTAAAGTCCTCCGTGGTCACCAAGGCCTACCAGCTGCCCTACTTGCAAGGTCAGTCCGTGGTGGCGACCAACAACATTGACGCCAATGTGTACTTCACTCGGGTGACGGACGCGGAGGCCATTGTCGTCTCCTCTGCATCACACGGAATTCTGGGTCGCTGGAACGCAGACGTGTCCTCCACCGACCGTGCGATCCATGCCGTTGCAGACGTTGTGACCAAGGGCAAGTCTGTTGCTGTCCGGTCTGCTATCATTCGCGACTCCGGAGATTGGTCGTTGATCCGCAATGGCCAGACCGAGTGGACCCGCCCCGAGGCCCTGATCTACACGGTGGCTGCTGCTTGGGTGGAAGAAGAGGACCAGGAGGACCTCGTCCATGAATTGGAGGTTGAGGGCCACGAGAGCCTGATTGGTGCCTACATTCATCGTGTGAAGCGCCACCTCCGGGATCTCCAGTACCTGCCCGATTGGCTCAAGGAACTGCCTAAACGTATTGTTACCAGTATTCTGACCGACGAGGTCTCCAACCTGGATAGCTTCGGCGTTGCCAAGTCGATCATTGTGGCCACCGAGAAAGGACGTGTCTATGCCCTGGATACCGGTCGCCAGGGTACCATCAAGTGGAGTGCGGAGGTGGAGAAGACCTCGCACTGGGATATCAAGGCTATCTTGACCGTCCCTGGATCCGCAGAAATCTACATCGGCGATGGAAGCTCTGTCCGTGTCAACAGTTCTACGGGAGATATTATCTCGCGTTCTGCACCCACCAACGTAAACCTCCAGTCGATTGCCACCTTTGAGCAACAAGTGGGCTCGTCGGTGATCCGGATGGGCTCCCTGGGCATCCAAGAGGACGGCTCTCCAGTCGCTCCATTCGATGATATCACTGGCTTCTTGGTTACCACCAGCAATGACGGCCGTGTTCTCGGCTGGGTTGAAAAGGACAACAAGTCTCCCGTGTGGGAATTTGTTCCCCCCACCGGTCAAAAGGTCATCAAGGCCGTGGGTCGCCCTTCGCATGACCCCGTTGCCTCCATCGGAAAGGTGCTTGGTGACCGCTCCGTTCTGTACAAGTATCTCAACCCGAACCTGGTGCTGGTGACTGCTGTGAATGAGCAGGATCACACCGCTGGTTTCTATCTGCTTGATGGCGTCTCGGGCAAGGTCTTGTACTCTGTTAGCCGAACCGGTGTTGACCCAACCCAGCCCATTGCTTCCGCTATCTCCGAGAACTGGTTCGCCTATTCGTTCTTTGGAGATGCTGTCGACGAGTCCTCCGCCAAGGGCTACCAGCTTGTAGTGTCTGAGCTCTACGAATCCCCTATTGTGAATGACCGTGGCCCCTTGGATGCGGCTGGAAACTACTCCAGTCTCCACAGCGACCGCGGTGACAGCCTCCCGCTTCCCCACGTTGTTACCCAGTCCTTCGTCATTGCCGAGCCTATCTCCCACATGGCTGTCACTCAGACTCGCCAGGGCATCACTACTCGCCAGCTTCTTTGTGTTCTTCCATCCTCCAATGCCATCGTTGGTATTCCCCGACCTGTCCTGGATCCTCGTCGCCCCGTTGACCGGGACCCTACCTCCGCCGAGGCGGAAGAAGGCCTGTTCCGCTACGCCCCGTATCTGGATTTCGATGGCAAGTGGTACCTCACTCACTCCCGCGATGTCGCCGGCATCAAGACTGTCCTCTCTCGCCCGACTCTGCTGGAGAGTACTAGTCTGATCTTTGCATTTGGAGGGGATATCTATGGCACTCGCGCCACGCCCAGTCAAGCCTTTGACATTCTTGGCAAGAGCTTCTCCAAGTTGCAGCTTGTCTTGACAGTGGTTGCTTTGGCCGCTGGTGTCACGTTCTTGGCCCCCATGGTAAGTCTTTCTTCGCACTCGTTCACATCTCTCATCTCAGTTTGGATTCGAGTACTAACGGTTTTGATAACAGGCCCGGAAGAAGCAGGTCAACATGCTGTGGAAGGCTACTTAGTCGATACCCGCGAAGGCTGGGAAATGCATATACTGGTTGTGCTGATTTTCTAAGTTTGTAATCTATATTTTTTTCAGCAAAGATAAACTTGCCTCTAATGACAATTGGATCGTCTTTATGAAGTTTTTATTCCCCGACGGGTCTTGTCAAAGAATTACCCACTATAGTTCATGATTCATAATGTGGGCTTTTCGTAAGAACGAAGTCAAAATCTGTTTGATCTAAATTTGATCTGGAGCAAACTTGAGCACCTCTAAAAACTCACCTTCAGTGGCTCCTTCCATCCTTCAATACCTTCAATAGTTCAATACCTTCATACCTTCATACCTTCATACCTTCATACCTTCCATTATCTTCCCTCGTACTCCTAAAACTTTCTCTTCCTTGCAAACTCTGGCTCACTAGTCTGGTCAGATACCAAAGCCACTACCATCTCCCTGGTCACCTGCTCTGGTATTTGATCTACCTTACCATCCATTTTTTCGACAACTCTTGACGCTATCACAGCTACCTTACTAGTAAGTATCTCTCACCATCTCGCGTCTCGGTTTTCTCTTTTCTCTTTTCATATATCTCCCTTCGAAATTCCTCTTCCATCTCACCCTGATTTCGCTCTATTGAACGCACCTTTTCTCCATTTTACTTCTCTACGTGTATCATATCTCTCCTCTGCTACTTTCGCCAGTGCAAGCTGACTGATCAATTTCAGGCTCTCCTAGGACCTCTCCGAGGACCTCATTCGGCGCTCCTGAACCTTGACAACTCTTATCCCATCTTTTTTTATTCTCCACACCACGATAACTCCAATCACAGCATTCCTAGCGTTATTCGCCCTTGACTACACGGAAAAGCAGCTAAACACAAATCGAAATCTTTTCGAAGCCAAATTTCCAATCTACAATGGAGCCAAAGCAGGAAGACACCACGACTGACTTGAGTGCAAGCTTTGCCGGGCTAGCTTCACCTCCTCCTGAGAACGAGATGTCTAAAATGGAAGAGAGGGAGGTCGTGCAACAAGGGGCTGACAATCACCGACTTCAGGATAGCCTGGATGCGGTGATACGTCAGCTTCAAGCGCTTGGTACTGTTATGGGACGTTCCAAACTAGCGCAAGACCCAAGCACCAACCTATATCGGCACCGGAAAGGGATTCTCAAAGTCGCCAATTTTCAGTACCCAGAAACACGGATTGTTGGCTTTATTGGAAACACTGGCGTTGGTTTGTTTTCTCACCCCCTCCCCTCTTACTTTCAGCAAAGACGAAAACTCAGTTTGGAACAGGAAAAAGCTCCGTCATCAACTCAATCCTCGGTGGTAACAGCCTCGCACGAACAGTGATCCCCCCAAATGTCTCAATGGAAGAATGCGGTCTGCTAATCAGACGTTTAGAACGACGACATTAATGCATGTACATGCGTTATAGTCGAGTATCGTGCCGTGGATGAAGAGCATCAAAAGCCATACACGGTCGAAGTCGACTTTATGGATCCCAAGGAAATGAAAGGGTTCCTCGAGGACCATCTTCAAAGCTACCGGCGTTGGTATTTTGAGCTCGAGAAGCCCAAAGAGATGCGCCCAACCGACGAGGACTGGAACACAGCATACGATGCGGATGGCGTCGAAGGCTTCGAGGATGGAGATGAAGCTAAGCTCACGCAGTCAGAAATTGTCAAACTCCAGAAGGCCAAGCAATCTGCACAGGAGACTTTCAAAGCCCTGTTCAAAGGGGCTGATGAGCCCAGCCTAGAAGACCTTGTCCGAGATGGCAACCCTGAGGCAGAAATCGGAATCCTCGACGCATTGTTCGAGAAGGCTAAGAAGGGACTAACCAGTCGTCCAGGTGGTGAAGAGGCCGTTCTATACACAGAGACTTCACAGGGTCTTGAAGAATGTAGAGAGCTTCTTGATCTTCTTACCACCGACTCTCGAGGCGAGACACCCGCGGTTTGGCCTTTTATCAAGCTGATTAGGTTGGTGAAGACCGCTTCAAAGGCATATAACGTTTGCTAATGATCTTTAAGAGTGTACCTGGATGCTCCTATCTTGAAGACTGGTCTGGTGTTGGCCGACATGCCTGGTAGGCAATATACAACAGGTGACGAAGGGAAAGCATTGCTGACAGTCTTTAGGCCTACGAGACTTAAACTATGCAAGACAGGAAGCAACAGAAAGATATATCCAGAAACAATGCCATGTCCTCGGGTTCGTGACCAGAATTTCTCGATGCCTTGCGGATGAGACGATTGAAGAAGTCAATTGGAAAACCTGGACTGAGATGCCTCGAATTGTAATCGCCACCAGAGCAGACGTAAGTACTCATCTCTATACTCTCCTAATATCTAAAGCCTAACATTTTGCGAAGGAGGTCGAAGGCGCCGGAAGTGACAGAAGTGACCCGGATCATGACCAAGTCCTGCGAGATCTTGACGTGCGCATTAAGCAGGCAAAGGACGAAGCCGCAACAATTTACTCTCTAATGCGGAAGGCCCGTGGTTCTGAAAAGGGAGACCTGGCGGAGAAATGGGACGAATTGAAGTATGTTAGATGTATGGTCTTTGTCACAAGGGCTACTCACTAATAGTCTTACAGGTATGAGGAAGAGAACCTCGAATTCAAGTGAGGACCGACGATGAGAATTTTGAAACCCCCGCAATCTCAGCTAAACATTTACCTACTAGGAAGAAGAAAGTCCAGGTTGATTACCGAAACAACAAGACAATTGCAGGAATGGCCTCCATGCCCTCACGTAAAGACATGACGGTCTTTTGCGTCGGGAATAACGACTACCTGGCGAACTGCAAGGGCGAAACCGAACAGGAAAAGGCATACACTGAGTTAAGTGGAATCCCACAATTGCGACAATATTGCCAGTGTATTCCCGCAGAGGCTCAGATGCGCCACGTCTCAAACTTCTGCCAATTCATAGTTCCCGGGGCCATTGCCTCCATGAGGTTGTGGGCTAATGGCGCGTTCGATCGCAACGAAATGGCAAAGGCCAGAGGCATCTCTGAAATGTTGAAAAGGGTGGAAGATGACTTGGTTTCGGTAGGTCTAGTCATATGTTTGGCTTTATCTTCAACGTGATCCCTAGGACTGTATTGTATACTGAATGCTGGCAGGAATTCAAGTTTAGTAAGTGCGGACTTGTTGGAGCCACTCGTACAGAACTCGAGCGCCTATTCAAACGTCGTATTGGCGGCGCAATTGGTGAGTTCTCGTTTTCGAATTACCACTGTGGTTTTATACAATTCTCACATCATGCCAGATGAATTCCAGCCCGAGTGGGAAGATACGTGCACTGAGCTTTGCGATGGATGGGTGGAAGTGAGTTGAACTATTCGGGATCTGTTTAAGAGTCAAATGAGATCGGGTTTAACCTTTGCTTCGCCCAGTGGCCTTGTTCATCATTTTCAGCGGCGTGTCGCAAACATGGGGTACATTCAAACCAGACATACGGTGATTGCAACTGGAACGTGCAGTTGATCCAGCCAACATGCGAGAAGATAACCGGTTCATGGGATGAATTCATGCATTGTTTGAACGAACAACAGGAACGTATTGCCGAGGAAATTACCAAAAAGATTAACCAGATTTATGCACCATTTGAAGGTCAGTCTCCGGGGCTTTTGTTAAGATGTTTACCGTCGATAAATATAAACTCATCTTAATTACAGTGGACCACGGCCTGACTTCCACCTCCCAAACCATCCTTCTGAAGGGCATGCAGTTCCGGAAGGCAGCCATCGTTGAGGCTTTCCATCGGGCCTTCCAGGAAGCCATGAAAGACGCAAAGTACGTTTTGAATTTGAGAATGGGGTCGTCTCGAATATCTACTCATAACAGTTCTAGAATCGTTAAGGACAGCATGGTTAACTTCAAGGATAACAAAACGGCGATAATCACAAAGTACATGCTACCGGCCTACCAATTCGCCAATGCGCAGAGAGGTATGTTCGGGTGTTATACTCATGTTCAAATTCATGACTAACAGGGCTGGTTTAACAAGGCAAGGGATGTGATTCCCAGCGCAAAAGGCATATGGAGGACCATATCAAACCGGGAAACTCGAAGAACAGTGGCGTAATCTGCAAGTTCAAAGTTCTTTCCCAAAGAGCATGGTCCCAAGCTCTCAGGCCGCATTTCAAAACACTCCAGCAAAAAGTCTCTGAGGTGGTCGACCAGGCGGTATCTGATTTGCAAGTAGTGGCTGGTGACCAGGGAAAGCTGCCAGAAGCCTGCGGTGACGTTACAACGGCAGGGGACGTTATGGAACAGCTCAAGGTACTTGAGGAAGCGCTCAATCACATTCAAGGAGTCTTGCATGAATTGAAAGCAACCGGAAGTGAGGCATAGGAGGGTGAAATGCCGTGATGCTTGGTTTGTTCTGAAATTTGCGCACGAGAGGTTGTTTCCAAAAAGAAAAAGCCAAAAAAAATGCTTTTCTCACTCGTTTTTTATTGATCTGAACAAATTGCGTGCGAAATTTGCAACAATCTTCAGTCTCAGTGAACTGTGAAGCGAGAGTTTTGCGAAATCTTTCATATCACAATGCCATGGCTATGCTATGCCTGAACCTCATTCAGATTGACAGGGCCATCGAAAAAGGGAATATAATCAGGGTCCTCCTCCATCCACGTATCCAAATCATGCCTTCTCTTGCACCAAGTACAACGTACATTCCCACCTTCCGGTGATCTCTTTCCACACGGGCACCAAAACTAAACACTTCATCAGCCGCCGTATTCCATCACACTGATCTTCCCAAAAATCCACCCTTATACATACCGCAGTCATAAACTGATGATCCGGAAGCCACAACCCATCTTCGACCGTATTTCTCGTAACACCATCCTGCCAACTATGCACAGCCCTCGTCTTATAGTACTCTCTATCCTCATCTTCCTCCTTCTGTCGACACGCATGACATATCCACCGTGTATATTGATCGCAATCACAAATCTCTGATAATCGCACCGGCAAGTTATTTTGAACCTTTTCATCACAGTCCGCACAATAGCATATTACCGTGTGACTTTCATAAGCGGGGTCGAGATGTGGTCTTCGTCGAGAGTGGTCACCTGGTGCATCTCTCACGCGTGGCATGTATCGACATTCCTTCAGGGGAATTAGTAGGTATTTTAATCAAGGATGGCTGGGGGGACAAACTTCGCAGATATTTATTCCACATTTCAAACATGCAAGGGCGTTGTAGGCGTCACATTTGAGATTGTATACTCGGATTTCGATCTCTTCGTCGTATCTTGCTATACGGGCATGTCCCTTGATAGTGCTGTAATAGGGTTTGTGTAATCCGGTAAATGTTTGGCGCCTGATTAAACCGCGGCCGTCACATTTAGCAAGGCACTTTAGTTTGTTGAATACTGGAGGTGAATCGAGTATCACGGAGTGTAGTTCATGGCATGTTAGAGCAACGTGGAATAAGTCTAATGTCGAAAGATGTTGAGCTGTACGCTGTAGCAGTTCATACTGCGAGAGGAGGAAACACAGATTCTGGGTGTGATTTATTGGGTTTAGACCGTTCATTTTGAACTGGTTCTTCATGCGGGTTGGTTGCTGGTTGATTAATTTGGAGGGGCAATGGGAGGATTAAGAAGCTTCGAGTAAATTGCTGCTAGTCTTATCTCGCTTCCCCTTTATGGTGTGATCGGTGAAGATCATCAAGTCTCATTGGTTTGGTCATTCGAAAATGCGGGGCTTTGTGAGTGACAGATTGGCCGAGCCTCCTATTTCAGCCTCATATCACAGGAAATCACAGTTGGGTCGAAACTCTGTACCAAGCGTTCCATACGCTCCAGCTCCGAGACCTCCAACCTCACGAAGAGCCAAGGGTTTTCAAACTCCAGGACCCCCTTTAGCATATGGATGATCCGATTTTGATGAAATAGTTCCGTTCCATTCGTTCAATCATTGGTATTGGGCATATCTAACATGGTATCAAATCGCCTATAAAACAAAAAGCACAGCCCAAACAAAAGCAAATCCACCAAGAATAACACTCCACCCGACGACATTTTTCAAGTCACAAACCTATTTACAATAGAGAAAATTCCACACCCAAAAGAAAGTATATCATCTATACAATCCAACACCCCCACCGAAGCCTGAATCAATACAATGGCATAGGCGATTGATTCGCATAATCCACATTCCCCTGCACGGATTCAATCCGATCACAGCAAGTACCAAACACCCGATCCCACAGACGGGTCTGCTTGCCATAGTTATGACTCTTCTTCCAGCCCTTACGATGATGCAAATCATGATCCTCAATAACGAGTTCCGCATCGAACCAGCGCAAGAACCAGCTCAACGTAGAAGGCGGGGAAGCATGCAACCGCAGACCAGAGTGACCGGCCAACTCGGCGAAAACGACGTACTGATGGCAAATCCACCACTCGTAGAAACCCATAGGCATACCCATGAGTTTCATCGTGAAGAAGGTCATCAGCGGGATACCGGCGATATCGAAAAATTCTTGCTCAGTATCGGCGTAGAGGGTGAGCAAGGGGTTGGGGTGTTTAGTCAAATGGTGGGTGCGGTGGTATTTCCATAGACCGTCGAAATCGTGCATGATACGGTGATACCAGTAGAACCAGAAGTCGAGGATAATACCGTAAAGGCCGATTTCGAGAGGAAGCCAGGCAAAGCTCATAGAGGAGGGGGCCTGGGCGGTGCGGTAGGCGAAGAAGACGGTGAACATGGGACGGAAGGTTGAAGTAGAGAGTAGCGAGCGGACGACCTTTGCAACGCTAACATCGGGGACACCGTCGCGGGCGTGTTTATCGCCGTCGAGGAAGCCGTGCACATGGCCCAGGCGGCGGAGGACGTGTATTTCGTGGATGGCGATGGCCTTGAAGGCTATGCTGTACAAGATGAATGCGCCGATCGGGCCGAGGTTGTGCCCCGTATATTGGACGTAGGCGTGCTGCAGGATGATGGGGATGATGGAGTGGGTGAGGACCCAGCGGTGCATGGACCAGTCGGGGACGTATGGTACGGCCTCCTCCTTGAGATGAACGGGGATGTTGGTATCGAGATGCTCCGGGTGAATAGCCAGTATTTCGTAGAACCAGTGGAAGAGCGTCCACTCCGAGCGGGCTTGTCGCCGCCAGGTGGACTTCATGGAGTCCTTGGGATTGCGTTCAGCACTCATAGTTGGACAGAGCAGTGTTTTCTTTCTTCGACAGACCGAAATCGTCAAACCATCATCAGCGGGGGGGTGGCGGGTGGATATTTAAAGCAGAGTAGTGCTCGAGTCCAAGGGGACTTAGGTTAAGGGCATGTCGATCACTGCCCCCCAGGAATCTTTTCATACAAATTCCTTTCGGCCTGGACTCGCGCATGTGAATCTCCACTTTTCCCACCAAAATTGGGTTCCCAGAAAAGCCTCGGGGCTATCCAAATTTGGCTGAAAGGCACCGGAGAATGACGTCGATCATCATCCTAGTGCACATCTTCCCCAACAAGCAGAGCGTTTCTCGTTTGGCGTGCGCTTAGACTAGCTCTTTTCCTAGAGTAGGGTCAATGCAGTTGCCTGACTCTGGGGGATTTTCCATCTTTCCCCAGGGTCGGGGAAAAAGTGGGTTCGGAGAGGGTCGGGAAAGTTACGGGGATCTAAGATTTTACAGTCAAACTGAGTCTGTGCTTTATCATAAATGGAAGTACTGTGAACTAGAGACAACGTGCAGCAGGTCACACAAAACACAATTAGAAGAGGCTCTTCTTCAGAAGTTGAGTGGCTCTGGCAAATTCCCGAAGTGTGATCACCTGACCATCACCTGATCATGCCCCTGAATCGACCAAGTCAGGTCAGGTGACTATCAGATGATCTGGTACTCGGTACGACAGTTTTTCATGATCGTGTAATCACATAGTTAACTAAGTTAGTGGTAACTAACTAAATGTCAGGCAATGAGTCAATAGTATTCACGTCACTATGATTTACCCCGCCACTCTTCACATTCTCCAAGTGGGACCCTAACCCATTCGAGTAACCAGTTCGTCTCAACCATTGTCACACCCCATGTGAAACACAGTCCCAAGAGATCGGCACATCAAACTTAAATACTTTCGTGTATACTTTACATAGGTAACACAATCAACATTACTGTATAGATCTCTATTTGTATAGTATACCTAAACATGTACATTGCTCTCAATCCAGATATGTAGTCACATCGTGTATGTTCTATCAACCAAAGTACTCTCTCTACCATATACAAATCACTGCAAGAATCCCAGCAGGACGAGCACACCATCAACCTCTCAAGGACCACAACGGCTCCGTTCCCCACCAATCAAAGCAGGAATAAAGAAAGAAAAATAATAAATAATAACAATTAAAACGTGGACCACGATCAAGCCCCATATAGAAGAATCACACACATGAAGAAAACTTCAGCCGAAACAAACCACCCGAGAAGGAAAAAACTGTTGGGAATGCTTGATAAGAAAAGAAAAATAAAAACCCCGAAAACAAAGTCTCGATCTATTTGCAAATCACCAACAAATGCACATGCAAAGTCCCCCGTGTACAATGACACAAGGAAAAGAAAGAAGAATAATCGGAATGATGGAAATTTCCAAAGACAAGAACCCAGGCAGACGCGTTTGTAATGGGTCATGCAAGAGAAAAAGAACAATGAGGTGACTAGACACATGCCTCGGTCTATAGGATCTGCATCTGGATCTGCACGTCCGTGATTGTACTCGATCGTACTGTAGGTTAGACTCTCGACAACACGACACGTCCTGCTTTCATGAATAATACCTCTATGCAGCGGCAGTCGTGGTTTGAGCCTCTGGGTTGGCAACCTGGTTGACGTTCACCGCCACGTTATCCAGACCAGTCTTCTCGTTCTCGGTAACAGGGGACTCCACATCTCCATTCGCAGGAGTCTTGGGGGTCTCCTTCACAGGCTCGGCGGTACCGTTACCATTAACCTGGGCCTTAGTCTCGGGCACCTGCTCTGCCTGAGGCTGAACCTTGGCCTGGGGCACGGGGATGATCTGCCGGCGGTCCTTGCCGTCCTCCGTACCCAGAACCTCGATCTTATCGCCCTTGAACAAGATGGGTCCCTTAAGGATATCCTTCTTCTCCTTGCCCTCCGCGGGGGGCTGTTCCAGGTTCTGGAGGAGTTCCTGGGCAGGCTCGTCCAGGTTGGGCATGTCACCCCACTGCCAGTCGAGTTCGCCGCCGTATTGCTTGGGAATGCTGGTGGGATCCATGAAGGAGGTTAGAGTGGGCTTCACCTCCGCGGCGGACAGAATGAAAATCTTGGAGGTGGTGACTGGGTCGAACCAGCGCTTGATCCAGCCCCAGACGGTAGGGAAGAAGCTAGGTGCGCCGATAATCTAACGAAAAAAAATTAGTGATCAGACTCGAAAATGGTAATACCGCAGTTCCAGTCAAACATACGAAAATACGATCCAGCGTCTCAGGATAGTGAGCCGTCGCCAACACGCTAGCATCCTGCATATGCCCCTTCAAATTCCAGAACTGCTTCAATCCGACACCGCTCACATCAACGATATTGGTAGAAGTCACGATAGGAGTCTCAGGATTCGGCCTCGACAACGCCGAACACAACGGCATAACAAAGTTCAACAAGTTCTCGTACAAAGCGAACAAATTCAATAGTCGTGCCGGAACAGTCGACGACTTGTGCGTCTCGGGCGTGCCCGTGTGCATGGTATTATTGTAAGCGGCCATTTCCTTGGAGTTCAAGTGGCGGATCTCGAAGACGTAAACGGGGATACCGCGACGATCGCGACGACCGGTCCATTGCGGATACTATACCAGCGGGGGAGAACGTTAGTTCAGGGTGTATTCGACTTGTAGAGATCCCGTAGTATAGGTACGTACCATCCGACGGGCAGCTTCGTACGAGTCCACGCCGATATTCGCATAAAGAGCCTCGATAGCGTTCTCCTTGCGCCAGTCCTCGGTATCCTTGAATTGACCCCACGCCCCCTCAACGTCGAACTTGCGTGCTCGCAAGAAGCGCCTGCAAAGTAAGAATTAGCATCCTTCATGCGCAAAGAGAGCCATTCTCTTTTCCCTGGTAAAAACGTACAGCATCGTCGCATCATCGTGACTCGCCGGCGCAGCGTCAACACCCTCCGCCGCCTCCACGGCGGGCGTATAATACTCGCGCTCCGCACAAACATTCTTAAACTCGACCAATTTCTCCTCCTGATCGGGGGTCAAATGGTTCAAATGTCCCGCCAACCATGCAGTTCCCGCGGCCTGAGTCGCCGACGCGGACAGGTCATTCTTAGACGCTGACGCCGTGCGCGCGAGGTCCTGCTCCGAGGCCTGGCTGTGGTGGGACTTGGTCCGCCAAAGCATTTTGTAGCTGGTGTTCGGTGCTTTCCGGGGGAGAACTGTCTCGAATTCTTTGCGTGTACTGTACAAGAGACCGTCTTTCCCTGGCGAGGCCTCAAAGTCGAGATCGGTGGTGGCGGAGATTACGGGGCGGAGAGGCGGTCAGCAATAAATCTTTAATTTGCGGAGGGTCCAAGTTCCATGGGATCGGATTCCAATTAAACCCTGAGGCTGAGATCCCGGCGGGCCCGATTTCCGGAGTCCGAGCTGTTTTATGCAAAAGTATTGAAGTATATAGTTCTGTGATACTCACTATAGATGGTCAGCATTCCAACTTTGTTATCTCTGAACCGAAGGTTCGACTGGTTCGACGAACCAAAGTTAATCACAATTATGCTTCGATCGACACCGTCAGTGCTGCATACACAACTCAGTTATGCTCAGGTACAATCATCTCGTTCGATATAATAAATATAGTAATTTCATGAGCCTCCAGCAATCAATAGAACAGCCTGATTTCAACCCAGCAACAATTCCATGCATATTATGGCACTTGCTATTTTGTGAGGGGCCCATTCCCATATTTTGTACAGAAATAGAAACGCGCCGCAAAAGTCCTTCCGCAAAAGTAAATACAAATTAAATGGAGTAAAGAAAACGCTTAGTCCTCGGTGAGATCACCGTACTCCCACATACCGAGACGGCCGGCCTTGGCCTCGGTCTCCAGCTCCCGCAGGTTCTCCAGGGTATCGGTGGAAGCGCGCTCCCATGCCTTCAGCTTGCGGGGAACCATGGCGAAACCCTCGCGAACCACATCGGCATTGATGCTCTGGTCCAAGCTCTTAGAGACGGACGGGTCCAAGAGGGTGACATGCAGAGTGCCTTCGGGCTCAACGTGGTCGACGTTAGCGACCAGCTGGCGGTCGAAGGTCTGGTCACCCAGGAAAGCGACGGCGTCATCCAGGTAGTCCTGGGAGGTAGGGAACTGCAGAAGAGACAGAACCGCATCGACAGCCTGGGGGCGCAGCTTCTGAGCAGAGAACTGGGGCTGGGTAAGAGGGCGCAGGCTCTTCCAGGGGAGGATCTCGGAGTTTCCAAAGTCGATATAAACAACCTCGGCCTGCTCCTTCTCGCGGTCGTTGCGGCGCACCTTGGCGCGGTACCAGTTACCGTCCTCGGTGAACTGAGCCGCGACCCATTCACCAGCCTTGGGGGGACCGGGCAAGGGGGTGTCATTGGCCTTGTTGATGTGGAAGGCGCGGAAGGCGCTCATCAACTCGGTGAGCGCGCTAGTGCCGGTGCCAATCTGCTGCAACTTCAGGCGACCAGTCTCTGGGTCAACGTGGGTGACCATCACGTCGCGGTAGTCCTTGCGACGGGACACAGCAGCCTCGCTCTCGTTGCCGGTACCGTTGGCAGCCTCAGACTCCTCGGCCTCGGCCTCCTTGCTGGGGTCCCAGTCGTGCCAGAGACCCTTGCGGGCATCCTTGGCCCGCTGCTCGGCAGCGAAGTACTCGTTGGCATGACCGGACTGCTCAGCCGAGTAGGCGTGGACCGTGGCGAAACCCTCCTCCAACAGAATCTTGGTGAAGTTCTCCTTGTTCACGTACAGGGTACCAATGAAGCCACCAACCTTGTCGATGGTCTCGACATCAATCTCAACGTCACGTTGCATGCAGCGGCGGACGGCCAGCTCGTGAGCTTCCTGGCCGAAAGGCTCACCGGCATCATTGGGGCCACGGGCAGAGCGAGGGGCACGGATGCCCGACAGAACGAGGGTCAACTTGGCGTTCTCACGGGGGACCAGAACAGTGAAGCGAGAGCCGGACTTGACAAAGTCGACAACGGCGGGGATGCGCTTAGAGCGTTGCAGGATACCAACCTCCAACTTGGCCTTTTGAACGCTCTCGGAGTAGTCCGTGTACTGCTTAACCTTGGGCGGCTTGGGGGACCACATTCCACGGCCATCCTTCTGGGCCTCGGCCTCGGAAACAAGCAGAGTGTCGTAGTCGGGGGATCGGTCACTGTCATCCATACGGTGGCGGATCACAGAGGCATAACCAGCCTCAACCAGAGCCAGACCGATGTTGGTGGTACCCTGCACAACGGTGGCAACCTCACGCTCCTCATATCCCTCGGTGGCAGGCTTCTTGCCATTGACGGTCACCTTGACACCCTTACCAATGACCTTCTTGCGCAGGAACTCCTTGGCATCATTGGCGAAGGGAGCCTGCTTGGGGTCAGAGGGCTTGGGCTGGCGAATGCTGGTCAGGCTAATCTTCTTCTCCTGACCGGCCTTGTTCCGGATGAAGATGGTATCGGCGTTCAGAACACGGCTAACAGTGTAATCAAGAGCGGCAGCGCCGGAGCCCTTGGGGGCAACGTGACCAGTGAAGATTCCCTTGCGGGCGTTCTTGGCCGTCAGCTCAGCCTGGCGAAGAAGGGCCATGTCACCACCGAGCATGGTAGAGTGGTGATCCTGGCAGCGAGCCAGACCCTCCTCGAGGAGGAAACGGGCAATGTTGCCGTTAGGGTGGAGAAGAGTAGCCACCAGCTGGCCTTGCGGGGTGACACCCAGCAGAGAGACCTTGACCTTGCGCTGCAAGAGTCGAGACTCGACAAACTGCTGTGCCTCGTCACCCAGGGGCTCCGCAGCCTGTTCCTTGCCCTCGGCGGTAGTCCGCTTGGCAGAAGGTGCGCGGACACCAGCAACGGCCACGAGAGTCTGGACATGCTCCTGTGGGGAGAGCAGCAGACGCAGAATAACCCGGTCACCATTCAGAACCTTCTCAATAATACCCTCCAGCTGCTCCCCCTTGTGCTTGTTAACCAATTCCTGGCCATTGGCGAGTTCATAGCTAGTCTCAATCAGACCGTTGTTCGACGAGGCCCAGACACCCTTGTTCTCATCCTGGGCAAGTGACTCCAGGGCCCGCAGCCGGTCCAGCAGCGCGAGGGTTTCCTCAGAGTCGTCACTTCGCTTGCCAGCCTCCTCACGGACCTTGGTCCAGCCCTCTTGAACACTGATATCGGGAAGCTGAGCATCAAAGCCAGGCAACTTGATGATACCGTACTCGCGCTTGGCGCCGGTGGGGATGGAGTAGACGACGTGGAATTGGATGACCTTGCCGACGAGCAGTTCACGGAGGAACTCACGGGATTGGAAAGCGTATGGCTATAGTAGTCATTGTATTAGTTATTGCGATCTTGTGTTTGTTGTGGACCCTTGCTCGGAGAGCACACGACTGCACCGCTGAGGGGGTAGCAGAGGTTGCCAGGAAGCAAACGAGGCAAACGGAACAATAAAACATCAATTGAGCATAGTTCAGCACATACCTCGTCACCTTCCCTCCTCAACCGGGGAGCGGACACATAAGCCAGAGAAAGAATGCGTTCTTGTGAGGGATTGGTGACATGCGACAGCACGACCGTATCACCCGACAAAACGGACTTGACACGGGCTTCGAAAGGCATGGCTGAAGGAGAAACCGGGGGGCACCACGACCTCACAGAGACACAGGGAATGGGGTCAATGGAATAGGAATGGGACAAAATCGGAGAGGAAGAAATAAGAAAAGAAATAGGGAGAGGGAATTGAAGGGGGTAATTGCGGCGAGATGAACAGCTTCGGAGGAGAAACGTGGCCGGTGTTTGTGGGGAAAGCGGTCTGGGCGGGAGCTACGAGCTAGGGACACGGGCCACGCACGGATAATTACAGTATAGAGAATAAGATAAAGTAAGGTAGAAGTATACGGGGAGTTTAAGTGGAATATTGCAATTGCAATTGCAGGTTTGTGGCATTGACATTCATTGCATCCTAGCCAGGGACTATCCTGAACTTTTCATCTTCTCATACAAGAAACTCATGCTGAGAAGATGGGGGGATATTGAAACCCAATTACGTTAAAGGGGGGTTGAGCTAATTTAAGCGGCAATACCGATGACACCTAGGGAAGTTAGTCAGATAAGGAACACTTGCTATATCATGAAATTTTGTATATAAGAGTATTGACTTACCGCAGGCAGGGCGGGGGCCAGCGTTACCAGTCTTCTTGGACTCCTCGTTGCCACCCTTGCCGAGGTCATCAGTGCCGGCGTGGACGACGAGAGTGCGCTATTCAATTCAAATTAGTCGCTGTGATAATATAGAAACTCAATGGGGATCACTTACGCCAAGAACGCTCTCAGCACCGATCAGCTTAACAAGCTTGTCCTGCTTGGAGCCAACGGCGTTACCCTCAGCATCGGTCTGGAAGTTGCCCAGGTCACCGACGTGACGCTCCTCATCCTCGGGGGCACCGTGGGTCTTGCCGAAGGGGTTGACTAGAGCAATCAAAGAGCATTAGTATAAACTCCTCCCAGACAATGCAGCCCGTAGTTCTAGGGAGATTGCTCCTTACAGTGGGGACCAGCGGAGGTGCAGCCGTTGGTGTTGTCACCGAACTGGTGGACGTGGAAACCACGCTGGGCGTTGGCGTCGTGGCCGGTGATGTTCCAGGAGATGGTGGTAGGGGCGCTCTCGTCGGCCTGCTCGAAGGTGACGGTGCCGGAGATCTTGGAGTCTCCGCGGATGACAGCAACTAGGGTGATGCATTAGCGGATTGCAAAGCATGTATAGCTGGTTGATATGCATTCTAGAAGGGCGGATAGAAACAAGGATCGGCTCGAGGGGACCCAGTCACAGCTTGCCAGATCTGAGCATATCGGCTAGCCTCTAGCTAGCAAGGGCAGCGCCACTATAGCTTCGACTTTGACAAATAGCACTGCTAGCTGGTCTCTCTGGCACGTCAATGTCCCCAGGGACCCTGACAGCCAGTGGAGAGCTTGGTAGACAGGGAGACCAGCCGATAGGTCTAACACAGCTCCAAAGGTGCTCAAATGTGCTCACCCAAGGTCCCCTCGGCCGATCGCAAGGAGCCAATGAAATATGCGGGGGGGAAAGGAAAAGAGAACTATATGGTTTTGTTTTGGTTGGACCCGAGAGCCAGGAGATATACTACTTACCAGCCTTGACCATTTTGACGGTTATGGGTTGATAATGATTTGAAATTGAGGTATAAAGTTGGAAGGGGGATGTTAATTAGGAAAGAAAAAGAGAAGAACCAGGTGGAGGCGGGAGGAGGGAAGAATAATAAGTGGGTGATGTTGACGTGACTGCTTGTTCCGATAAGCTAAGGTAAGTAAAAAACAGAAGATTACCGAGATGTGTACATCCATAGTGAGCTATATCCACATATTATTACTATGGGCAGAAATACAAAATGTAAAGTACAATACCACACCCAAACATCCCCCACCTTCCTAAGCGGGCGGCGGACGGGACGAGGGGAAATGACATAATTGCCGCTTTTGCCTTCCACCTCGGATCGAACTTACGGCTATACAAGTGTTAGGTTGTATATGCTTTTTCTTTAATAATCCTACTAGTTCCCATTGTAATGATTGATAGATCTTTTGATTATCTCCAATCCTCTTGTATATCCGCGGAGAATACATGATTGTTACCGTGATACATGTGTTACCAATCCCCCTCCTGCTGCGGGGTTCGGTAGGGTGGGTGAATAAGCCGACCAGCCCAGATTCCCTCCGACTGGCACCCTCGGAAGCTTCGGCCTGGTCAAGACCCGACACCGGAGAAGATGTGAGGATCATAGTGTTGATAGAAGGGGTCTCACGGGATATATATTTAGAGGTAGTACTACCAAACACAGTTAGCTCCTAGAACTGCCATTTGCTTTCAATATATGTAAAGTATAGAAGAAATATGTAATCATGACTTCAACTGAATCAATTCAACTACAACCTACTCCCTATCTACAATGGTCCAAACAATTCGATAGTTACAGACTGGATCCCCAGGTAACCGGCTTGGACACCGTACACTCAATTGGGATCTACAAAGGACAATTCGCAAGACGAAGTACGGGCTGTTCTTCTAAAATCACGCTACAAATACTCTCAAACAAGCAAACATGGAAAAAGAAAGAATGGATTCATCAATTCGTATCTACCGATTCCAAAGCCATTTTGGTGATCGCCAATTTACATAACATATCAAGTACTCAGAAAAAAAAAACAAAGGAGAATCTAAATCTCAAACCCCCGTCCAGACCCGCTGGCTCATCCAATTTAAGCCTGGATCTTAGCCTTGAGCAGACCCTTGAGAGTCTCGGCATCAGCAGCGAACTTGGAGATACCCTCACGCAGCTTCTCAACGGCCATAGCCTCCTCGTTGAAGTCGAAGCGGAAAGCAGCCTCGTGCTCGAGGTAGTTGCGCTTGGGGATATCCAGGGTAGCAGCGGAAGCGGAGTCGAGCTTCTTGGGGACGGCGGCGGTGGAGTTGTACAGGTCCTCCAACAGGTTGGGGGAGATGGTCAGGTAGTCACAGCCGGCCAGCTCGGTGATCTCGCCGGTGTTACGGAAGGAGGCGCCCATGACGATAGTGTTGTAGCCGTGCTTCTTGTAGTAGTTGAAGATGGCCTGGACGGACTTGACACCGGGGTCCTCCTCGGCGGTGTAGTCGCGCTTGTGGGCGGCCTTGTACCAGTCGAGAATACGGCCGACGAAGGGGGAGATCAGGAAGGCACCGGCCTCGGCGGCGGCGACGGCCTGGACCAGGGAGAAGAGGAGGGTCAGGTTGCAGTTGATGCCGTGCTGGGACTGCAGGATGTGGGCGGCCTGGATACCCTCCCAGGTAGAGGCGATCTTGATGAGGATACGGTCCTTGGAGATGCCGTTGTCGGCGTACAGCTGGAAGAGAAGAAGCAGACATTAGTTATTAAGGTTTGGTAGCGGGACATTTATCCGCAGGATAATTTTGGCACATTGTCTCTTACCTTGATGATGGAGAGGGCCTTGTCGACGGTGGCCTTGGTGTCGAAGGACAGCTTGGCGTCGACCTCGGTGGAGACCTTGCCGGGGATGATCTTGAGGATCTCCTTGCCGAACTCAACGAGGAGACGGTCAAGGGTGGCATCGACCTGCTCGTCGACGGTCTTGCCCTGGGTCTTACCGAAGGCAACGGCGGCATCGATGAGAGCGGCGTACTCGGCCTTCTTGGAGGCAGCCAGGATCAGGGAGGGGTTGGTGGTGGCATCCTGGGGCTTGTACTTGCCAATAGCTAATGTCACTGGTTAGCAATTGCTTTATAATTGTCGCCTTGGATAGAGCGTGACGCCAACTGGCCCTTGTAGAGCTCGTGGCATTGTAGATTGAGGCTACATACTGGCAAAGTCACCTGGGAAAGAAAACGCGTGTTAGTTGAATCATTCCATGTCAGATTGATCGGTGAGACTAGGAACTTACCAGAGTCGCAGACGACGGTGGTGCCAGTGGCCTTGAGCTGCTCGAGAGAGGAAGACATGATGTAGATAGTCTGAGTGGACAGTTTTCACGAGACAGATGAATATGGAATTGATCGAGAAGAGATCAAGAGAGAGAGATGGAGGAGGAAAGAAAGTGGCGACCGGAGGGTATTTAGAGGAGGGGCGTGGGACCGGAGAGGCGATGGGATGGCGGGTAGTTCTTGGGTACTTGTCATTTGTATGATATCCGCATAGAAGCTGGAAGTACCTGGTCCAAGGTGGGATGCCAGAGTGGGGCAAATGACGCTGCAGGATGAAATCACCGGAAGACTGTGAAGTAATTTACCCCTCCAATAATGCCTGCCTTAGCTAATTATGCCTAAGGCCATAGTTCTTCCGCGGAGTCCAGGCACATCCAATACCCTCCACCACCACCACTACACTCCCTTCCCCCAAGATATTTCTTCTACACTCACCATATTCAATTCGTGTAATTCAACATTGACACCCCCAATTCTATACAATTGCTTCTTCATAACTTTTCTTTCCGCGTGACCAAATCAAGAACTCCCCCCAACTCGGCGCAGTGTGCTCCGGCCCAGCCCAACCGGAGGATGGTCGACCGGCCAACGGCCCACTACTGCACCGAACGTACAGTTCTCTCACCGAGACCCGGTTAAATATCGCCATCGACTCCGGGGGTCATTAAGACAGTGGGGGTGCCAGGGGTCAAGGGGCTAGACGTGCGGATGACTGATGCTAATGCCTTGCTTAGGTATTCCCGCTATGGATGCACGCTAAGTAACTATATCCCGGAAATACGGGGTACAGGGTATGTGCAAAGAGAAAGAGAAAGAAACAAGAGGAATAGAGCAGAATCATACACAAAATGCAAAATGGAAAAAAGAGAAGAGTTCCACCTTCGTCCAAGTAAAACGCCAGTCAATTGTCTACGGGGGTTTTGCCTCTGTACTTTTGTGATTTGACTTTTGTCGGGTTTCCCGTGTGGAAACAAAAAAAAGCAACATCGGCGCTCGATTCAATAGCCGGACGGCACGTGGTTTGAATCGCGACTTCTCAGCGCCGTTGGACACAGTTCCACTCGTACTGCGGTGACATTAGCAAAACACATTTTAGAACTAGCGGGGCCGAAATAGGGAAGAATACGCA